TTTCCTATCGTGAACCTTCCCTTTATTGATAGTAACAGCACTGCTACCTCTACTATGCTGTCGCACATGATTCGGTACTTTAAATCTTGCTCCGGATATCATGACTTCTGTGATAGATGTGGACTGCTGCCGGACAATTTACAACACAGGTTTTCTAAAGATAGAAGTTGTGTTAAAAATAAGGTCGGTGCTTTTGATAACGGGTCTCCCTAGTTCTATCGATTTTGAGTTCAAGTTAAGGTTTTGTTGAGACTACAACATGCAGCTGGTTCGTTCTTCTAAGGCTCATCTGTGATGATAGGGGTCAAACAGATGGAAATCAAAATCGGTCGAAACCACTGTTGAAACAGATTGCTATAAAAAATTACGATTTTGTAGTTTATTAAGTGTGTAATTTGTTGTAAATTTTGGTTAACTTTTGGTGCCGAATTCTATACAGAATCTCCGAAATGAGGGCATGTAAACCAGTGTGGATAGTCCCATTTAACCAGGATAGTGGTAAACACTATCGTCTATGGAAAATCATTTGGTTCTGCGGTCCCTATAGAAAGATGCAGGATATGACGTTTTACACCATTCGAGCGTCCCTGGAAACCGGATGATGGGACTCGCTAGCATATTTCTTGTTGTGAATCTAATCATGGATGTGTTTTGGCAGAATTTAGAGGGAAAATTAGTTGCAGTAAGATACTATGATGGAAATATACACCCATGTAGAGTGTGGAGGGGGGCATGGACCAGGGAGGATATGGGCGTATTGTGGTTAGATTGCCAAATGGACACATAAAATATATATATCAAAAAATAACAAAGACCAGTTTTTAAGTTCTCAATATTTTAATGTTGCATTTCTTTTTCTCAATCATAACTCTTTATGATGTGTCTTTCACATAAATTTCTTCACCAATTTTACAGTCATGTAATTTGAATATTTTGTGTCTCTTATTTCTTTTCTGAATTTTACACCACAATGATGTCTTTTTTGTTCTTATTCTAGGTCCTTGGACACTGAGCTCCCAGCAGTGATTGGAGACCCAACCCCACTACACATTTCTTTTATGGCAGTCCCGGGTCCATGGTTCACAGGATACACCACCCTATGAGCTCTCCCTGAAAAATTACGAGTAAAGTTGATGGGAGAGACTGCTTCAGCCGTCTGTTCACAGATTTTACCTTTTGGGTCGACAGGTTCCACAGGCACATTTCCAACACGGAGTCACCGAGACAGACCTTAACTTTCTCCATCATAGTTTTTGACACAGTTGCCTCTCCAACGCTGACCTTGAAATCACTTGGTAAATATTAGTTGTCTGTTAGCAAGTTATTTATTTTCTTCTCTGCATACACTAGTGATTTGGTCCTCCACTCACAATGTACACATTGGTTACACTTCACGAATACCCCCCTTACACCATGTGTAGCAGCCCTCTCCCATCACTGTCTTTCATCTCAGCTGGTGTTATGTAAACATTCTGTAATCCTATCATTGTGGTGTTGTACTGTTTGTACAGTTATTAGTCTTTACTTTTGTGTCTGTTTTTGGCTCTTTTTTCTAAATAATTGCTGGTGTCCTGAATTTGTTACAGATCCTGAAATTGAGTTATCTCCTCTGATCTTCAGACATTATGTTATTTGTTTATATTTTTGAGTAGTACAGCACATGTACTTTAATAAAAACTCAAAACCATAAGTCTAAGTATAATGTGTATATATTATAAATTTACATTTCGAAATCGATTCAATTTTCATGTCTTTTCTTGCAGGAATCTCCATCTTCTGTACCAGTAGAAGACTTGACCTACCAGCCCAAACCTTGGAGCCAGCCACTTTCCATTTTGTTATCATACCATATGGTCCTGACTTTTAAAAGAAAACAAATGGTAAATTTGAAAAATATTTGGGATCCTACACAGCATATTCTCTACTTAATTTCATTTGGATATAACTGTTGCATATTTGAGCCTGGTTACTTCCGTTGTCCAGCTGGTACACGTAGCTCAAGCGGTTAGAGCGATAGTATTACAATGTGGAATCCAACGTTTCGAATCCCGTTCTAGTCTTGCTATATCATTTTTACACTAAGAATACTGTTGTTGATGATAATTTATATTTTTTCCCATTTTCAAGATATTTATTAAAGCTACAGTTATGTTGGTAAAAACCGTTTCCAATCTGTAGTTTTGTTTCTAGTACGAGGATCCTTAATTATGCAAATTCACCACTTCACGCCTACAAGTCATGTCAAAACACTGTGAGCAAATAACAGACACCAAGCAAACATATAATTGCAAATGTATTTTGTCAAGAGCAAAAATAGTGTAATATGAACATGAACTGGTGAAAGAGGCACGTGCTGACCGCGTTGTGCTTATTTACTGTTACGACGGTTTCACGTCATATTACAAAAATAACTTCAAATTAAAAAACAAACAAATTAATACATTTTTGACCAATGGCATCACACACTATTTTAATAGATGACACATAGTAAATCTGACAGAACCAAACAGCATTCCATATATGTACGGATACGCTGGGATATCGCCTATTGTTTACTTTGAGGACCGTTTAACTATCTATTAATAAAACTAAAGATATTCATAATATAGTAAGTTTCATTAATATATACTGATTTTCTTGATATCAATATGTTGATCTGTTTTATAATTAAAAGCGAATTGGTGTAACCATCAAATGAACTAGTGATATCAAAACAAATTTAATGATGTCTTTAGTCTGATTTTGTGTGTTATTATAAAATTGAGTATCAAATTTCGTTAGATCAGACTATTTTACTTACAAATTTTCATGAAGTCAATCCGTTTTAGATGGATAACAGAGACCTGATTATCGGGCTACAGTAAGCAGAAAACAAAAAATCGTATCAAATAATATGGTTATACTACGGAAGCTTATTCGTTCCATCTTTGGAAGGAAAAATAAAACGACGAACGAAATGAAAGTCACACGCACGAGGTAAAACAAAGTATACAAATGAAATAAAAAGTCGTACAAATGAGATACAAAGTTGTACGCACGAGGTAAAAATCGTACGATCGAAATAGAATTCTGACGAACGAGACAAAAAATCGTATAAACAAAAGAAAAAAGTCGCAAATCGAGGTAAAAGTCGAATGACTTTTGACTAATTCCGACGAAGATTGATAAAATCATAGGAAGTTTCTTAAAGTTAACGATGTCAGAATGTCAGTCGATTGTTTTGACTGCTGGCTTGTAAACTTCCCTACGCTGACAACGGCGCTTACATGTAACAGGTTACAAGATTGATATTTTTTTTTTACTTTTGCCTTACAATTTCTGTCTGATTGACAGCGGGGCTCAACAGCCACGGTTTAAAGAATCAATGAGGCGAGGCAACAGCCAAAACTAAATTAAAGAATTCACCCCTGTATTTGTACCACCCAAGTGGACTTAATATTACCACTCGTAATCATAATAGCCTCTGTTATAAATAGGATGTTTCTGTCTATATAGGGCAATGTAAGAACTGTATTGACTTCAGGTAAAAAGTGTGTTACATGTAGTTCGTCCTATTTAACAAACTGTGACCCCTCCCGTTTACTTATGTAAATTATATGTAAATATTGCGAAATAGAGATAGAACGAACAGTTAGAATCGTCAACACATCTCTGGGTTTATTTTAACCAGTACCTTTAAATTGAATAGGTGATTTAAATGTATATAAGAAAACAACGCACACTTATGTTTAATGAATCAAGAACTGATGTTTTCTAATGTTAAAGATAGAAAATTAGCAAACACTTATTGGACTAATTAACCTCTTTCTTAAATATTCGGGATAAGATTCATCAGTTTGCTATGATGTATGATAAAAACATGTTAAGTTAGTTTTTAGCACAAACAGAAATTGAAAACTGATTTTGCGAGCTTTTGCTGCACTTTTCGCTTAATAAAGAAACAGACCGAGTTTCCAATATGTCTTATTTTTAAAGTTTTTATTGTGCTTTACGTCATATTAACACCTATCGAAATTTAAGGACGAGATAGGTTTCAATGATGGAGGGGAGCCGGAGTACCCGGACGAAAACCGTCGACCAGCGGAATGTACCTGGTGACTGCCCAAGGTTGACATCGAAGCTGCGACCCAATAGTGGAAATCTAGCGAACGCCTTAACCACTCGGCAACCGCGGCCCTAACGTCGATTTAACTACACACACGACCCTATTTGCCGATACATCTTCGTAACAAGGTTACAATAGTTAAAAGGTGTAAGTGAATAAACCAAATTTTATGAGGGATTTATATTTGAAAACATCAAATACCGTAAGGAGTCTTTGCATTACAAAATAAGCACGAACCGTTAGTAAATGTAAAAATACACTTATATTTTGCTTAACTGATATTCTACAAAATCGGTCTTCATCATGAATTTTAAAAGCAATCTGTTTCAACAGTAGTTTCGACCGATTTCGATTTCCATCTGTTTGACCCCTATCATCACAGATGAGCCTTAGAAGAACGAACCAGCTGTATGTTGAAGTTTAATTCATTTTTAGAATGATGTTATTATTATCAAATTTATCTCATTAATCACATACGTGTGTCTTATTCTCATAGTTGAAACATATCTACTGTTAAAATTAACATATATAATTTGGTGTTCATGCATGCCTGGTTTTGAAGAGAAGGAAAAATCGAAGTCTCAACAAAAATTGAAATCAAAATCGATAGAACTATAGAGTTAAATATGAACACAAGCAATATTTACAACGAACCCCATTATCAAAAACACCGATCTTAATATCACACAAAGAAATCCTGATGGCGACCATAACATGTCCGTCAGCAGTCCACATCTATCACAGAAGTCATGATATGCGGAACAAGATTTAAAGTACCGAATCATGTGCGACAGCATAGTAGGGGAAGCAGCGATGTTACTATCAATAAAAGAAGGTTCACGACTGGAAAGTCGAAACTCGCCAATAACATTAAATACATAAGCAGTCAAGAAAGTGTTTTTGTACGTGTTTAATTGAATCTTTCATTCTCCGAAGAAATCACAATGTAGTGAGCACCCCCTGAATATAAAAGAATAAAAACGGAAATTAGGGTATTACTTTATAAAAATGGTTATTTTGTATAATTAGTCATATGAAAATCAAATAATGTCACGTTTGTCCTTGTTTAAATTAAACATATTTATATCGCGAATTCAGAATGTTTCCAGTGCAGTGGTCAATTTCTTAAACACATCATACGTTAAATTCCAAGCGATACCACAAATGGAAAATCTTTTTACATATACTGTTCATTCTAGACACAACCTCATTATTCGCCTTAGTTTCAGCATACAAAATGGTTGAATGTTAGGACGACAAAGTGTTTACTACAATATATATTTTTTTACGTCTTGTTATATTTCTTGTATTTCTATGAAGTCGTAATACAATACTTATCCGCGATTATAAATGTGTTTATATTTTTATTCTATGGCAAAGGTTTTTAACTCATAGTGGGTAAGGGGAGACAACACGGATAGACACCTTAATGGTAAACTATTTAGATTAAACACCCCGACATAAAGACGTAACGAATGAGCTCATCCCAAAGAGTTACCGTTCAGCTAGCGCGCAGTAGGTAGTTGGTTCCATGGCATAAGGGAGCAAACTTATCTCCGAGGGAGAGTAAAGTCGGAAAATCAATAGCGTATTTGTGTCCCGTACTCAACTTCTTCATCAGTTGTAGCTAATAAATAAATGAAAATACGATGTTGTAATGCATGTAGCACAATCAGGATTCAAATTACTTACTTAGAATTCTGAATACATTAAGGGGATAGAAGGAAAAATCTCAATCGCCCATGTCAAATTTAAGATAATTATATACATGCATTGACTAATCCATTAAATTAATATAAGAACTTAAATGTTATCTAACACACAGAAAACAAAATCATATTTGCTGCTTTTAGAAATATATAAGAGTGAATAAATATGGACATACCTCTAACGATGTTAGGCCATTGTTCGTGTTGAGCATGCTCTGTTGGTAAGGTGTCAATATCATAATATAACAGGAATTGCCGAGATGCAATGCCATAGTATGCTGTAAAATGAAATTAATTCGTTATCGCTTCATTCTTCATACACACATGCCAATCTTATAAAATAATTATCTCGATTTTTCAGCAAGAAAAGGAAACATTAAACTTTTACAAACACACATTTTATGTTTGAAATGTATATTGCTATCTTCGAACGTTAGATATCAAACGATATGTACAATATTTATCATTTTTCATTTAATTGCTGTGATAAATTGCTAGACGTAAAAGAAACCATCATGAAAACGAATTTCGAGGTACCGTTTATTTGCATTATTACAACCAATTTAAGAAATGGTATGATGCGTGCAGATTCATGCGTAATAAAATCTATAAACTAGCAATATTGTAATGAGAAGTAAAGATGATAAAGTATTTCATAATTAATAAATGAAAGGTTTTTTTTTTGTTCTGCATGTACATATTTATTTAATGCTTTTTAGAAAACTACGTTTAAATTATCAGAATTCGAATGACGTAACAAACAATCTTACAAATACTTATTATCACCTACCGTCCACCTGTCGTAAAGAAAAGTTGACCCATCATACACGATGCGAGATCCGTTTGCGTTAGGATAGCTGTGATTGCCATAGGTACCGTTGTGGTAAGGGAAACTGTGGTTGCCATGGGTGCCGTTGTGATGAGGGTAACTGTGGTTGCCATGGGTGCCGTTGTGGTTAGAGAAACTGTGATTACCATGGGTGCCGTTGTGATGAGGATAATTGTGGTTACCATGAGTACCATTATGGTTTGGAAAGCTGTAATTTCCATGTTGATTATGGTTGTGGTTAGACGTGTAATTGACATATTCGGGATAGATATATCCGGTACCATTCTTAAGTTGCCATTGTGGAAGAGATTGTCCCTATTCGAAAAAATGTTAATTACAAATAAAATGAAACAGTAAAACGTGTGACAGCGAGTTACCACCTTTACTTTAAGTGACTATTGCAGATAAGGGAAGTCAAATCGAGGCTAATTGACGACCAAACATGATAAGGATAAGTACACAATATGGTGCGTCCTTTTATCGATATCCGTAACTTTCAAATCGTAAGTTAATGTAGGATATTTACGTCCATAATTACCACTTCTGTCATTTTGATTGATTTAACGCTCAAACTGTACAAAAATACCATTTTGACTTTGTGTTCCATCATGCTCATGTAGTGCCAAAATAAATCCTTAAATCGTGCAAATGGTTTGCTTCAGGAACACTCATGAACTAATAAAAGCAAACATTAGTGTTAACTTCTTTGAAGTATGAATGAAAACACTCCTACAAGACATTTGTGTATACCATTCAGAAAACTTATCACTTTTAAGAAATTGCTACACGGCCAGGTTCGCCTTTTGTAAGACAACATGTAGACAACTCCTCCGAGCGGCTAATTGTGTTTATCTGACTCTATTTATCAAAGAAATCACATTATTGATGAACAATAGAATGCTCACGAATTATTATCTATGTGTATGTTTAAGTTTGCTTACCAATGCCACGACAAGCAAGAACACTGCAGCAATCAAGTAAATGTTGTTCATGTTGTAGTCGACTGGTCATGTCAACCTTACTGATAAGCCTTTTATACTTGGTGTTTTACCCCCATTTTCTTATCTTATAACAAGTCCAAATACTCTCCCAAACATATACTTTATGTCGGTTAGATCTTGGATATATTCAGGGCCTTAACGAAATATACAAAATATTAACCCTGCAGCAAATTTATGAAAAAATGGTAGCTAGAAATACAAATTAATGGCGTAACTATTTGAAAACGTTGTAAGACTAAGCAGAAAACAGACGGAAAAGAAATAAGATGTAGGTCATTAGTAAGGCTTTTGACCGTGTTTGGCACCGTGGTCTCTTAACCAAACAACGGAGTTTTGGAACTACTGGGAAATTGTTGTCATGATTTTCAAACTATCTTTCGGATCGTAATCAGCGAGTTGTCATCAATAATAAGTATTCGTCTTGGCAAAAAGACAATGCAGGCGTCCCACAAGGCTCTATATTAGGACCACTACTATTTCTAATTTTTATTAATGATATAGCCGACAAGATTCAATCAATTATTAATTTATTTGCCGACGATACATTTGTATGCTACAGTTGATTTACCCACAGATAGTGCTGCTGTCTTGAATAGGGACTTGGGGAAAATATTTAATTGGTCCAAAAAAAAAAGAAACTTTGATTTTGATTGTTAGTAAAAAAGCAAACAAATCAGTCCATCCTCCTATGACAATGAATGAGAATCTAGTACACGAAGTGAATGCACATAAACACTTGGGTGTATTTTTCTCATGTGATGGTGGGTGACAATGCCATATTGAATATATTGTTAAAAAGGCATCTGCTAAACCGATATCAGAGTATGGAGATATTGTTTGGGACAATCTGACCAACCTACATTTACAAAAGATAGAAAATATACAACTTGAAACTGCACAGGAGGCACCAAGCTCACTAGTCATGCAAACCTTTACAAAGAAACAGGATGGCAAACACTTGCTTGTAGGCGGAAACACCACAAAATCACACAATATCACAAAAAAGTACACAACATTACCCCACAATATCTTAGAAACATTCTCCCAGAACGACATTCGCACATCCACCAACATAACACTAGAGACGCAAATTGATCTAGACCTGTACGTTGCAGAACAAACTTATATAAAAAATCTTTCCTAACTGCTTCTGTCAATCTATGGAACGTTTCTTACCTATTAAATTCATACAATAATTGTTCACTCATAAAAACCTCGGTTTTGTGTATAAGGGTGTGCGAGGGGGTGTGGTTGTGCGCGCGCCTGGGTTTTTCCCCATTTCAGTTGTGCCATATGCTATTGGTATTTTCGTAGCATCTTTGTAGTAGTACACAGCATACATTTTTCCACTGTTATAAATCCGTTATGCCATCAGTGACATTTACATAGGTTAACGTTTGTACAATGGCAAATGCTATTCTTTCTTCTCTTCCTATTTCTTCTCCTCTTTCTTCTACTTCAAAGTCTCTATTATCCATTATCATTTCTGCTAAGGAAACAGATTGATATAAGTTTAATAACTTGTTTCCGGATCCTATTTCATGTATGTAATAATTAAATGTTCTGTATATTGTAATTGCAAATTTACGAAATAAAATATGGTTTATACTAAACGTTGAGGTGTCATATAGCTAGGTAAACGGCAATTATGACGATGTATTTTGGCATTTTATCTCACCATTCGAGAATCATCTTTTCGTTTTAGCGAATGTGACTATGAAGTACGAGCAAATTTGATCCACATGTCTTAAGTACATTGTATGGTAAGTGGTCCTTTGTTCGCTGTCAATATCTGTTGAACCCTTCGAGCTAGTAACAGGGTACATTTAGATCCTTACAGAGAACATTAGACTATGAACCCTATCAAATACCTGTATATTAACTTATTTTAATTATACAGTATAACATGACCACTAGTGCTCTCAAGTCAAAGAATCGATGTATCTTATTCTACCGTTGCAAGATGGGACTGATTTGGATCTCTTCCAGAATCAGGGGTTATTGTCTGTACTGGCTGCTTAAAGACTTACAAGAGCCTCAAGTATCTTGTGTTTAAGATTCACAAGTGGCTTACGTTTCAATTCTAAAGAACAAGTACCATGTTACCTTATAGGGGAACTTCAAGTTTGATAATGTGAGATAATGTGCTTTGAAATTATTATAACTGTATCATTTTAATTAAATTTTCTTTTATTTGAATAAAACTTAAATTATTATTTCATTTTAAAATAGTATCATCAAAGCGTTACATGTTTAACTGGGAGGTTGTTTTTCTCACGTTTATAATAGTTTACTTTTACATTACATAAACATATATTTGCAACTTACGAGCTAATCTGCTTTGAATTTAAATAACGGCTTTTTTTTCTATTCTGATATAAAAATTGAAAAAAAAAAAATGAAATTTCAAGGTGAAAGTTAGCATACGGCAATAGTGTTTACTACTATCAAAACAATAAAATATATACGACATCTGTCCGATAACGCAAAAAGCGACAATGACAATGCCCTGCATGCTTGATGTCCTATCAATGGAAGAGTTGTCAAAAATGCTGTTAAAATGAAATCCACGGACTAAACTTACTAAGCTTACGTCTATATATTATTCGGTGAAAAGACTAGGAGGCACTGTGAAGGGATATTTTACGAAACACAAAATTAATTCACATCGGGAAGAGCGACTGGTCCGACGAAAGTATGTTTGCTGTCTTCCAATTATATGTAATTGAAATAGAAAGTTATTGTAACTCACATGATGCATTGTTCCCTTGCAGGTTAACCAATGACAACAAAACATAATCTTTATAATTTGCCAATGATCATTTGACGTGTTAACACTACTCTGTCTTTCTATACGCCAAACCTGCTGTCTATTCTACCCACAATCATTTACCTGAGCCCAACGAAAAAGTCCATCAACATTTCTTTTTACGATGGAGCTTTCTGTACGTGATAATTGGTAATTTTGACTTTTACTATAACAAACAAATGTAATAATAGTATAATAGTAAGTATGGATAAATATGATATATTTTTATACATATTAATCCAAATCTGTAGATTATATATTCTTTATTATGAAAATATAAATATTGATAAGATTTAATTACTAGTATATTTAAAAGATTATTTATCATTCTTATTTTTCAACAAATTTTTCAAAATTATTATTGATATTTTGATTTCTTTGTAAGAATTGCTCATATGCATCCATTGGTACATGTTTTAAAAATATAGTGTATAAAACAAATAATGCAACCAAATGTGTTACTGTATGGTGGCTTGATTTTTACGTTGCACATGTTTTTATTGTAACATAGTTCAAAACTGGATCCCCACTTAACTTTTCAAAATCATAAGTCGACATCATAAATGGAATAAACAAAATACGTTAAATAGATTTTTCGATTTTTTGTCTTTAGTAAAAAAAAATTAAAAAAATTGGAAAGAATCGTTTTAAGATATGTAACATTGCAGTTTTTATATTACATCAAAATATCAAGTTAAAAAGGTACCAAAACTGTGTTATCCATATGTTCGTGTTGTCTGACAGATATCAGTATCTGGATGAACGCCAACATGCTTAAACTTAATCAGGAAAAGACGGAACTAATCGTCTTTTCCCCAAAGTGTCAGCAAACAATGGCTCTCCAGCTCAAGGTTGGTGCCAGAATTATTGAGACTGTTCCAGCTGTTAAAAACCTAGGGGTATACTTTGACAGTTCTCTGAACATGGAGAAACAAGTGAACGCTATTGCCAAATCCTGTTACTACCAGATCAGGAACATCGGCTGTATTCGGCAGTTTCTAACTGCAGATGCATGCAAGATTTTGGTGCATTCACTTGTTACCTCTCGGTTGGATTATGGTAACGCCCTGCTCTGTGGTATATCTGACAAACTAACTAGTCGTCTGCAGAGGGTTCAGAACACTGCAGCACGGCTAGTTACTCGTACTCGAAAGAGAGAGCACATCACACCTGCGCTTTATTCGTTGCACTGGTTACCTGTACGATACAGGTCGCAGTACAAAATTCTGGTATACACATACAAGGCACTGAATGGAACAGCTCCTCAGTACCTACAGGAACTTGTTACCCTGTATCAGCCGTCAAGATCACTGCGGTCGGAGTCAGAATCTTTGTTGTGTGTCCCAAAATCTCGTACTGTGACCTACGGAAACAGATGCTTTGGGAGGGTTTCGGCTACGTTGTGGAATAGCTTACCATCTGCTATTAGGAAGTCGAATACCCTGGCCAAGTTCAAGAGGGACAAAAAAAGTCACCTCTTCACGTCTGCATTTTAGAATCTTTGCAAAGTCGTCATGTAAATACCACCCTTTTATTTGTTCAATTATGTGCACATTGCTTGTTAAATGTATGAAAGTGATTGCAAGCCTTTGTTGTTTGTTTTCACAATTATAACCATTACTATATGTTGTAAAGCGCCTTAGAGTAATTTTACAAATTATATAGGGCGATATATAAATGCTGTATATTATTATTATTATTTATTATTCGTCTTCTGCCTTAGATTCTAGACAGTGTTATTCAGAGATAAGAAAAGACACGAACTGTTACTCTTCCCTTGAACTTTTATCATTGCTGTCTCATAATTGGAACAATGGATGATATTATAATTATATACTATTATTTGTTTGAGATCATTGTACAAAATGCACTGAATAAACAAGAAGCATGGGTAAGACTAAGATTTTGATAAAGGGTTGTAGATGACCCTCCACACGAATTATAATTTCTATAAGACGTTTTCAGTATACAGCAAAGTGTTATGTAGCTGAATGCATTTTTAATAAAACACAAAATACGTTAAAACTAACCAAACTTCTCTTCTTTCAGCAAAATCGTGCCATGTTTTTTTTATAAACCTGAAAGCATGTATGTAAAGTGAGTGATATAAGAAAGCCACGAACTTAAATTTCATAATGGTCAAGTGTCCTTGTAGTAGGTCATGGGAAGGGAAACGTGGTATGTTCTGGTATAATAAAGGGAAAGGCCCTCCCAACAAACATGGCTCAAAATGACAATAGTAGTTTATTTTCTGTTTAGGCGTTAAGCCAATAATGTCAGTGTTTTTCTTGTCATTTTTCAATCTTTCTCAGACTTGACAAGCTGCATAACCCAACCTGAATACAGAGATATTGTCGCCGTTTTATTTCACTTGCACCTCCTTACTGAAATAATTAAGGACTGTATATCACATTTCAAAAAGAAAATCTTAAACCACCTTGAAAAATGTTAATCAGATAAACGCAATTTGAAGCAAACCAGACATATGAGTAGAAATATATAACAATTCATATCATTTTTCAGAAATAAAGTAAAAAGCATATCTGTATTTCATAATAAATGTATCTATTTACAATTGCCTTGATTTCCCTCATAGAAAACATACTAACAGCAACTGTGTATACATGCCAATAAAATGGGTCGAGAACGTGACCTAGCCGGTGACGTAACAATTGGCGTAGGAATACACGTACACAAGTCAAAGGTCACCCAGGCCCATTCATGTTTACAAACAAAAACCACGTGTTGGTATCATCGGCCAAACGAGACATCTAAATAATGTTAATAAAGGGTTTTTTATTATTTGTTTTCTAGACTCTAAAGATGATACTTATTAAAAACAAAATTTTAAACAAGAAATTAATAACATATGACGAGAAATCTGTGTATTGAGGGTCGTCTGCTTAACTTGGACACCTGCCAGTTTCACATGTCGGTAACGCATTGACTGAATGATGGCTGGTGCATTTGGTAATTTCATAGTTTCTCTACCAGGGGAATATAATGTTGTAAAGGACTTGTTAGACTTCGATTTTGGAGACGACTTTGACACCTTTTTATCAACACTCCAAGCCTCGGACATGATGCCAATTGTAGGTCCTTAGGTTTTGAATATTGAAGCCATTGGTGGACTCCCCCCACCGGAGACTCCTTCCTCCCCAAAACCCATTGGAAAAAATGGCACGGAATCAGGTTCACCGCCATCAAAAAAAAAAGGTTCAAGAAGGTTTCAGCAGATGCTATGAGGAGATTTGAGGACATGTATCAGTCAGATGCGACAAAGAGAAACATAAAATGGGGCATAATGATTCTTAAAGGTAAACAATAGACAGACATGAATCATAAACTAACCGGTAAATATATGAATATACAACTCTTGTAAATGACATGGTGCTATCATACAGTAGATCTACTACACGTCAGATTGAGTAACACAACACAACACTACCATTGAAATGCAGATAAATTAATACAAAATATCTGTCAAGTCATTGCCATTATTGATTGCGTAATGAATTATCAGTTTGTAACCGTTGGTTGTATTTAAATTGTAGATTGGCACAGGGAAGCATATTGCTCCGATGTCAGCATGTTGACCATCACAGCTGACGGGTTGGCCCACAAACTCACTAATTTTATTATGAAGCAAAACCAAAAGAGAAACCATCTGATAGTGCTACCAAGCCTTCTGCGAACAATAACGAACATCATACAAACAGTTTAAAAAATATACGGGCAGCAATAAATAGACACCTCGAAGATCTAGGTCGAAATATTGACATTGTCAATGATCGGGAGTTTTTAAAAATCATGCAACAAAACCTTAAAGGAACTTCTGAAAGACCGTATGAGTCGCGGTCAAAACAGCGCAAAGAAATAATTACTCAGAACGATTTCAAGAAAATTGATGCTTACCTTGAAACTGCGAACAAATCTCCAATCGGCCTCCGTTTAGCAATTTGGTTTATGACCTCCATTCATTTTTGAGTCGAGGATTGGAATTCCATTTCCAATTAAACATCGATTCATTTGTCTTCAAACATGACGAGAACGGTGTTGAATGTGCATGTCTGACCAGGCAGAAAAACTGGCAGTGCGGTCTTTACAATAACGAGCCAATGGCCGAAAAACGTATGTACTTTACTGGCACATCGTTGTATCCCGTCAGACTGTTGAAAGAATATATCAATAAAACTGATGACAAAGCTACACGTCTGTTCAACACGTGCGTGAAGGAAGCCTTGAATTCGCCGTTGAACTGAAAAACGTGGTATACTAATAAAGCCCTTGGTAAATCTACCTTCACCAACTTCCTCCCGGACATCTGTAAACAGGCAGGCTTTTCAAAAAGCTATACCGCCCACTGTTTACGAGCATCGTTTATCCAACGCATGTCTGATGCGGGCTTCGAAGCAATAACATTTTTGTTCATGTAGAGATTGCTCCACTGCCCAGAAACGGTCCATTAGTGCTACACTGACATCCATGAACTCAGGCCTCGACACCTCTGTCTCGGCAATTGACACAAATCCTATGCCTGTTGTCGAAAATAATTCGACAGTAACACGTCCAAATTTACCATCATTTCTCTCCTCAAATGTGCAATCGACGTCAGGGATGCTTACAAACTCGAGTTTTGCAAATTGCACGTTTAACATTAAAATGTAGGCTCGTTTCATGTCCCACCTCGTCGGCGAAGCTGCATCACAGTAAAACTGATATTCTACATCCGCGTCTTGTTAAGTTTTGTGTGTTTGTACATGTTGCGTAGAAACAATTGGATTTTTTTAATAAAGATATTATTTTAGCACACAAACTGTTACATTTTTTGGATGCATATTTTTCAAACAATTAAATTAAAGAGTTGCAATAGAAGAACTACTTTGTTTTGTTTCGAAGGGGGAAATGTGGATTAGTATAAACAAAAAGCATTGGTGAGTTGAACACGCCATGTAGTGTATAGACTGGACACAATAACAAAACATGAGGCTTGTAGAATACTTATAACTGACAAAAAATACAGCAGTTGGTGAAACAAAAGAATAATTATGGCACCGAAGGAGTAGTCATCATTCGGTAGTGCACGAGCATGTTTCTTAAATTGTCTATTTAATATAACACAGAGCATTATAATCAAAGGAGGGTGATAGTTTGTTCGTGTGTATACATTCAGGTAGTCATGGTCGTCAAATTTGTCAGAGATACTGGTAACGAGGTGGGCACCATTGCGATACCGTAGGCAAATGTAAAGATATGAATCTGACAACGCCGAGAAGACAGTGTTTTATTGACATTCATATCTTTATGTCTTTGTCTTTCCATTTTTATACCCCGAAACGAACTTGCTTTTGATACGTTTCTTCTTATTATTGTACCTCCGTCAAACGCTTTCTAAATGGGTTTGTTTTTCTTTAGAAAATACGTGCCTGGTACTTATGAAGGGTATGTGAACAATGATGGGCGTGTCCTGTATAACGTGCTACATTTTCCTGATCGGTCATCAAACATGGCCTCTATTGCTTCTGATTGGTTAACACATCTATGAGTGAAAAACAAGGTGGTGCGTTTTGTCCATCTCTATGTCTGATTATGCTCAAAACTTAGTATGTAGTTATAATTAATTTCTTTCTGGCGCTTCAGTTTCAAGTAAAGGCTTGTTCGGGGGACTAACAGAATTGTCCCTGGTGTAATAAAGAAGTGTTTTCAATGTTAAGCCACGTGAACAGTAATGTATATGGAGCAAATTTATTGGGTATGTTCAGCAATATTATTCCGTTAAGGAACCTCTGTTCTCATTGCTGTCTTTCATACTGACCTTTTAATTCGGTTTTTGATTGATACATTGTAAATCTGTTTCATTTTCTAACATTTAGTTTTGAAAACAATGTGATGAAACACTTTCGCTTGTTATAAGCAGCTTTCTTCAATTTGATATTCTTTTGTCGACTCTCTCTCTCTCTCTTTGTAAATAAGAGATAGCGCTGTTATCTTATTTGATTTATTGATTTATCGGGTGACAACAGTTGTTATTTAATAGGCAAACCAATCTTAACAGAAGCAATACAATTTTCATCAATATTTTCGTAACCCTACGAATATTTATATCTGTAAACATCAGTTAAAAACCGGCTATTGTTTTTCAGAAGTTTTTTACTGGGTGTTGTGGGGGGTAGGTATTTGTTAACTGAGTCCGATACTAAAGGAATTATTCGAAGGATGGTTTCCGAATGTTTAGCGTTCACTTAAAAGGACTCTATCTTTTTATATAAGTTTCTACATATTGTCATAATAAGATGAACTTAAAAACATTTTAGAATCAAGTAGAAATTAAATATAACGATAACGGGGATATTATTCCTGACATAAACCCAAAGGAAAACATTAATGTCACATAAAGAAGATGACAAGAATTATGTCGACAAATATGCTGGACGTTTGGGATGCTTTGCAAAGGAATTAGTACTCACTGGATTAATCGTTTTGCAAATTACTTAGTACACCTACCAGATTTGTAACAGTGACCAAAACTAGGGAATGCTGCACAAGAAAGTATTAGTATACGATTAGTCGAGGACATACCAGGTATTGGTGAAATTCAATACTAATCGCACGAACTCGATCTATTTTATTACTCATACTGATGACATAGTTGTTAATAAAATGTGTCCTTAATGTTTAAACAAAACAATAAGTTATCAATTTTTCATCAGAGCTGTATATATTGACAATAAATAAACCATATGGCTAACTGGATCCTATTTTGTTGAGTCGAGATTACACTCAAAGCAAACTCCATAGGATAATTATAATCCGTGAAGTGTTTGAAATATGTACAATATTTTTACCTGTATTATGTTTCAGTGTGTTTATGTAACTTCAATTCGATTTCCAATATGTTTGCTGAATAAGAGAGTAATAATAAAATACTTCATTGAAAAACCTGTTTCTAATTTATTCACACAATTGTACTTTTGGTAGTGCTATGATGAATCCTTTTCAAGACAAGTATGTCATGTCCTGCGCAAAAGTGTTCAACATCCCTACTTAATGTCTTAGCATCTTCATGGGTCATTTGGGTATGCATGCCAGCGGCTACGAGGTACATCAAGATACTCTGAAAATAAAAAGTCAGTCAGTTTCTTTTTTCAGGCTTTACCGCCCCTCAACACAAGAATGTCAGTTTTGGCCTTCAACTTCAAACAGAAATTCAAATGACACCAATTGGTAAATGTTGTATCAATAGATATATATATTCTACAAGTAGTGTAAACAGTATTTTATATTATAGAGGCTTATATTTTGTATGAACCTAATGATATCTAGTTGTCACAGGGACTTGTCCAAAAAGTTCATAGAAATTTTGTACATTGAAACATATGTCACATAACTGTTGAAGATCACTTCCACGTGATCATAATATGGTTAACAGTGAACATAGTATTACAAGCGAAACAATATGGTGGGTCTGGCAAATGTTCATTTATGGACTTGTACATGACACAGGCCATTACATTTTCACTCTATGTTTGATAAAGCTATTGTCAGTTGATGAAGGTATATGCTGTACTTCTACTTACTTCGAATTTTATAAGTCCATCTGCAGTATGTATTAATGGCTGTTGCGATGACGTGACGCCATGGAGGTAACAGTAATGCCCAAGCTTCATAGCCAGTTGATGCTATGGAAAAAGAAATTCATGTATACAGGTTAGTGTATATCAAAACGATGAACCTAAAATTCACACATTGGACTGCTCCTGTACAATTTGATAATGCATGTAGATAAAGTATGCTAAAAACGAATAACACTGTACTTCACAGCTGTTCCGTCCTTCTAGGACTCACCGGTGATACTAGGGACCGAAATTATAGAAAAACCATTTTTTTTTTTTTTTTAAATGTATCATTTTTTTTTTAAATTTTCTTAACGGGTACATACCGTCGGAGCGTCATAAAAAAACAAAGCCTGGTCGAACTCGTTTGCATCGTTGACATTATGATGACGAATGGTGGTTGATGGCATTGGTTCTTGTGTTGTTAGCAGATCTAGAAATGATGGTGTTACTGTTTCTTGCAATACAGTAAATCCAGATATCTGTAAAAAAAAAACACACACACACAAATTACACAAAAGAATGATTTATTTACCGCACACCAAGTGCTCCCTTTATAAAGGTTGTGGTAATATTCTGGGAGCATATCATATGCAACCACTGTCTCAGCCAAATTTCATAAGTATTATAAAGTTCTTACTGTATATTGCACGAATAAATAAGTATTTTTTCATTATACACGCATTTAACCAATTAAACCCTAACACAAATCAAGTAATACGATAAATATATGTGTCAGATCAGTAAAAATTAAAGCAGGCTTGATTATATAGAAATGGGTCAAGTATTCATAAAAATATCATGGTTGATGTTATTTGCAAAGACCATTCTATTCATTTTTGTTTACAAAAGAACTTTAACATAACTAGTTTTATTTAATTAGTAAAGAAATTAAAAATGAATATAGGTATTTAAAACCCGCGAAAGGTAAGTCATTCAACACTATCTAAACACCTCTTTTTAACCAAAACCAATAAACTATAAAAAAACAAATACTGTTTCATTATCAAAAATAATAATTACACATTTAAGGATAAACGTTCGATGATTGATGTTTTTATCCTAGTCATTAGAAAAAATCATCGTAATAAAACCGATATCTTTCTCACTGCTCAATATTCGTTTTTTGGTTTACGCCAATCAAAACTTCTAATCCCCACTGCATCAGAAGCACAGGGTTTTTGAAACACATGTAGGTGAGGCGACTGAGAAATTATTAGTTCTGTATGTACGTCTTTGCTTTAAACACCAGTATATTTTTTCTTACTCTAATATTGATCATTTTGCAAAAAAGATTTCACCATATTTTAGAAGAAAATTGTATGACTGTTTGTATATAGTAGACTATTTGAAATAGTGAGCAATCTTGTTGTCAGACGTGATCGCATTCTATGAATATAGCGCCAAAGATAAGCTATTACTGTATATCTCAAACTGTCTAGATTCACTAAGGAGGTTGTCGTTCTAGAGAGTTTAAAAGATCACGTGTATAGTAGGGTATACCAAAATGTTCACTCATGCGATGTACCCACTGGAAATATTGGTAATCTACCATACTCATGAAATGCATATAGTATTAAGCTGATAATAAACAAAATTCCTCTATGTAATAAATAGAAATAAACACTAAATCCAATAAGATCATATTTAAAACAAAAAACAATACAACTTATTTTAAAAGGTAATTAAGTTTGTTAAACAAAGTTTTAAAATACCACGGTGTTAACACATATGGCCCAATTTGAAACAAGCACACATCCAATATACTAAGGACAACATGAGCCCCTATATTACAAATGAAAGATGTAAAGTGCACCTTGTGTATATTTTCATCGGAGTGCGTTAATAACATACCTGCCCAATCAGGCACACGGCGATAGCTAACGACCAGTTCATCATGTAGAAGTGAAATGTCAAGAGTGACACAGTTCCATTCACATACGATATATAACTGGAGACAGAGAGGAACCAAAGGGGCGGTCGATACATAACATTCTACGTTATAAGCTTTTAAAACTTTTATCTTAACATTCAAATTTTGAAATACAAATTTTATCACCTGATTTTTTAAATGACAAAATCCGTAAAATGTGTAAGATGTTAACATGTTAACATGTTTACAATGCTCCATACGTCCATTACCTATGACTGCCTGTTGAGTCAAACGAGTGCAAGATGACCAATAATGTTGTCATACATCATGTATCGACTACATACTTTGTTTTTTTATGCAAATAATTTATCACTTCGCATTTCTAGTGACGATTCCTACTTGCATACAGCTGAACTATGTATTCAGTTTTGGCAGCGTGACATGGAATACTTGTTTGACAATGTATTATTCTTTTGTGGCCAAAATTGTTAAGGAAGGGTGCCATTGAAAGCATTCTGGTGGCTTTCATCGATCAGATATATTTCGTATAAATGTACATTGATCTTATGCGCGTCACGTAATAGTATGATCAAGGTCAACTTGGAAAGACCAGAGGCTCAAGTGGGGGATTAAAATCACAAATGGCCTCATTTGGACAAAATTATATATTAGTTTATCTTTCTCTGTATCTGTAATATAATGAATTGTGCAACACTGAATATAACAGCAGGCATATTGACACAAGGGCTCGCACGTTTTGGCGACATCGTGTAAGTTTTTGCAATGCTAAGGAATTAGTTACTATTTACAGACAGAGTTGATAGACCCGATGTTGTTCGGTCAACTCCCTTTCCTTATCGGATCAGCACTTGTCACACTGTTGCATAGTCAGCATTGTTAACTTTACGTTAAATATAAAAAATAATATAAGGTCTATGCCCCACAAGGTTTTTTCTGGTTTTCACAAATATGTTTTGTTTTTTTTTATTTTTGGTCAGAAATACCTTGAATTCAGATTTATTTCTCTTACACTGGACAGATTTATCCTTACTTTTACCGGTGTGAGATTTCCTTGTCTCGACCTAGGGTTGAGACAAGCTACACGTGCTCTTTGCACGTTCTCCACAATAAACCCGATGCCACTGATGTGACCCGGAAGAAGAACTACTTTTATGTGGTCACACACATACACAAGTTCGTCTGCTTATCTTGTCGTGTTTATACTTGACATCAAAGAAGATTGGATTGATTTTAAAATGTTTAAAATATGATGCGTGAACCGTCTGACGCATACATATAATACTAATACGCTATCCACGTGTTCCTGTTTACAAACAATATGCTTCGTCTTACACTTGGACAGGAACAACAGGGTAAGAGAAAAATAATCATTCACCCCTTCGGGAATGAGATAGGGGGATCTCAACCCTCGGGGGGGGGAAGATTCTTAAGTTGCCAAACACTCGGCGAAGCCTTGTGTTTGGCAAATTTGGCAAATCTTCCCCCCTCGTGTTGAGATCCCCCTATCTCACCCCCAAGGGGATGAAAGATTTTATTAATCTTAAAGGCAGGATAACATTTAACAAAATTCGGTACATGCAACATAGTGACCCAACTAATATAGTAATTTAACACGATATTAAAGAGCATATCCTTATTCTTAATAATCACTGCACGATTCTTGATACTCTTCCTTTAATAGAATACTGAATTATAATATAGTCTCGCTCGCGCGTGCGAGAGCTCAATAAAACTGACCGTAAGAAAATCTAGCAAACATCTGAAATACTACACTGTGACATTGGTATATATCCGGTTAATTGTGTTAACAATACGCGCTATTTTGTGCCCTAATAAACAAAGGGACATGTCGATATCCAAATCAAATTGTGTTTTGAAATGCCTTTGACTTATCACAAGAAATGGGAAATACGATGTTGAAGTAACTAAAGAGACTTACGTCCTATTTGTATGACATTATGACACAGCAGCTATTTTTATGGTCATGTATTTGTCTTTACAAAATAGATTGTACCCGAGTAGTATTTTTTTAAATAACAAGTTTGTATAATTCACTAAGTTGAGTTTTGAATTTCAATGCTTTGATCATGTTCAGTACAGTCTACATTCAATAATAAATTATGGAAAATCAGGTTGCACATAAACGTATTAGATTCTGTTCCAATATTGAACAATGTTTTGGCTAACAAAATGGGTATATACATATAACCACTCCCGAAACACATTTACCATATTTATTGGGGTGGATGTCTTTATATATATGATAATATGTAATTACATATACATTTCCAGTCCTTATTATGCTTTACTTTCCTTCATTAAACACTTGGAACAACTTCAGAGGGAAAACATTCTAATACAAGTACCCATAACAACATAATAAGATGTTTAAACCTTCAATTACCCCTAGTGCTTCACTGTTGGACATTTTCGGGGAAACTTTTATTTCTTGTACACGCCATAACATCTTACTAATAGAGTTAATCTTTTTTTCTCCTAATTCATCCCTTTATTTCTGTAGATTAAGCTTTGCTATGCTTATTTAATTTGGCATGCTTGGTGTAAGCTCCTTATCTGTAGCTAAGGACAAAATAAAGTATGTTGTTGATAAGAATAAACTAATTTCACTGTGACCTACGCATAAATAATGTACCAGTTTTGGGGATCAGCTTCATTATATCGTCTTAAGTGTTGCACAATGCATCAAAATAATGTAGAAAGATCCAGAAAAATTACATATAGTTTTCTCAAAAGGAGGCCATTTTGTTACCCGACTTTATCCTATCATATCTCGGGATGGTCTTCAATGTTACTTTATTTTCAAATAATATGATCACTGTATCATTCAAAAATATACTATTGATGTATGTATTGCTTCCTTAATCATCACCTTTGGTGAGCACTACTCTGCTTTAAAAAGTTGAAAATAATAATTGGACAGTATTATCAATATTTTTCTTGTCGAATAATGCATTTAGTTAAGGTAATGTACACATGATTTAGATGTTTTTCTTCATAGTTTTCGTCAATCTGATAATGTAGATATGTTTACACAAGTCAGATGTATGACGTCAGATTTCAATATTTTGACATAAGCACTGTGAGAACTTTACGTTGCACTTTACGTTGTTGATTATAAATAACCGTATACCTCAATCATAATTTACAATATGGCGTTGATTGCGTAACCTCAACATAAATACACCGGATCATTTTTGTCGATAGAGAATCTTAGCCGAATCCCTCTTCAAGATGTACTGAACGTTTGTCGTCGCCCTCTGCCTGATTGAATAGGTACACTCTTTTTTAATAGAAACCTAGACCAAAGTTACATGTTGTCAAGGAAACGCTCAATTTCCTAAGTACTTGGTTACGTCTTTATTATCATTGGCTCTCTTTCGTTTTGTTTTTGAGTCAGTTTGATATCTTATTTTTTCTAGTTCATTAATGATGTTGTTTATCAACTGTATTTAGTCAGTTACCTTATAATTATGTTGCTAGCGATGATTCAGCGTTAACTGAATATGCATTTATAACAAGTTTGTTTTCGTTATAGAGAGGTGACGGTATGTGTAGTGTTTATTTCTGTGTTATACTTACGAACTGGAAGTGGTAATGATACATTTCACCTGCATAAATTAATCGGAGTTTAATGGCACTCCGAATAGCAAACCATCGTTATTTTCTAATGACTCGATGACTCACACACAGACAAGTTACACACATAAACACCAATTACACAACTCTTGGGACGCAAACACACAGAAATGCACACAACTATAATGGCAATCGCCTCTTTTATACGTATGACTATGTACACATGAATCCTGTGCTTGATGTCTAAAGACCTCCATTTCAAGCGTATGGTTATCAACGTTTAAATTCATCATTCGGTGAGTATTTAATCCTGCATATTGTTTTTCAAATTTGATAAATATTCACCTTTAGACCTTTGTTTTTATGAGTGTCACTATTGGTAATAATGTGGTTAATTAAAACGATAGGCGGGCGATAACGGTTTAATTTTGAACCTGTAAGCCCTACTTTTTTGCTTAAATTAAAATGTACTATGCTTTCTTTATTTAGCCCAACAATTATTAATATTCAAGACATTTTCTCAAATCTTCACTACTGGTGTTGGATCATTATCTGCAATTTTATAGGGAAACAACATCTATATAAGAATGAATAAATATTACAATGTTTTTAATCGGAATAAACTTTACGAATATTGTCATTTTTATAAAAGAAAACAACAAATGGCCTAAATATGAGCTCTGGGGAACGCCAGCTGTACTTTGTCTAAGGGTGCTTTTGTAACTTTGAAATTTAAGTTTTTGAGATTTATTAATAAACTTCTTTTCAAATCAATAATAAATACTACCTGAGATACAAATCATCTATACAAAATCCGTTTATACCTAACTCAATCAAAACTTTTCTCTTATGTCAAGAAATACAAATCTATTATCTTTTTATCTAGATGTATACTTATCGTATCATATACTGGAAGAAGTTGGTCGACTGTAGAATCGCAATATTAGAAACCTGATTGCTATTTACTATAAGACCTATTTTTTATGATGATGAATTCGTATGTAAATACTATTTGTTCAGAAATTTTGGATAGACCTGATGAAATTGTATATAGTTACCTGGGTCAGTAGTATCGCATTAGCTTTCGAAAGAGCATAAACATTAGTTACTCCCCACGTATGAGTCTAACCACAAGAAAAAAAACTTTCATTGAACAGGAGTTTTACAACGGAAGGAAGTAAAAACTTAATTAGATTTCGGATAACACCATCATAACAGAAACAGTTGACTTATTTGCCAACAGACCCTGTCTCCGGCACACATGCACGCTTACACAACACACAAAGCGGCACGCCCTTAGCTGTTAAAAGGACGTTAAACAATATAAAACCAAACCAAACTAACTAAATGCTTTTAGAATTTTGACATCATTTGTATCTTTATTTTCTTATAACTAACGGGAGGTAGGTACTGTTGCCTTCTGTCAAAGATTATATCAAATACAGTTATAAAAATATTGAAGTCTTCAATTTGACTCATTCAGCTTTGTCACTTGGATATATCAATGTATTATTATTTACCTTTTGAAGGTGACATGTAGCTAATTTACCTTGAACCAAGAAATCTATGTAGTCATTCTCCACTACTTCCCTAGATAGTGGATGTACGTATCCCTTAAACGATTTCGCAAACTTACAAGGTAGTAACGTTTGCCATTCTAATTAGGTCAAACAGTTACGACTGTTTTCAAATTTCTGCCAGACAAATACTCAAATACATTTTTTTGTGATCACACTCATACAATGTTAGAGAACGATTATCACAGGATGTTCGCAAGTGTGCTGTGATTATTTGTTATTTGTAGCATAGAAAACAACAGATAGGCTTCAGACTCGGTGTAAACATTGCAGTAATAATAACCACGACAACAACAGGCGCATTTGAGACGCATTACATATTAATTTCAAAACAAAGGACATTATATAAGATTAAAATTTGCAACATGATATGAGGATTGGTGACAGTACAAAATAAGAACATGTAGATACATAGAATAATAGGATACCCTTATAACACTTTGCCTTCATGTTAATACCCCACAGGGAAAGCACGTGCGGACCCGGCACAAGGGTAGATGAACACCAGGTGGAAAGTGCATGAGATAATAATGTTTCTGGATGCTCTAAGAAAACACCACAATCTTGCACTAAAGCCTTTTGGGAAAACACTAAATGTCATGAGGAAAACAACTGATATATGGGTGTAAATTCAGCTAAGGTGTCCTCTCGTATCAAAATATCAGTTAATTTTGGCTCCTGTTGTATTGATAGTGTAAATTATTTTCTTTTGTGTCTTTTTTTAGGAATCATTAACAGAAACATTCTCAAGAAAGATTAAAAAGGATGAAACGCAATTGCATAACACGCAAGGACAAAATTTAAGCTCCAAACTAACACAAAAGGAAATAAGAACAAAAACATTATAAATCCTAGATATGAACCGAACGCGAAACAAAGTGTTCCGGAGAAAAGCGGTTCCGGCACCACATGTGGTATCAGTCACGCTTTCTCCCGTCAATTCAAAGGATATTTGTACGTTATTTAGGTTGGAATGTATGCATGGTTAACGTTCGGCGCAATGTTTCTTGAAATCTTGAAAACTTTGGACGAATATTTGAACGCTTATCTTAGTTTTAAGCGTTAAAACTGATTTCAACGTGCAATTGGATATCTGTCAACCATCTTGTTCAGAAAAAAATATATGGTAAACTGTCAAATAAACCGTATTTCAAAGAAACATTAACAGGGAGGCAGAGGCAAAACAGTATCAGGGCTCAATATGGCGACCACAACATTTGTCCAAAGTCTTCATCGACTTGCATGAACTAAATGAAAAGCACGTGCAAACCCTGCACGTTCTCGAGAAAAAATGTTGCAATGCAAATGTTAATTTGTATCAACTAACTTAATGAGTTAGTGTAGAGCGTTTAGCGGGTTTCTTTCTCTCTTTATCTCGTCTCTCCTTTCCAGTTATCATAATGTTTGTTAAGTTTTTATTTGTGCAACACACGAGAACATACTACATATCAAATATCATAATGTAACCACACAATACGTTAAACTATATTTTTAATCTAATTATGATATTTGTAAGTTCTTTTATGATTTAAGTGTTATACCTTTGGCATTTAGCAGTTTTAGGAGTCAAATCACCATTTCCTTGAACTGTTATATGATAGGCATGTGCACTAAATCCAATGAATCAAAATGTAATTTAATGTACAAGTGTGTGTTCTGAATGAAGTTGACTGATAACATCAGACCCGATTGAATATTATGTTTTTATTGTATTCAACCAATTGGCATCATTGTTGTAGTGTGATGGTGATGAGGTCTTGACACGACGAACACGTCCTGACTTGCGCACATGTGTTCAACGTGGATGCTTAACTTTAAAACATCGTCATGGGACATCTGTGTATGGTTACCCTTGGCTACGAGAACCATCAAATCATTCTAAAAATAGAAAAAGCAATTACATATTTTATCACATAACTGACCCATGTTACTATGTCATACGGCCATGTCATAAATATGGTATTACACACGTGTAATAAAACCTAGGTGCTGCAAATGGACGAAACCTTAAGAACATATTCCTTCGCCACTACAGGTATTTAACTGCAGCTTTTTTGCGGACAAATTTTAATGGTTTTGCTGTGAAATGAATTAAAAATGTTTATTTTCTCATTATTATATTCATTGCATTTCAAACTGTTCATTATTTAAAAAAAAATCCGGAACTACTTTGCGTTGCGCGAAACGACAATACTATGATCGGAGTACTTTGGTTTTGAGTCAGTTAATTTATCTTTTTTCAAATTATGAAAGTAATGTGATAAATAGGATCCTACATTCGTGTCCTTATCATATTGAATTTATTAAATCGTTCAATAATTTGATTTGACACTCGCCTGAAGTCTCGTGTCATATCAAATTATTGAACTCGTTTAACAAATTCAATATGACATGGTAGCTCATGGAAGATTTCTCTATAAATCAATTAATCACATTGTTTTCAAATGTATGAACTGAGGCTGTTGATTACTTTCTTCCTTTTTGATTGATACATCAATTGTCTGTTGATGATGGTTGTAAAAAACTTTACTTACCTCGAGTTTTAAAATCCCGTCTGTTGTGTGTACCTGTGGTCGTGTGGACATCTTTAGCTTCTCAATGTAGCAGGTATCTCCTCGCTTCATTACCATTTGATGCTGCGGGAAAATTCACACACATATATATATATAAAGTAGTGCAATAAAGGAATTCAAGATTAAAATATCAATGTCCCATAAATAACGGAATTGACTCCTTAAAGCAGTTCTAATAAAATAATATTCAAAAATATACAGATACGTGAATAACATCGATTCGAAACATGGCATGTTATTAACTCAATATGGTAGATAAGCAGTTCAAAAAGGTTTAATTCCGCAGTAAATCCATATTAAAATTCAAAACTAAGACTACATTAGTCCTATAAATATCATGAAAAGCGCAATTTAATACCTTGATTGGAACTATGTCTTCGGGATTCATGTGTAATCTAATTTGTATTCAATAACAAAGGAGAAAATGAGACATTTGCTTGGATGCTCAAAAAGTTTGAGTGAAAATTTAAATTTAGATTTTCTTTACGTTTTTCGGCCATGATTAGCACCACAATTGGAACACCATATCACAGACTATGAAACTGATTTTATTTCAACTAGTTGATGTGCCGATTGCAACAAAATATATTGCTTTTATAAATACCATACGGAACTACAATTGCATAGTCCCGGGTAAGAATGGGGTGTAAGACATTTCTATCATACACCTCAGTTCACGTGACGTGACATCACAATGGCTCAACAATGACGTGACCTCACGAATTTGGAACTCTCCGATACCACAATGCGGAAAAACTCTGTTTGATAATAAGCGGTATGCTACATTGATGTAAATCTGGCTGACATATTCGTTTTCGTCAAAAAGATCTCATGAGAAACATTTATATTTTCAAAATGGTAGCCAGTCCACACGCATTTTCATGGTTTCTAAGCTTATTGTGGTAGTTGGAATGAGAGAAAAATACTAATTCATGCCCAAGGGTGTAGGATAGGGAATTCCTACCCTCGGAATTTCCAAGGCAAAACTATCCGAATTTGAAAACCCCTCGGGTGGAATTTCCCTATCCTACACCCCTGGGCATGAAAGAGTCTTATAATACTTTTCGCCTATAAGGACCAGAAATCATCATTTAAACATGCTTACAATTCACCCCTTTAAAATACTCCAAAATTTTCATCGACATACGTCGTTTTTCCTTGTTTTCTGATATGTTTACTTTGATTTCTAAAACTGTTCATGAAAACAAAACTTTCTGTGGAAATGCTGACAAGTATATCCTTTGGTATACTTTCATAGGAACATATCTTTAAGTACTATATTCGAACCATTTTCTGACCGTGTACCAATTTGGGCAGCATACCTATAGTGGTAGCGCGACGTTACATTCGTAACTGATGTCGGTTCATCAACAGTTTGTGTAACCTCGATATTTTGTTCTAAATATATCGTTTACTTATAAATGTTCCCTAACAGGTACATACCGACAGAGCGTCATAGTAGAACAAAGCTTGGTCAAACTCGTTAGATTCGTGAGGACGATGAGGATGGTGAGTAGATGGAGGTATTGTGGTCATACAACATATCTGTAAAACAAAATCACATATTCCACAAATAAATGCCTTCTATAAGACAATGACAGCCATCCCTAAATCCGAAACGAGATTATTTTTCTCGTCAGCTTAATCAAACAGATTATCATATATCGGTATTTCAGTAAAACTTGAGCTGTAAAATGGCGATAACATACATAGTATTGATAAGTCAGTATTTGTTTTCTATGTTTACACATACCCCTCCGCATTAAAGCCATTTTGGTCTCTGTGGGGTATAACATGTAGATAGATAGATAAAATTGTAATGAGTTAAAGTAAAGGATACAACACTGCATAAGATATAATGGCGAAGTAGATTCCGCACATATTTTTTTCTACTTAGAGTAATCTCCCTTTTACATAGATTATGAAGCAATCAAAAGGATTGCTTATTGTTTATTTCGCAGGGTTTGGCGTCCATAATTTGGACAGACATCTTGATGTTCGATACATTTGTATGTATATTCCTGAATGGCTCCATTGTTAAAGAGTAGTCTTTGTAATGAAGAGGTTCTTAGATTGACTCCTGAATTTTTTTTTGTTTTTAATATAATCAAAATTTTGAACAAATATAATTCTGTAAAATGCATTCTAACATGTCATTTTTATGAAAGAATTCTTTGGAAACAGCTTCAACAAACATCTAACAACAGTGCGATAAAGCTATCTGGTTATGGTATAGCTTAACTTGCTGGTCAGTGAGAGATATTATATTTATATAACAATCTTGGTACGTCCATGGGTTAAATGTTTGATATCTGACAAGGAGAGAGATAGTATATCAAACTACCACAGTGATTACCTTCAGGAACAAAATTCTATTATTCTATTAGGACAAATAAAGTGTCAACAAATATCTTAAATATGGAAACCAAGTAAACACCAAAACAAGATGGAGGACAGCAAGAACATCTACAACACCAATAAAAAAGCCGACGCCAGATATTCCAAAAGAATACATTCACCCTGCAACACATGCAATTTCAGTCCAATGTCTTTAAAAGCAACTTACCTGTCCAATCAGACACACGACGACAGCCAAAGCACAGTACATCTTGCAAAGGTATGGTATGGGAAGGTACGGTTTTCTCTCAACAAGAATGACCTAGGTATATGCTCATGTTATATACTAGTGGACAATGAGGCGCTTAAGGGTCAGTCGACTTAACAATATTCCTATTATTCAACAAAAGATGCAACTAATGTTACGTTCATGTAAAATTCTATATATAATTATCGAATATGTCAATTCAACAAGGTCGGGTTTTTTAAACAAGCAGTCATGTAAGATTTTATCAGTTTTGTTAAACACCTCGCAATGTAGGGTAAATGTCTAATGAACGTATTCACATATCGCTGAATTGTGTAAGCAACAACATATGTTGGTTCCCGTTAGGAAATAGAAATCGTGACAAGATTGTACTGCCCGATTAAATAAAGGTGTGTGCCTGGGTGTACTAACTTTGGACACAGGAGAACTGTGTAACCTCAAATTATAGTCATAGCAAATGTTTTCCCATTTTTGAGATTATTTAAAAACAATTTCAAATATGAAAAATTTAATTGGCTCGAGTTTTGACCGACATCATGATGAACGAAATTTTTAGAAAACAAATCACAATGAAAAAATAACAATATAGGTTCCACTTATGTTTTGAAAATTCTATTGTACCAAAGAGTAATTGTATTCAGTAATATTTCAATTCCTACTCCAGTTGGACTCAATGCAACTACCAAATGTAGCCTGTTTTATATGGCGATGAATTTGACCAGATTAACATTTTCTGTGCGTATAATTTTGCGAAGGGTGATAACTATTGACATGTTTACGCAAAGAAGATTGCGTTTTCTTTTTATGCATGTCTTGGCTGTGTTGAACTACCAACGTACACTAAATTTGTATGATGGTCGTTCAATGACGGATTATTTGTTTTACATTACGTCAATACGTAGACTTGAAGAACACGGGACAAACTATCAGAATGGACTTCAAAAGTTTCAAATATTGAAAAAACATGCAGTTCATTAAATTTGTTTCATAACCAACTCAATTCATCACCCCTGAAATCGACTAAAAAGCAAGATCCTTAATCCTTAATTGAAATGATACAAAAACAAACAATAACGGCAATGAACAAAACACAATTTTAGCAAGAAATGGGTACCTTATTTTAACTCTTTTTAGTACTTAAAAAGGCAACGCTTATAAAACGATATTAGTAAATAAGAGTTTTACGCACCCGAAATACGAAGTAAGAAAACACTCCTTTAAGGAAAGAGATTGACATGAACGTATTGCCATTTCATTTAATTGGGACTCATCATTGGTGCTAATGCACAGCGGATTGGAATTCCATGTCTACGGTGTTATGATTCATATGTTTAAATACATCCGTGAAAAAGTGCCTATAAAGTCCAGAAAATTGTTACAAATTCTCATGTTTTGATACAGTTGATAGGTTTTTTTGAGTAAGTAGTTCATATAAACTGCCCAGGAACATACTGAAACTATATGTACAAGGTTGCGGCCAACATCGAGTACTGATAATGTCGACCAGCAGAGTCAGCGCCGAGGCAAATATTCACCGAAAATACGAAACAAAAGCGTGCCGATTTCAAATTTCAGCCAGTTTGCACCTGTATGACTTTGTTTACATCAGTACAAAAACAATTGAAGTCATTTTATGCGTTTTGAAATGTACGGATGACGAATGTCTTCACAACATTTGACCCTTATTATTAGCGATTTTCAAACGATTGCCCCTAAGGTGCCTCATTGTCTACTGTTATATAACGTGTGCACAGAGCTAGGTCATTCCTGTTAAGAAAGGACCTTTGCTTCACGTATAACCTCCTCAGCAAGATGAACTGTGCGTTGGTTATCGCCGTGTGCCTGATTGGGCAGGTATGTTTTATTTTTTATTTATTTATGTTGTTTTGGTTTTGTTTGTGTTTTACGTCCTATTAACAGCTGTGGTCATTTAAGGAAGTACAAGGTATTGGTGAAGGAGGAAAGCTGGAGTACCCAGAGAAAAACCACCAACCCGGGGACAGTACCTGACGACCGCCCCACTCTTTTAGTAGCAGAATGCCAGACGCCTTAACCACTCGACCACCGCCGCTCCCCGCCCCACTCTACCCCTCTCCCTTTTTTTAATTATCACTGCGACCAAAGTTGCATGTGATCAAGGTAATACTTACCTTTCAAGAGTATATGGGATTGCTTTTATTCTTGATATAGTACAGTTATAGGTATTACTCTCTTCTATTTTGATTTGGAGTCTGTTTAGTTTTCAATGTGTTCTTATGCATTAACCTTAAGTTTGATTCTTCAGTTATCAAATTTGTTAGTGTCTTGATGTAATTTATCATTCAATGTATATAATTGGAAAATTAATCGATTTTGTTTATATCGACGTGCATATTGTTTATTTGTTTTCTCATAATGACATTTATTGGCATAAATTAAAACTTCTACAGAAGTTAAAATACACTTTAAATATATGTTCACAAACGCAAGTAAAATTGCGTTCCGAATGGCAATGAATTGTACGGTTTTGATGACCTATTGATTTATTTTAAAACCTTATCTATTTCCTATGAACTGATATGATTATTTGCTATGACTTTAATATCTCACACAATTAAACTATTTTTGTCATCAACATTTCAATTTGTGTATAATGGAGAGAAAAACACATGTTATTAAACACAATACGGTGACAATGCTATAAATTACGATTGGCTGAAATCTTGATAACGGATGATACATGTACGTGTTAGTTGACCAAAACAATGATCACAGTCTTTTGTAAAGGGAGCTCTTACTGCGTGTCAATGAATGCATTCATTCGTTCACTTTGTATACCTTTTTTTTCTTTCTTTTTTCAGATTTTGGGTATGACTACGATACCGTCACCCACACATCATCATCATGCGCACGAATCCAATGAATTCGACTCAGCTATGTTTTATTATGATGCTCATTCGGTTAGTACTCTCGTTGACAAATAGTGATGTTATTTAATATCAAAGTTTTATTAATGCACAAACCATGCACGTATTAAACGTGTCGCAACGCTTCAAGACAAAGGAACCTGTTCGTCTTCAAACGTTGCGACACGTTTAGAGCGTACATTGATTGTGTATAAAGTAAAACTTTGATATTATGTATTTCCAAAGTGATAAATCTTACTGAAATAATGCTATTAGTATAGAATATCGAGGTCAAACGAAGAAGTGGCGTATGTGTATTTATCACATTATACTCCAGGACACACGCAGGCATACACACATAGGGAGATATTAGCCAGGTGGCATAGGACTAGTTGTTAGCACCTGATAAGGCAGCTCCTGCGACTTCCTTAAAAATGTATTGATCAATGTATATATGCTAATTGTATTAATTGTATATATACATTGTCTGTACTACAAAGCGCTTTATAGTGGCTTATGTTAGCTAGATAGGGCGCTAAATCAAATGTTGTATATCATTTTTATTATTATTATTATCAATATTGTGATGACTGATCGATATTTGTGTGTTTCACTGTTTCCTGTCTGGCGGTATAGGGACCGCGGAACCAAATGATTTTCCATAGACGATAGTGTTAACGTTTACCACTGTCCTGGTTAAATGGGGTTATCCACACTGGTTTACCTGACCTCATTTTGAAGAATAGCATCTCACACAACTGTAAAAAAAATATTTCAAAATTCTGCCAATTTGAACTTTTTTTATATGGGGGCTGCCATCTTGTATTGAATTCGGCACCAAAAATCGAACAAAATTTACAACAAATTACACACTTAATAAACCCACCCAGACAAAACCAGACTTGAAAATTTTTTTATTTTTTTTTTATACATATTACATCTATATATATTGCTCAACCCACACATAAAACTTTTGAAACTTCTGCCACCTTAATATCCAACCAGCAGGCCCCGAGGCATTCACCTTTCTATTAAATCTTCTGCCCAAAAGGGAAAAACCCACAATCTATTTTTGAATTGGTTCCGTGGTCCCTATATGAGGCTACCAAGTTTAAATAGCATATAAAACAAACTTTACTGAGCTCTTTTGGAAGGGTTCTTGTGTGGTACAGTCGACAGTACACTCACATTTCACCAAGACGTCGGGGTATGATTTCCTAATCGGACGTGAACAGGTTTGGGTCACCTGTCAGACAACCTTAGTTTGTGTAATCCGGTTTCCTCACACGTTTAGACCCTTTACGTGCTTTTACCGGGCCAAAAAGAATGATTAACAGAAATAAGCATAATGTGTTTTATAATTGTTGTAAAATAAGTAAAATAACCATATAAAGCATATATCACATAATATAGTTATTTCGCCCTTTTACTAGGAAACCACTTCGGAATATCTTGCTAATACATCTGTTCATGTTGTTGGTAGAGTTTCATGTAAATGATCTAAAACATTTCCGATCAAAATAGCACGCTAAGTAGCATTTTCTACCGTGACAAAACGGTACTATGACGAAATATTCTGCAAAATATTCTGCGATTGCTCAATGTCTGTATCAGTCTTATACTAAATATACACTGATTTCTCAACAGCATGAAATGGTTATGAAGCTTGGACAAAACTGTTACATCGAGAAGCTGAAAACTTCAGTAAGACCGCAGGTACACACACCAGAAGGACTTTTGAGTATGGAGGTAGGTTAAGCCATGTATATTTTCAGTCATCCTCGGTTACGCTCACTTTCGCTCTCTACACCCCTGGAAATTGAAGGCACGAAGATAGCTGTTTGATTGGTCTTAGGTCTTAGGTAAAAAAAACTAACCAAACGCTAGGCTGATACCTGTCCTTTGACGATTACAAAGGAGAGACGCCTGACTTCAAAGCCTTTCAATTTTTACCGTTACGTGACCGCGAGATTCTTTTGATGTACAGCAAAGGATCGAACTAGTCTTCTTGTTTCATCTACAAGATGGCGCTGTGTTAGGCTTTAAGTTTCTATTCGAGGGGTTCAGAGAGCGAATGTGAGCGTAACCCCTGGATATCGAGGATGATTATCAGTATTCAGTTACATTTCTTAACAAGTTATCGTTAATCAGGTTTTAATAAATGTACCTATTGTTTTATTTTTAGAATAACTTGATGTTTCTCGTAGCCAAGGGTGTCCATAAGCAGATGTCCCATGACGATGTTAACGGTTTAAGCATGCACGTGGAAAGCATGTGCGCAGGTCAGGACGTGTTCGTCGTGTCAAGACCACATCATCACCACAGTACGACCGTTGGCGTAATTGGTTGATTGATGAATAAATTAAAAACATGTTATTAAGTTTATTTTATATTATCTGTTGTTTTTGTGCACGGAACATAGTAATATAGGTTGGTAAATTGAATTGATATGAAATATTGTATCACTTTTCTTTATATGGATTGAACGGCGTTTATCTAATTTTTATACCGGTATGAAAAATACAAAAAGAAAACGCGGTTTTATCCATATATTTACATTTTTACTATAGAACATTTGTTTAATTTAATTTATTTGTTCTTTAATAATTAATTCATTACTGCGTTCTGTATATGCGTCGTCCTTTAAACGATATTGGCGGAACAGCCCTATTTAAATAAAATTGGCGCCAAACATTGACCGTAGCCATTTGAGCGTTTGACGTAGAGGCATTCTTATCTACATGTTATCCGAAGCGAAGCGACAAGACTTTCATTAAACAAAGCTAATATATGACGTCACGAGAGATTTTGCTTTCATACTCAAATAAAATGCATTTCTGCTGGTAACTTTCATATTCCGTCTTTGCGTATTGCAGAGTTATCTTCTTTTGAGAGCAGGTATTGATTGTAAGGTCATTTGTTTGTGAGAGTAACGTCATCAATTTTTGAGAGAAAACGACGTAATTTTCTCACACAAACCAATGACGTAACAATCAATACCTGCTCCTAAGAGAAGATAACTCTGCAATACGCAAAGACGGAATAGTGGATTGCAGCGCAAATGTAAATATGTCCTGCAGTGTTGTATAATCACATTAAGATGATAACAGTACAGTAGGAGCTGAGTATATATGCCCGTTCGTTACCTAACAGATAGACATAAAAACAACTTCTGATATTTTCCGGTATGTAAACGTGTGAAAAAACCCACTATTTTTTGTACTGTATTGGTCTAAACAATATGTATTACTTAAATTAATTTATAATACAATACAATCACATCAATTGAAAGGATCTGACGACAAGATATGAAATCTTATGTTAGGCCATCTCCTTACTGCATTATTCAGTAGAGTATTTCTGGGATGTGATGAAAGAAAAAATATAGGATCTTACATAAGTTTCCATTTCATATTAGATTTATGAAACGAGTCTTAGAATTTTTCAATTAAGCGAGCCTCTGGCATATGAGAATACGATATTTCTGAGGACTTATAACTTACTGGCAGACTTCTCTAATCCTGTAAGTGTTGAAAAAGTTTGAAAAAAATCCAGTCATATTTGACTAGGTTATATATCAAATAGAATCAGTATAAATTATTTTGCGCAGATTTTGATTAACTTTGAAGACCGCATTAGCCTTTACATATAAGCTACATTGTAAGAAAGTTTCATTAGCATCCAGCAAAAGATATTTAAGCAATTTAGCTTGCAGAAACCAAAGTATGGACAGACGGACTCTCCCCTACTCTGGAATATTATTTGCATGCGTCAATGCCACCCGTCGACAGTTTTGATGGGCTCAAAAATAGATGATATTCTCAAAACTATTTATATGTACACTTCTAATACATCATGAAGAAACTAGAGGTTTCCCAACGAATGATGGTTGGTTATCATGCTTATCTAACTCGAGTTAGTTAATTTTCAAATTGTATAGAGACACGAGGTTTACCGAGTACCGAGTGTCTTTTACAATTTGAAAATTAACTAACGAGAGTAAGATAAACATGATAATCTACCATCGCGAGTTAGGGGGCCATTTTATCCCATAACGTTCATATTTTATCTGAAAAGCCATATGTTTCCCTTGAAAATACACTATGTCGGCTTCCGATTGGGGCAAACAATTGCTGTGAATCATGACGTCACAATGGAAGATGACGTCGCAAAGCATTCTTACGTGACGTCATAAGTAAAAACAAATTGACCAATGAAATCACGTCCAGTGTGTTACCCAACCAAAATTGTTTACCAACTCCTAGCAGGTTTATCCAATGAATCAGAAATCAAAGTTCATCAAACGCTCATGCTACACGTCAGTGTTTGCATTAAAACACTCCTTGCAAAAACTAATAAAATAAAATAAAATGAAAAGTTGGAGAAAATCAATAATGATGTAAAGGGTTTGGTTTGAACAGCTATGGTCATTTAAGGACGTGCCAGGTGGTGGTGGTGATGGTGGTGGGTGGTGGTGGTGGTGGAAGAAAGCCGGAGTTACCGGCCTCGAACCCGCGACCCAGTGATAGATGGCTAGTGGTAGCAGAATTTTGTCAGACGCCTTTTCCACTACGGCCACCGCGATATAAAGTGAAATAGAACGTCTAATCACATGTAATGCTGCAGAATCACACTCCTTTTTATTACAGTTAGAGCTATCATATATATTTACGATTTATTTTGTTAAAATGACTTGAAAAAGTACAAGGAGAATAAGACCAGGTGTTCTAGAAGGTTAAAACTAAATGACGACACCTGCTATGTAAATCTATGTCAAGTCACACCTCACCTGTTGACAGACATGATAAGCTCATCAATAAATTTAACTTCGTGTGAAAAAATCAATCGGCAAGAAGTCTAATATAATGTATTGTAAAACAAAGCACACAGAAACCATGATTATGTCAACAACATTTTATTTTAAAACATTGTACAAATAAATCATGACGTTAAGTCTATATATGCCATGTACTTAACGCACAGAACCAATGCCTTTGTCTGCATACACACTGTCACAACACATAGCGAACAGATCCCGAGACTAAGATGTACATGTAGTACACAGGAAGAAAGACAAATTATCTACCGTGAACTTTCATGACCAATGAAGTACATGTGTTATCTTTAAATGTGATTGTGTGACACCTTATTCACAACACACACAAATATACAGACATATGAAAAGTACATATATAATGTTATAATAAATTCCATCTAATATATGTTTGATAGGTTTTTTGAGTTTTAAGGGGAGACTACTTCTTGTTAAACTTTCCAAATACGTTATTTGTCACAAATTGCACAACTTTGTGTCATAATAATAATTTGCCAAAAAACAAACAATTTATAATATTCATGAATAATTACGATGCAAACTTAAATCTTTTCTCCGACGTTGCTGTCTTTGCTACACAGTAGCCTCACGTGCAATCTGTATGTGATGCAAGACAGAGAAAATCAAGTGACACCATGTAGGTACTTAATTGGTGGTTATCATCGGAAGAATAAAGTTTTCCCGCAGGGAAAAGCCTAGATTCAAAATGACATCACAAGTTGTAAATAATGAACTGACGCCATGTCAACAAGATGTCACATGATACAATTTTATAATTTCTTTCGTACAAAAGTTCAAATTTACAATTTCTACACTTTGATCTTTTGACCGGTAGAAAACAATTTCTAATCGTTCCATATTTTCGACGTATTGGCCAACACCTCAAACTTTCCCTTTTTTTACCTAAAAGCATTTCTCAACACAAATTTATCGTTTCCTTCTCACCATTTACAGATGACTAGTTCATTTCTAAGGTTAACCCGTGATTGGTTGAAAATTACTCTTACGGACTCCCTTTTTGACCAATCACGTTTGTCTTTTTTTCCCCCTATAATGATATATTACACCTTGTCTCCTCTTTATTTAAGTCCTTTCCAAACTTATTTACAAACATAACATGTTATATAAATGCTGTCATGACAATCCAAATTAACAGTGTAGGGGAGATAACTCCAATTTAGCATATACATATTTTTTTTAATGATATCTGGTTATGTTTTTGGCAATTAACTACATTCGAACCTCGTTATCTCGAAGTCGACGGGGTCGTGGAAAATCTTCGAGTTATCCGAGTATTCGAGTTATGCGGGTTCATAAATTTGGTTTGAAATTTGCTGTTTGGACATAGCACTAGCAGTTGTTTATTTTATTAATGTATTAATCATCTTCCATTGAAAATGAACAACACTTTAACAAATCCGGCTAAGGCCAAACAAATATGTATGTTTCAGGAACCCCGACTTACCCTAGTTTTTGTCTTCGACCCTTTCCATTTTATCTCACTGATATGCTCTTCGTCCAGTGTTGAGAAAAACATGTCCATCGGATGCAAACAAATTTATGAACGAATAAAAAAGGCAACTATATGTATATATATAAACCCTCTTTATCTCATAGGCAGGTATCCAAACAAAATATAAATCCGTTATTAAAAGATCCATATGTTTAATGTTTTTGTAATTTCTTACATTAGACCCTCGTAAAAATTCAAAATGAATTCAAATTATACCCCACCATCTGCCCTATTTTTTCCATCATGTTACCTGATACACACACAATTTTGGGTGCATAAATTACGCTCTTGAGATATTTGTGATTGTTTTTAAACAAAACTATTCACAGCAAGGTGTGTCCAAGGTTGATGTTTGTATTTAGTTCCAACATTATATCACAATGTGGCGGAATGCAGATAATCCAGGCGTGCATCAAAGTTTTGAAACACTCTCTATGGGCGATTTCTCCTTACTGTAAAGAAAAGAAGCTTGAAAGATTCTGTTGTTTTTCAGGTAAATTGCAAAATAGATTCTTTGCACATGAACAGTGTCTTGCCAACTGTACACGTCAAGATTTACATTGGCCGGTGATTCACCAAGAAACGTGACTTCGGTCTCCAGAACCGGAAACCAGCACATGTCGTCTTCATAGTAACGATAGTGTCCGTTTAAGGACGCTTCTGAGGCGCAGTCGGTACAGAATCGGTAAAATTCTGCAAAGTGAACATGAAAGTTGCTATCCATGTCACTAGGTCGAGTGCGGATCAATGTTTTGAAGGCATTGCTTGGTGGGACGATGTCCTCTTGTTTTGTTAACATTGAAGAACTGTCACGTTTACAAAAATTCAAAAACCGTTCTGTAACCCATACGGGCAGTTTCGAGGGACGCCGGGTTTCCGGATTTACATTTACAATTTTCGCTTCGAGATGCAAAAGTTGTTCCATTGAAGACGGATCTAACAGGTCTTGAGCAATAGTGTACGATGTTTCCCCTATCGACGCAAACGAGATGCGATGCAGCAGAACGCCGTCTCGCTCTGAAGCCTTTCGGTGGAGTCTTGGAGAACAAACGATATTCTCTTGAACAGTAAATCCTCTCATATTTTCCTGTCTGAATCTCCCAGTGAAAAATCCCTTCGATTCTGACTCAACATAATAATCGGATAAAACACGGATAATTCCCACAAGTGACAGATGTTCTGGAAAAAAACACACAATTCAATGTTATTTGTTGTTCAGCTGTTGTACTTTAATGTAGCATTTCTTTTATTTGTGTCCTTGACAGATTACTTTTAAAGATAAAACGTGAGTGCGGTAATCGCGAAAAAACTCTGTTGCTTCTAAAATGCGACAAAACATTTGCCGTTTATTGCTTATTACTGAAGAGCTAATGAATAATATTATACAAAAACAACCTATAACAATTGTGGATAAATTGTATCTACATTTGTAATTAAATAATATGTACATGTGCATATCACAAACATATAGATACTTATATAGATAGGATCTTACATGAGTTTCCATTTCATATGAGATTTATGAAACGAGTATAAGAATTTTTCAAATTAGCGAGCCTCTGGCGAGCTAAAATGAAAATTTCGTGACGAGTTTCATAAATTTCATATGAAATGAAAACGAGTTTAAGATCATGGTTATCACATAATCAAGATTTGTGGCATTTATTCGTGTAAAACAACAATCTTGAAATGTAAAAAGACGGCATTTTGACTCCAGTGGGGAAGTCTATGACGTCATGTACTTGTCCTAGACGTGACGTCAAATTAAAACAATTGAAACTTTCAACCAATCACAGGGCTGATAGGTCATACTACACGGGTTAATACTCAAAACAGTATGACATGGGTATATTCACTGGATAACACAGTACATCATGTGATAAAATGGAACATTACTCCTTACGTATAGAGATTAGTATATTGACTTGGAGCGCGTGATTTTTGTTGAAGGACTGGGTGTTTCTAAAAATAGAATTATGACGCGACTCCAAACAAACGCATCGTCCCGCTTTCGCAGAGTTTTGCTGTGATTTATTTCAGATTGCTAACATTACTTGTTTAGAAAATAATAAAACAATTGTAGCCTTTAACTTCGGTTAATACCTGAATGCAGTTTCTCGGGTTGATAAATCCAGGTATCGATCTCAGCCAAAGGCTATACTTGAATATTAATATAAAAGTTATGAATAATATTTTTGTCAATTTTATAATGAAAGAAAATTTTACAATAACAGAAAGGGATAAATGTGTCCATGATTTATCTTGTTAGAGTTAGTTAAATATCAAAGGTATGTATGTATATTTATTAGTGATATCGTTGCATGGTTATCAGTGATACACATAAATGGTCCCAATACTTCACAGAAAAAAGAGATCCGCGAAGGGAAGCTACTGCGTCCAGCTTACGATATCATTACCTGTTCGGTCATGATAGGATGTAGGTACGCGTGGCACCAACAGGTCAACCTGGTGGTCGGAAACAAACTTTGACTGCATGTTGTTCAATCTGAAATAAATCGAAAATGATTGATTCATTATGCCAAAGAAGACCGTTCATCCAGATTATAACCGCTGTATGATAGTCTTATAATAATAATAATAATTCGAGGTTCTTATATACCGCTTTATCACAACCTAGTTCGTAGGTCGTCTCAAAGCAGTTCACAAATTATTACCCGTGGTAATACATTTTGTAACCATTTAGACTGGAAAATTCAAAGGAAGTCACTAAGAGATATCTGTGATATTTGACATGTAATGAAAAATCATGTGATGATCATATTTGATTTCATAACCAGTTGAGTAGATTATGGTGTTATTACACTGTATAGTAGCCTGGACATACAAAGGTGTAATTACACTGTATAACAGCCTGAGTACAATATATGATGGTGTAATTACACTGTATAGTAGCCTGGACATACAAAGGTGCAATTACACTGTATAACAGCCTAAGTACAATATATGATGGTGTTATTACACTGTATAACAGCCTGTGTACAATATATGATGGTGTTATTACACTGTATAACAGCCTGAGTGCAATATATGATGGTGTTATTACACTTTATAACAGTCTAAGTATATTATGGTGCTATTACACTGTATAACAGCCGGAGTGTATGGTGGTATCACACTGTATAGCAGCCTGAGTATATTATGGTATTATTACACTGTATAACAGCCTGAGTTTTTGAGTGTGATATTACACTGTATAACAGCCTGAGTATACGATGGTGGTATCACACTGTAGAGCAGTCCGAGTACATGATTGTGTTATTACACAGTATTGTAGGCCGAGTATATGGCGGAGTTATTCACTGAATGGCAGCCCGAGTATATAATGGTGTTATTATTACACTGTATACATGTATATATCTCTGCCTACAACGTAAGAGTCACATTCCCTTAACGACAATTAATTGATAAACTATTTTAATAATAATAGCAAATCAAAGTTTGCAACATGTCAGTTTACATGACCCTTGAGTGGAAATAGCGGAAAATCATAACAGTAAGCTGCTACATAGTTACCGGACGTACATTGTGTTATGTATAATAGGGTTCGAAAAAGAAATATTTATCCGGATACGATAATTACAGTTTTTAGCTTAGACAATGTTGTGTTACATGCCATTACCATATGTACAAAAATCATAAAAAAATCAGTCACACAAAAGTATACAACATATTTACTGGAAACATATAAATCAGCACGAAATTGTACATTTTAAAGGTTTTATAATGTCGTCACAAAATTCCTCATGATAATATAGTTTGATACCCCTTATGAACAATTCATGTCGAGAAATTTACAAGAGACAATGTTTTGGCGTTTTTATTCAGTAACGGAGAAATCCGTAACTGTACTGTCGTGCAGTACGTTTTAGCGGCAGCGATATAAGATGTCTGTCCAGCCGATGAGAGAAGGTAACTCCTCGCTTTATTCACCTAGCCTGTCTGAAATACACTGCAAATACATGTATTTATTTTGAATCAAAACTCATCTTCCAACATCATCTTAATCTCAAACATTGATATAAATGATCAAGTGAGCTATTGATACATGTATCGTACATTCTGCGGTTTGCAATTCTCTCTGCGGCACCCTCTCATGATCAGTGCGTGCATGTTCTAATCAAACCTGTTCGTTTTTATTCAAATCCAATATCTGATTAGAAGTATATATCATGATACTTATATTTTTTTTTACTTGCGATTTATTATGTAAATTCAGGAATGCGTTGTGTGTAAACTCACACTCGTAACGGGCACTGTGCTGTCGGTCAACAGCGTAGTGCTGTACCAATCTCCAAGCAGAGTTAAGCTACTTTCCCACATATTCTTGGTCACTCCCTTTAAGCGTGATTGAAAAGGAACGACAACTCTAGGTAGAGATTGGTACTGTACATGTTTACTTCTCATTGAAAGGCCCGGATATTCCGCTATTTCTGTCTTATCTATTTTTATCACAGGCTTTCCCAAAAGATGAAACTGGCCACACTGGACGTTGGCGTCAGGCAAAACCATTAGCAACTACGAAAGCGTTCGTTGGCGTAATTTAATGTTATAAATGTACTGGCTCTAGCCATGTCCTTATCATACCATACCACACACTTTGCTTACCTGTAAAGTTCCTGGTAAGATACACTCAGAACGATAAATGGTCGAGTCAAATCACGTGTCTCTTGCTGTCGTGGATAACAGGTGAAAGGTCAGGGGTCAAAATTTAGATCGAGCTATAACTCTGAACCGTACAATATGATAACACACGCTGGCGTGTAATTGATAATGTGACACTACATAAGTATATTTATGACGAGGAATATTATTTTATTTAGATAGCATGCATCAACTCACTGAAAAAGAATTTGTGCAATATCGCAGAATATTGATTATAATAGAGATATACATATATGTCGTCTGCTCATTAAGGATTTTTAAAAAAGAGACCAAAATCCTTCTTTTTGTATTTAACCCATTCTAGATCTATAGCTGTACTTTCTGATCTAAATCTCCCGATGCTCGTTGTAAAATTACCAATACTGTATTATGACGTCTTAACCCTTTCACCACTGTAGACCATAATGGACTCATCCATATCCATGCATGGTAGAGTCTATTAAAACTACATAGGGGTGAAAGGGTTAAAGTTGTTCAATGAATCAACAATGTACGTGTTCATCATGCATGGCATACACTCCATTTTGTCGTGAACAAGCAATTAATCAGTGAATAGTATTCATCCTTTTTAAAGCTATGCTAACAATGTAATTGAACTCAACTCGTTCTCATTCAATCAAATTTGAAAACATTTCTCTAATAAAATTTATTTCCAAAACTCACCAAAATCTCCTTGTCTTTACATACTGATTTTTTCACATGAAACGAGATTGGAGATTGTCACGGTACGACTCGGTGGGGAGGAAATGTATGATGATGAGGCGATGCGGCGTTATTTGTATTATTTGTGATTGTCTGACTATGATATTACTTGTTTATTTAAATGTTGATAGGAGATGTCTTCATAAGTTGCAATTTATGAAGACATCTCCTATCAACATTTAAATAAACAATTGTGCCAAATCCATTTTACCCGATTGGACAATAAACATGTTTAAAGTCAAAAGTGCGGCGTTTGAAGTTATTTAAACAATAACTGGTTGTCTGGATGTAATTATTGTTGATATACTTACAAGTGGCCTCTGGCAAATCCCATAAAACCCGCTAGGGTTTTATGGCAGATTTGCCAGAGGTCACTTGTAATTATATCAACAATATTTACATCCAGACAACCAGGTATTTTTTATATTTACATATTTTTCTTTTTTAAGACATATTCCTACAAAAACCATTTGCCCTGCCTCAAAATACATTTCAGGCGGCCATTTTGTTTGTTTACATATTCCTACACCTGAAACAGGCAGTTGTAATTATAGTCGAGCAGTTGTAATTATAGCCTATATAATTACACTTGCCCTCTAACACTGTTGTAATGGGACGGCGCGGGGCAAATGTAAATATATTGTAATATCATCGAGTTCAATAGGATGAATTGAACAAAGATTACGTTACGTACAAATGTATACATTTCATGCATGTACAATCTATTTCAAAAACTCAGTGAAATAGTTGGTTATTATAATTATTCTTGAGAACATTTGATTGTTTTAAAATTCACACTTTCCGATGTGATTTTCACAAATCATTTTACTTTTTCAAAACTAAACTAATGTGTCCAACATAGTAATCATTTGTGTGATCTTGAGTAAATCACATCACGAAAGTATGATCTATATATGAACATTGGTGTAGACTTTTCCTACCAACTGATAGGTAACACTTCAAAAGTACTTGTGTTGTCAAGAGTCAAAGACCCTGGACGCGTATTCATGGAACTGTTATCATGCTCAAACAGTCTGGCACGGGTGTTGTGCTTAAAGTAACACTTTTTCGTAACTCGCCTGTATCATGTAACACGAACAAAAGTAAAGTAAAGTGTTTACATTGAAAACGGCATTCGGCTTCGCATATTAGTCTCTTAAAAATTCTTCCAAATTATGGAAAATTGTGATTTTTTAAAAATCAATTTATTACCAAAATAGAAATATGGGCTTGAGCACAGAATATGAGTATGAGCATGAGAACGGTTTTATGAATACGGCCCAAGGAGACACATTTTTGACACACAATATCAGAATACAGAGTGAAAGTGTACTGTCCGCATTAACAATACACTTGATTAAGAGTGCAAATATTTTACATTGTGAAAGGAACGTATTTCTCCGAATAAGACATGTAGCTTTGAAAACATTTTGTTCAGTTTTTGTTTATTTTGAAGGCACAAAAAAACATAAGTTACATACTATTTGTTTTTAATTAGTGTTAGCTTTAAGTAGTCTATATGTATGGATCCATCAGTTTCCACAGAAAGACTTGTATCACCTCTCTTCCGCCATTGACCAAGAAGATTCGCCCACACCTGGCGAGTCCACTCAACTTTGACATCGACAAAGCTACTGCACATACCAGAGTCCATGTTCCTTTCATGCTGAATCATAATTTTGAGACGAAAACTTTGTCGTTTTTTTCATCACCGTACAAATAGTCTGCTTGGAATATTCTGTGAGATTTCAGATAAATTGCAAAATAGATTCTCTGTATGTTCTTGCCAAGTATACACATCCAGATTTGAACACGGTCCAGCTTCTCCTATAAATGTGGCATCGGCCTCGAGCACGGGAAACTTGCACATGTCGTCGTCATAGTGACGATAGTACCCGGATTGCGACGCTTCTGAAGCACACTCTGCGCAGAATCCGTAATATTCTACAAAATGGACGTGCAGGTTTACATCTGTGTCACTATATCTTGTGCGACTCATTGTTTTGAAGGCGTTCTTTGGTGGAATGATTTCGTTTTGTATTTCTGTTATCAATACACGATCGTCACTTGAAAATCTGGAACTTTCTTCAATAAACACTGTTGGAAGTTTCCACGGTCTCCTTGTTTCATAATCAATGTTCACCATCTTTGTTTCAATACGGAACAGTCGTTCCTTTGTAGAGGAATCCAGGATATCATGGAAAACTGTATACGAGGTTGTTCCAACTCTAGGAATCGACACATGTAACAAAAAATCATGGTTCTTGACAAAACTTCTTTTATGCAATTTCGGTGAACCAACTGCTTTTTCTCGTACACAAAATGCCTGTTGAAGATGTTTTGTAGGGAATCCAAGCCGCATCATCTCCGCACTGCCTTCCGCAAGAAATTTTATGGTTCGATCAAAGGAAAGATGTCCTGAAAAAAACATAAATTTATAAAATGTTCATAACATATTCCACTACATCGGTGAATGAATGCCTGATGTTATTGGTTAATAGTTATGTGTTATTATTTAAGAAATTATCAACATACGTACGTGTGTTATGGTGGACTAAATAACGAGGGTGAGCAAATTTAGGGAAAATGACATGTCATCTGGATAATGTGCGCACAATTTATTTTTCTAGTTCTTAACAATTTGTTATTATCTAGTTTTCATTATATGATCATGTGACACATAGATGCGACTGATAATTTAACCAGAACAGATGAATTTAAATACATATAAATGATGTTTTGGTGGCATTGCTCATATGATTTTAACGAGCTTAATGGTCTCTCTGGGAACAAAATGCTGAAATATATCTCCCTAATTTCCGAGTGGCTAAGATAAAGACAATAATGAATGGCAGGCTATTCTATCGTTACTGTTTGGAATAACTTAGCTTTTATCGTTACTGTTCGGAATGATTTAGCCTGTATCGTTACTATTCGGAATAACTTAGCCTTTATCGTTACTGTTCGGAATAACTTAGCCTGTATCTTTACTGTGCCTTTATCGGTAGTGACTGGTGTGTTCTATAGTTTTCCTTCCATGTAAAGTATTGTTTGCTGTCCATGAATCAGAACATGTTATGGTTTGTTTACAGGAGAACAGTTATGTTTCACTATAAGGGCAATACATATATAATTTACACCTACCAAACCTTCCATAGAGCGCCTGAGGTGGGCGTGGTAATGACACAAGTGGGCGTAATTCGGACTTCGTCTCCATTCTGAAACAGTTTTGCTTGGCATCATAAAATGTTCCACATCAAGTTGAATTAAAAAAATCCTTTTGTCCCCTAAAATATGAAAATTTCGTTGAGCATATTGCTTATACTCTGTATCTATGCCTCAGCCTTGTAATATCCATTAGCTGATTGAGTGTGGTGACGCACCAAAACACACAAAAAAAGTGCTCAAAACATTATATCAAGTCGAAAAAAGCTGTTTTTTTGGCCCAAAAAGTATAGTTCCAAATGAATGCCTCTGCTCGCTAGTCAGCAGCATATAGGGTGTGGTGATATACGTATACCATCACACAATCCACTTGCTCAAAATCTTAAACCTGAAGCTTGCCCAAAACCTTTACAATTTGACCCAAATCCATATTTAATATAGTAGAGATGACGCCTTATAAATGCCTTAAACGTGATTGCCACGTGACTGCACGTGGCGCAGGTTTTATTCGAGTGTCAAGAGTAGTAATGGGAAAATAAAGTGATATAGTGGCGGTATTTTTTTTTACAATTAAGCAATTGGACCGCCGAAGGCCAAGCCCAAACAATGGTGATGAGTCTATATGACAAGCGTTTTGTGTTCGTTTGAACGAAGAGAATACAAATATTAACGAAGTCTTGTTTCATGGAAAGGTGATCTTACGTGTGTAATATCGAGTTATCTATACATTACAATGGTACGCTTACGTCACCTGTCCTCTTCACAGGTGCTCGACACACTTATAAAATGTGTATGTATACATCATATTAATGTGTATAGCACATGTGTTCCTCTTATTTAACAACCACACACGTACACGTATAAAAAAAATAGCCACATAAGAACTTTTTAGTCAAAAAACGCATGCATACCTGTAGCTTGTTGAATATTTGTCTTCCCCCTTTTCTATGGTGGCTGTAGCGGTGCTGTTAGTTCTGTGGTTTCAATGATATCGGGTTTTTTCTAACGTTTTTTGATCGACAAAGGTTGAAGGATTGGTTTCGTGATTGTGCATACATGTATGACGAATGACGTAATTTTAGTTTAGACTGTTCGAATCGGGATTAATATTATCGGTAGCGTATCACTAGATAAATATAAACTTTATTTATTTAACAACAATTATGAAACGAGTATATCAACTTATATTTATCTATCTTGTTGGCATGTTTGTTTAATAAGCGCTACGCCACCCGGCCACTCTTCACTAGATAAAGGGGAAAACAGACTCCAGTACATATAACGTAAATAACAATGCTATGACTGTGATGATTATTGCAATACACATTGATACACACCGCTGCAATGCAATTCGTCAGCTCACTATAAGTGATGAAAGAATGAAAGATTTACATAAATATATGTCATGGTCCCATCAATGTGAATATATTAGCTGATTGTTTAAGAAAAATAAGAATGAAGAAAAAACACAAAAAGAAAAACCAAGCCCATATTTTAATATTAAATATTGAATACTTGTCTGTTTATAAATCATCATATACTCTAACTGTTGCCTTTAATCATTTCTTAAAAAAAAAAAAAACGAAAAAAAATAAATAGATCTTAGACGATTTCTCCGATGGATTATTCAAGGCCATATCGATAGCGTGCTTGAAATATTCTGGCAGACTTCAGATAAATTGCAAAATAAATGTCCTGTACGTTCTTTGTATCTTGCCAGGTATACACATCCAAATTTGAACATGGCGCAGATTCTCCGATAAATGTAGCATCAGTCTCTAGAACCGGAAATTGGCTTATGTCGTCGTCATAGTGACGATAGTACCCGGATTGCGACGCTTCTGAAGCACAGTCTGCGCAGAATCCGTAATACGCTCCAAAGTTTATATGAAAATTCACATCTGTATCGCTATATCTTGTGCGAATTGTTGTTTTGAAGGCGTTCTGCGGAGGAATGATATCGCCTTGTACTTCTGTTATTAAAACAGAATCGTTACATTTAAAACTGGAGCATCTATCTAAAAACTCTGCAGGGAGTTTCGATGGCTTTCTTGTTTCAGGATCAATGTTCACCATTTTAGATTCAGTTCGTGTTAAACGCTCCATTGTAGTGGATTCAAATAGATCATGGGAAACGGAATATGACGTAGTTCCAACCGAAGCGATCGACACATGATACAAAAAATCATGGTTCTGGGGAAAATCCTTCTCGTGAAGTTTAGGAGAACATACGGCTTTCTCTCGTACAAGGAATGTCATTTTGATGAGATTTGTGGGAAATTCACACTGTTTAATCTTATCATAGCCTGCCCAGATATATTTCATGGTCCCATCAATGGGTAGATGACCTGAAATCAGACGCGCATTTAATCCACCTTAGTTTATATATAATAATAACATTAATTTCAATAGCAAAATGTTACATGAACTTGTTATCGTGACCGAATATAAAATGAAATATATATTTTTTTTCGTTGAAATAAAAGAATACATATTCTAGGTAATAAGCATTGAACCAGATAAGAAGTCTTTAAAAAGATTGTTAACTGTCTGGGAAATTATATGAACTGCGCTATGCGGAACTCACTAATTGTTAATGAGATTGTTAATCAAACAGACACAATGGATCATTTTCATCCGATCAATTGTATTTACCATCTTCATTTTCCCTTATCTGTATAATTATAACATTGTGTTTTGATTGGATTATCTTTTTAACAAACATTTAAAGGTAGCGTCATGTTTCCTCCTCCCAAAGGAATGTCTCCGATCATATTTCAAACATTCCAGGTCTCTCTAGAAAAAAGGATTGCAAATCAATCAACCATGATTTCCAAACCACTGACAGAGAAACACTCATTAATTTATCTAGCAGGATAAAGAACCTTAACCGCTATATGATTTTTCAATTTAATAAAAAAAAAATAATAATTAAACATCGCCCCTGTAATAGAAAAAATATGAATATTTCACTAAATAAGTAATAATATATACTTACCAAACCTGTCGTAGAGGGCACGAGGTGGGCGTGGTAACGAAAAAAGTGGGCGTACTTCAGATTTAGTCTCCATACTGAAACAGTATAACACGACATTAATATAGAAACATTTCGATTTACTATCGCCATTTGTACAGTCCGGTTTAGATGTTAATATTGCCGATGTAATGAAGATACCTTCACAAATGGTCGTAAATGAAACAATTAACATGGTTTTTGACCATATTAAAAAAAACATCATCGTCAAATGTATTTCTATTCATTAATGCTTTGTACTGAAAATCCTATATAATCGTTATCAGTCAGTAAATATTTCGTTTTCAGCAAAAAACATATTTTCTGCGTTTTTCTGAAATTTTGCAAAAACAACACGGAGAATTACATAATAAAACATATTGAATGTCAATAGCAGTTAAGAAGGAATGTATACGTAAGTTAGCCTAACCCTACAGTCAGACGATCTTACGTAAGATTATACATTGACAACGTTAGAATATGACATACATGTAGTTAGACTTGTACCTATTACAAATGTTTCAAACCACATACTCACAACATCATCTTTCTCGCAAATACGCACTCTATGAGAATAAGCAGTCAAAAAATCAAAATGCATACACATACCTATCGTTGCCCTCGTTATACAGTTGGAAGATAGAAGTGATTTTGTAACAGCTTAAGGATGTTCTTGCGTTAACCCCAACGCTTAAATTTTGTCAATGGATAAGAACAAGGTAAAGGGGTTATCGGACATGATGAGATCATGAATCGGTATGGTGATTGTGTATGAATGAACTAGTGATATATTTAATGTTTGAACAGTCAGAGTCAAGGTTTATAGCAATAGTAATGTTTCACTACATACAAGCAAAGAACAGATCCAAATACATGGACAGTTATCGCTGATAACGATTGTAGCCATACATGTTGAAAATAGTAATATACACGGCTACAACTAGTGTTGACAGCTAAGAAATGCCATGGTCGAACAGAAACTGACCAGGCTCCAATTCTCACTGACAAGTCATCTTCCCGTACATTTTGCGATCATGTTGATCTCATTCTACACTGTCATGTATTAAGATCATCTTCAGACTAAACTATAGACGACTGTTAACGTCTGTAACTTCAATCAATCGGCTGACCCGAAAAATATTTTTCAACCTTATAATTTTTGTACTTAATGTGTTCCTTCTCCTATCATACTTTAAAAATGAATATGTCGTTTCTGCAATATCTCGCGTTACATGCTTGGCTGCATAGAGTTGAATGAACTTGACCCTCTACTCCATGTCTCATAGGGCAATTATATCTTAGTTGTTCTTTACCGCTATGAATCTTTTACAATTTCAGTCTAACTATGCCGTAGTCACAAGTCTCTACATAGGACGAATAAAATCCAACATCAACAGGAAAGCTCAAAGCGTAAATAAAGTACGTTTCAGCTATTAAGTTATTGCGCTAGTTTTAAATCCTAGATTTCAATACTTAAGTATAAGTATATGTGTTCAGACCAATAATGCGTTAATATATATTTCGTTTCTCATACTATACTCGCACTTTTGCTAAGTGAATCTTCAGTGACTCAATCAAAATATAAATTTTTGTTGTACAATAAAAATTGAAAATGAATAAAACCATGCCTCTTTTCAACCAGTCAAAATTTAAAAAAAAAACATCAAAAATATTTCAGGACAGAAATACGGTCTATGTTTATCTCGTGTCATTTGCATAATAAATAACTATGACTTGTGAAATAAAATAAGTCTAGGCAAATTATTCAATTTCTGTAACATTTCACCAACGTATTTTTGCTATTATTTCCCTTTTGCATTCATACATGTCATGTTCTGTTATATACTGTACGTAAGCGTATTGCATGTAATTAATGAAATCGATAGGTAACTTCCAGCGGTTGTCAGTTGCCAGTAGAATGCGATCATCCGCATAACAAAAATGTTCAAGCTGTTGAATATTTATGAAATTAAAAACAATATGCTTAGGACAATCACGCAATATGTCATTTTTACCCTCCGACATTCATATAATTGATGCTTTGCAGCATTGTACGTATTTGTAAAGAAGCTGTCAGTTGAAAAAGTAGACTTCGGCCTGCCATGCCGTGCCTGAACAATTAGATACACGTTTAATGTATGTGGAGAGACAATAGGTGTCACCTGCCAAACTCATGTGATTCTGAATGTACATTGTGTAATCTGTTGTGATCTATTAGCCTTTCATGGATTTGTATTTCTCGCACCTCAGACAGAGATACCCCACGTCATATCCCATGCTAGATTTGTCTATCTTGTCCGATCTGTCTTGTACCTTTACGTGACATAAATGTTCTGTTTTGTCGTTATATGTATAGTTTTAATGTTGTTAGATATTTGATGTTGTAGATAAAATATAATCTACACTGTGAAATACGTTGTCATCTTTGTAAGGACAGACTACATTTTTACCCGGAAGCGTTCACATGTAGCTTAAGTAGTGAAGAGGTCATTATCATTTGAGGCCCAAGGCGGGATACTTGTAGTTTAAAGCAAAATTGAATAGTTTTTTTCGAACTAAAAGGTGCGAGAAAAAAAAATCAATTACATGTAACTGAGCAAGATCGGGCTATCTCAGTCTCGGGCTAAGATTATGGAACATCTTAACCTCGGCTTACGCCTCGGTTGGGATTTTGTTACAGAATCTTAACCCTCGACTGAGATAAGCCGATCTCGCTCAGTTACAGGTAATAGATTTTATAAATCAGATATAGGTATCTAACCCTACTTTTTTAGTATATAGTCTATAAACAAGACAGGTGATAATAAATGTATACTTGCACTGAATAGATACATGAGGCAGCTATCGCATATACAGATACATTACACATCCTCGATACTTCAGGGGTTACGCTCAGGTTTGCTCTCTGACTCCTCAGATGTGTCAAAGCAAAATTAAAGGCACTCGGCTAGCTTTTTTATTGGTCTCGGGTAAAGAAACCTGACTAATCGCTAGTATTATACCCGCCTTTGCAGATTACAGGAGTGCGACACCCGTCTTTAAACCCAGTCAATTTTACCGTTTCGCAACCCCTTAATGCTTTTGATGTACATCAAAGGATCAAAATCGTCTTCTTGTCACATCCACAAGGTGGCGCACACTGATCCTTCGATTTTGCTTTGACATATTCCAGTTAAAGCATCTCAAAAAGAAATAGAATCATCCAAGGTGTTCTATTCCATTTGTTTACGTCACAATCACAATAATAAAAAAAATATTAACAATCTGATATCTCCAGATGTTGTACACTCGCAATATCTTGTTTTGTTTCTAACTCCTTCAATAGAAAAGCTTTTCCATAATACAATTTCTTGACTTATTCTAACCTAATGATACTTCTCATTTTAGTTTTCATTGCTGTTTTACAGTCCGACAATGGCGGACACAGAGACCAGATTGCAACCGGGTGACCTTCCTAATGGTTCGCTCAAAGCTCATTTGGTTTTCCAATTTACCATACCTCACCTACCTCAATTGTACATTAAATTGAATGTAAGTCTTTTTTAACAAACAACTGAATTTATGATACAGCATTTACGAAGTAAATATTTATTCATTAAATGGCAATTCATTAAAATATCATTTTTCGTAAAATGATATTGTTTTTCATTTGTCATTGGTTATCAAGTATTGCTAAACCGCCAAGTATCCCCACTTATTTATGCCCTGACATGTGACATATTCCTTATTTATCATTATGATTAATATATGTATTGGCATTTTCCCAGAACATTAAATTTAATCAGTGGTTAAGATATAATTTTTTATATTTATAGGTATTGAAATTCAGATAATTGTTAATAAGGAATATGGCAATCTTACAGAAACATAAAAGCAAGGTTGAAGGTGACGTTATGTAATATTTATATATATATGACACACCGGACCTAGTGATGCCACTTTCGTTTCAGTAACATCCTGAACGCTAATGATACGTTAAACATCACCTATCTGAAAGGTTTCCGATATAGTTTACATAGGATAACACACCTCACTGATCAACTCGACCTCGTCAGATCACATCTAATCTGATATTCATATGACTTTGCTCTTGCTGAAGCTGATATCGTTTTGAGAGTCAAGGGTCGAAAAGTTTGTTAAACTATTACTGTTATCTAGACCCGATGCCCCAACACTAGCTTTAACACAACACAACAACACAAGCTAATGTAATCATCGACGACGCTACCTATTTTAACATATGATTAGGTACTATATTATATATATATTGTTTTAATATTACTTCATTAGACATAAAATTAGCTCGATCAGACTTACAGTTTACTATAACATGGAATCCCAGTGGAATTCATGAGTTTTCGTTGTTTGCTCATAAAATAGTACAAAAACAAGAATAATAATATATTTTTTAATTATTTTTTTTCATTAACAAAGGCGTGGTACGTATATTTGCAGTGATGACTGCTTTATTTGGATGGAGATATGCTATTTCTTTACTTCATTTGAAGGTCGACATGTTTACATGCTAACTTACCTGCCCTGTTATTTTTATTGTCACTACCGCAGTTCCTGGTAAGAGGACATGACATAACTTAGATTTGACCAAGATATACATGGCGGATGTGATGGCTGTAGCCAAAGACGCTCACCATTCCGGAACACAAACTCTTAAATCCTTGCACCTTTTCATTAGTCTCCGTGTAAATCTTTCTTTCCTTATATTTTGACCTTGTTTGATCGATTTCGTGTACAAATTATGGTGTTGTTGAAACTTCGTTTTTCATCTGCTCTTTTCTTAATTACTTTTTTCATGCAACGGCTAAGTAGCCAGCGCAATAAACGTCGAATTGATCGATGCAATTGTGATTAATTATTATGAAATTGCTAAACAGTTTGCCTTGATGGAAGTAATAGTCACTCTCTGAACGACAAAAATAATGATAATTTATTAACACACCAGTCGTGTTTGAAGTACGTGATGAAAAGGCGTATCGTTAACTTGGTCATACACTGAACCGATGCAGATGCCAAATGTTACATGCAGTGCTATACTAACAAAGTAATGTTAATCCTCAGATATAAATGTATGAAACATTGATTTAGCATCCAAATAACTATAACAGACTGTATTTTTAGAGGGGGGGGCGGGCGGGAAATGTCCCTTATTTAAATTGATGCTATGCTATGATGAAGAGCTACAATTGAGGTTGATGTCATTGTGATATCGCTGAATTATCAGAGTTTTGAGACAATAGCTTCGTCAGATTTTTCACAACCATACAGATAGTCTGCTTGGAATATTCTGTCAGATTTTAGATAAATTGCAAAATAAATTCTCTGTTGGTTCTGTGTATCTTGCCAAGAGTACACGTCTAGATTTGAGCACGGCGGTGACTCTCCAATAAACGAAACATCGGTTTTAAGAACCGGTAATCGACAAATGTCGTCGTCATAGTGACGATAGTACCCGGATTGCGACGCTTCTGAAGCACAGTCTGCGCAGAATTTGTAGTATTGTGCATAATTGACGTGTAAATTGATATCCAAATCACTATATCTAGTGCGAATTATTGATTTAAATGCGTTCTTTGGTGGAACAAATTCCTCTTGTACATCTGTTATCATTGCAGGATCAGAACTTGCAAACTTAGTGCATTCTTCAACAAACGCTGTTGGAAGTTTCGACGGTCTCCTTGTTTCTGGATCAATGTTCACCATTTTTGTTTCGATGCGAAATATTCGCCCCATTGTGGAGGAATCTATTAGATCGTGGAAAATGGAATATGATGTTGTTCCAACATTAGGAACTGAAGCGTGTAAAAAGATATCGTTGTTCTCAGGGAAACCTTTTTCGTGAAGTTGAGGAGAACATACAGCCTTCTCCCGTACAGTGAATGCTTTTTGTATAAGCTTTGTTGGAAATCCCTGCTTTATCATCTCTGGATAGCCTTCCCAAAGAAACTTTATTGTTCCATCGAAAGGAAGATGGCCTGAAAACAGACACAAATCTATTTATTCTTTTCAAAAAAAGAAAGATTATTACAAATCATTTGTAATCTTGTGATTAAGTTATGGCATCTAGAAAAAGTTAAATTGAAAATTCGAAATTATTTAACATCTGCAATAAATAATTTTGTTTGATTTAGATCTAAGATGTACAACGTAAAACAGAATTATATTGAACACGTGAGTTGAAAATGTGGCTTAATATTTCCCCTCCTGCCTGAGTAACTTTGGCCAAGTTAAGCCTTCCCTGCAGTTTCAAGAAAAGTATATACGTGCCGTATCTCACTGCATGCCGTAAAAGGGGACTAATGTGGGGGCCTCTGCACAATCTTTAGTTTTATCTAATGTCTTGTGTATGGATACCTTGAAGAAACCAAATTAGATCTTGCAACATTTTGGATCTTTATATTTCTCTCTACTTCTTATCAGCCTTTTTGTTTCCTAGTGCCTTCTTCAGCAGTACCTCACGTTTGGCCCTGGTGTTGAATGTCGACCAAGTGGGATTGTAAAAGCATCATATCCTTGAAATGGCTGCTGTTAACATTCAGCATTTAGGATAATGGCAACGACTGGTCTAACCGTTGTCAGTAGAATGTAACCGGATGGAATGGTATTTCAGTGAGGGGCTATTGCAAGGAGTGATTTACTCCACCATACCCTGCCACTCCAGTACACACATGCACGCATCCATAACATACATTGAGACATGTCCTTAGATAACCCTAGCTGTTCATATGACGTCACACAAATTAGAACCAATCATTAGCCTGTTTCTGTGTGCGACTTAAAATGGTGTATTTGAAATACTTATCACAATTAGAGATACGTGTATAGATACATAAAATCGACAAAATAATCAAATGAAATAATACATTTTCATGAATGTCTAAGTTTCTGAAGTAGGCCATTAAAATGGCGAATAGTCCTACCGTTGTCTTATTTCTATTTTGTTTATAATACATATATTTTGTAATAGAGAAACATCATCATTTTTGCCAGAGATTCACAAATACCTTGCCTTCGTTTAACACTAGTGATCTACGGGAAACAAAATATAATATTTCCCTAATTCAAAGACTTATAAATGTATTTCAGCAATTAATGTTTTAGCAAATGTTGTTATGGTTCTATAACACACATTGCTATTGATTACAAACTTAATAAAGCCAGGCAGGGCTTAATGTAAGTGTGTCAGCAATCGAAATGTGTGTTATAGGACCATAAATATATATAGTTATGCTTTATTTAGATATTTTGAACAGTTCTTTTAACAGCAAATTAAGTCTTGACAACAATGAAATTGATGACGTGACAATAGAGATCGAGCATGTTACAATAGCAAATGCTGTTAAAGTATCGTAATAACATTTGCCTTATCAATGCATTGCAAGGGAAGGATGCAGAGCAAATGATTATATAAATATATAATACAAACTTACCAAACCTGTCTAGTATCACCCAAGTTGGGCGTGGCAATGACACGAGTTGCAATAAGTTGGTCTTCGTCCCCATTCTGACGGAATACAACTCGGAATTAGTACAAAAACTCCTGCTACAATTTTTTATCCAGTTTCTGTGAAGTGATAAATGGATGGTACATAGAGAAAATCAAAAACGCAATTAAAAGAATAAAAATTAAAAAGAAAAGCATCCATAGCAAATGATATTCAGGTTTCACTTAAATATCAAAAATCCGCTATCGTCAAGCCAATTTATTTAGAGTAATACTTTGTACTTGTGAGAAAGATTTCGCTTCATAAAATCTACACTGAACAAAAGGCTAATTGGTATGATGAGGAGTAAGTTCATCCGAATCAATCCGTACCTGAAACTCTATTCGTTAGTGCCCTCTTCTTACGACAGGAAGATGTAGGTGATTCTATAGTTGTTCGATGGTGAACTCGCGTTGATCTAATTCTTGAACTTCGATGTATAAAGGTTGGCATGCTATTTGACTGGTTGACGTCATGACCGAGTATTGTGATAGTGCATGTATAACCAGTGATACAATCTGTGTTTAAACAACCCGGGGTCAAATTAAACTATGCCATTTGAGCGAAGATTAAAGCGTAGTTCAACAGAAACCTACTACAGGTACAATGTACTTGCCGATAGCTTGTGTTTCCTTAAACCGCCAGATCTGCATTTAAAATTGCATCTGTAAAATACTCATCTTCTTCATGTTTGCAGCATAGCTCACCGAACTCGTAACTGAAAAATATTATGTTATTGCGTAAATTTTATCTGTTAATTTTTGCGATCGAATAAAAGATTCAGCAACATGCATGTTCTTAGCCTGTTAATATTTGTGCCACAGTGGCTTTTCAAAAAGATATTTTTCTGACTAGCGTAAAATTGGAAGGCCGATCAGATAAATACATAAATATTGTCAAATTGTTCATCAAATGGAAGATAAACATGCTATTTTGTGTTCTGTGCCTGTTATTGTGTTATGTTACGAGTCGATTACCAGATATACCACATGTTTAAGGGAGTTGATGATTAGAAATGTGATTTTATGTAATGTAATTATGTGCAATGTTTTTGCTTAAAAAATATAAGAATACGTATTCATGAGGATGGAGAGGTTAATAATATCAAGTATCTTCTTGTTATTGAGATAGACATATAATTCATGATTTTTAGACTGAGTATAGAAAGTCTTTAGGATGAGTTTTGATTCAGATGATATTAAATGATCTGACATGAATTTATGTCAGTCAAAACATAGAAAGAATTAACAGAAATATATGATGATGTGTAAATAAAGGCATACTTTATCGTGAGACAGTTTCACAGTGATTTCTTGTTGGATGTTAAAAAGATTTTTTAGAGACATAAATCGGTGTATAAAACTCGTCAAACTGCTGAAGTAAAGGTACTCACGTAAGATAACCTTTGAATTTATTTATCTATAGAAAAGTACTCCAAATATTAGTATATAGTGTGCAAATGTGTCTTATATCACTCTATATCTGAACATAGTAATGATTTCAACAAAAACGAAAATATTTGTATTTGTTTTTTTATTAATTACTTTTGGCAAATAAATTTGTTGTTTACTTCATCGTTTCAAGATGTTACTTAGATCAGATTTTTCGTAGCCGTACAGAAAGTTCGCTTGAAATATCATCGCAGATTTCAGATAGATTGCACAATAAATTTTCTGTACATTGATTTCATCTTATCAAGTATACACGTCCAGATTTGAACATGTGGCAGATTCTCCTTTAAATATGACATCGGTCTCTAGAACCGGAAACTGGCAACTGTCGTCGTCAGAGTAACGATAGTACCCAGATTGCGACGCTTCTGAAGTACTGTTTGCGCAGAATTCGTAGTATTTAGATAAAATTGACGTGCATTTAAGGATTCATATCATTAAATCTTGTACTACGAATAAATTCTTTGAAGGCGTCCTTAGTTGGAACCATTTCCTTTCGTGTTTCTGTTATTAAACCACGACTGTGACTTGGAAACTTGAAACATTTCTCAACAAACACTGTTGGGAGTTGCGATGGCCTCCTTGATTCAGGATCAATATTAATGTGCTTTGTTTCAATAAGAGAGTGTTGCTCCATTGTAGAGGGGACCTATAGCACATTGAAAATAGAATATGTCTTCTTTACAGCCGTGTTGACCGATGCATTGAATAAAACGTCGTGATTCATCAGGAAATTTATTTGGTGAAGTTTAGGAGAAAATTTACCTTTCTCTCGTACCATGTATGTTTTTTTAAGAAGAGTCGTGGGAAGCTCCTGCCGTTTGTTTTTAAGACAGCCTTCCCAAAGAGGTTGTATTGTTCCATCGATGGGAAGATGGCCTAAAGCAAACATTAATGTATAATATTGTTATGACATTCGTAAATACTGATATCAGTTACAAAATGTCATATTGATTTAATTGATTAATTATCTTTTCACAAAATTCTTTTATAAACTCTTCTTGAAATATAATTATAACAGATAGGTATTCGAAACTGAACAAACGTTATTGTTCTTCATGACTTGTTTACTATATTTCTAACTATATAGTAACAACGCTTTATGCTACATTCTATATTTTTCATCTATAATGTCACATGGAGACAACAGTTAATTTATCGTAAGAAGAAATATGATTGATTGTATTATTATATGTTACAGCGTGTATGATTGGGTTATATGGAACATGTATTATTTTTGCAATTTAGATTTTTCAATTCATATATTTTCTTCTAATAAGATCGCTGCCAAAACTGCCTAAAGTAGGGATGTTTTACTCCTTACTCACACCAACTCACACCGGAGCACACACCTTGCTCACACCAACACCAACGCTGCTCACACCGACTCACACCGGAGCACACACCTTGCTCACACTAACACCAACGCTGCTCACACCGACTCACACCGGAGCACGCACCTAAGCTTGCTCACACCAACACCAACGCTGCTCACACCGACCCAAACCGGAGCATACACCTTAAGCTTACTCACACCTTACTCACACCGGCACACACCAGAGCGCACAACACCGCTCCTCACACTGCTCACACCAACGCTCACTCCACAATGCCTAACCAGACTATTTCAGAACAACAACTATTGTAACACAATTTAAAACATGGGCCAAAATGCAAATAAAATATACAGTTTCTTTAAATTACCTTCCGATATTTATCTAACTTTGACAAACTAGCGATATATGTACATATGACAGGTTTTAATGTATCATGTGGTTTTTTATTTATTATTTAATTGTGCGGGTCTTTTATGTGTCAGTTTTAATAGTTTGCCATGTATACCCACGTAAACAAGACCAGCATGATATCTTGTCGACACAGGACAGCAAGAGAATGAATGCGAACTTTAAAGAGTGTATTTGATGGTAAAAGGTACAGCTGTCAATAGGAGTGAACAAATACAAGTAAAGTCGTTTGGGTCATGCGATTCTCTTTGACCTTGCGTCAAATTTCTGTAATACTTCAGACCTTTATATCGAGATAACGTCAGCTACCCAATCTTTATGTACTGTTACAAAATGCACTCGGTCACCAGATTCCATTATTTACTATGTAATACCGACGTACTTCAACTCTCAAACGAATTTAAAACATCATTATTCCATTTCTGTAGAAATTGATCATATACATTAAACCATGTTCGTTCAAAATATTTTGTATAAAACAATAATATATAAGTTGCTAAAAGGTGGAGAATCGTCATACTTCAACAGACAACTGAAGGATAAAGATCTCCAGAACTAGTTCATACGAAAGTGTAATGTTACCATGAAGCTCTACGATACCAACTTTATCGTCCAGATTGGACTCTGTGTATGACAGAAACCGCATACACATCACCCTACTGAAAATGAAGGGGGCGGTTTCACTTCTAGCAATGATGTGTATGTCACTGGCTATTACCGAGAGCTTGTCGACATAAATTGATTCAACAAATACTTCGGACTTTATTAGGATAGCGTCAGTGACACTACCAGATAACGTCAACACCACACTGTGTGGTTATCTGAAACAATACCCTTTGCAGTACGATATGTCGTTTCCGTGTGTCATTATCAAGGGCGAGTACGCATTGACTTTAGACAATTCATCAAAACAAAGTAACCATTAGAGGTGTTGCATTTAGTTATCTTAAACAATATCCTGCATAAACTCCTCTATCTATATACTTTTATTAAAAACAACACCGACTCAAATACTTCATTTGCCGACTAGCCTGTCGCGTACAGTAGCCGGAGTTTATTAGTGCATTGTTGGGCAATGTAATCAAACAAATGTTTGACAGTAATATATATACAACTCCTTCACTTCTCTCCAAACACACGCCATTGACTATGAAGAATGAATTAAATGATCCAGTCCTGGGCTTAAAACCAGATCTAAAAAACTATATTTTTCGATATAAAAAACTCTGGAAAACCTTGGGCTGATCTAGGATGGACAAAATATCGAAAAACTAATGTTTATCAATAACCACTGTAGCATGATGTACAACATGAATGTAACTTATTCTTATGTTAATACTGGAACGAGCATAAAGCGAATACAAGTGCATTGCAAGTTGTTTTTAATTGTGATGTTGTCGGTACGGCTGGCAGCTAGATACTGATACGTGTCCCTATTACACTGCCCGATCCCACCTTATCACGTGACCTATATATATATGTCACGTACAGAGCGAGTAGCACGAGCCGTTTATACAACATTTTCCCGGCTTATACTACCGAAACGCGGGAAAATTTAATTACAGTATGATATGTCGTTTCCGTGTGTCGTTATCAAGGGCGAGCACGCATTGACTTTAGACAATTATCAAAACAAAGTAACCATTAGAGGTGTTGCATTTAACGTTCAACAGTGGAAATATCTACAACACCTAACTGCTCATATCAACATGTCTATTAGAAATGCTGGTATGTAAATGTATTAGTATTAAATATGTATTAGTATTAAATAAAATATAAATAATATGTTACGTGTTTTGTTGTTTCGTATAGGTACTTATGACATAAACCTATGGGAGGGATGAGCTGCTGCATACTGTCATATATTCAACGTAACATTCTCATACATGTGCGGCACTACCGCTAGTGATTCTTTTTTTGAAATTCTCATCAGATAAAGATGTATAAATATCTGTCGGTGTACTTATACAAAATACATTGCGGTTTTTGAGTGATTCGAATATCTGTGTTTTTGTGATGTCTATGCAAAACTTTTTTTTATATGTATATGCAATCATTATATTTTGCCAATGATTTTAACTATGTACAATAAAGTAATAATGAGTTTTACTGTGAATAATAACGATACGACCCTGCTAGATCTGATGCTATAATTTGGATCATGTATGTTATCTTGTCATAACAAACGTTTATATCGTATACTTGTCTTTTTTATTAACGTTATTGTTACACGATCTGGCGCTATAATTTTGAACATGTATTTATCTTGTCATTATAAATGTTAATAGTGTATAGTTGTAGAACTACTACATGGGAAAACGTGCATTTTATTCAATCACCAAACCTGGCATAGAGCGCCCGAGATGGACGTGGTGACGTCACAAGTGGGCGTAACTCGGACTTTGTTCCAAACTGAAACAGTAATATAACGACACTAATACAGACACACTTCGGTAAACTGCCATGACTTTTCCATTGTGGAGATTTCTCTGTCACACCCTCAGGGTAGGGGAAGATTCTATTAATCTCCTTCATCTAATTTGTTCTTTAGAATGATGTTATACTATTCATTAGACCAATGAGTAAATATGATAATGTTCATTAGTTCATCAATTCTTGTTATATATTGGTTTGTCGTTATCTTGAGGCTAATTTAGCCTTTAGTTATACATCTTATCAAAGGATTGATCCTCTCAAACTTTTCCCGTTTTAAGATACATAATTTTGTATATACATTTCTATAGGAAGCCGTTTTACTATTAATCAAATATCTGATATCAAAAATCGATTTTCGGATATAAAAGATAGCATCTAATTAAAGGGTAAGGTACACGCGCACGTGTAAAGTGAATTAGAGGGTGTGCGTGTAAATTGCATGTTTATTATGAGTGTACATTACTTTGACAGGAACATTATTTTGTTAATGAGTGTGGTAAGAATTATTATTGTGAGATAGAAATAGGGTACAAAAGGGCTTACTGAAGATATATTAAGTTGTAAGATATATTAGTGGTTATGTACATTCGGTTGTTAAATACATTACGTGGTTAGGTATATTACGTGATAACGTACATGACGTGGTAAAGTACATTACGTGATAAAGTACATCACGTGGTTACGTACATTACGTGGTAGGGTACATTACGTGATAAAGTACATAACGTGGTAAAGTACATTACGTGGTAAAGTACATCACGTGGTTAGGTACATTACGTGATAAGGCACATAACGTGGTAAAGTACATTACGTCGTAAAATACATTACGAGGTAAAGTACATTACATGATAAAGTACATTACGTGGTAAGGTAAATAAAGTGGTAATGTAGGTAAATAATGTCATAAATAACTTCAGATTTAATTTCATATTTAGAGGAAAGGTACATAAAGTGGTAAGGAACATTTAGTTGTACTGTACCTAAAGATGTTAAGATACATTTCCAGAAACAGGGTGAGGTCACGAGGTTCTGGTCAGTCGACTTTTATTTGGAGATACGTCTCTTTCGGAACAGGAAAATCGTTGATTTCTTCATTCTATTTTTACATTGATTTTTATTTTTGTATTACTTAGATTGAATAAATCACCTGCAGTGAGTTACCGCAATATTTTTATTTATTAAGTAAAAGCGACGAAACCATGTTTTGTTTCTTTCTGAATTAAATACCCCTTATGGAACCCCATCTTTATAAGGGGGAATAACTCTTAATACAAAATGGAAATCAGACGATAAACACAGTCACGTGTGTTCCGACAATGATCTAGTCGAAAGGTAAGATACGACGTATCTCTATTATATGTTAAACTAGATGGAAACAAATATAAACTACATAAGTACATGTGTATTGTATAAATGTATAGCTTGTTCGTCGTATAATATATAAAATAACAGCTGATCTTTCGTGTGTTTTAGACTTAAATAGGTCCTACTTCCATTTCCTATCTATAGTCAAGGTCTAACCCTTGTGACCAGTCACGTCACTCAAAGATACATCTATACTGGTGATACTGGTTTACAGTGAGTACATGGGGAAGATAATACACATTCCAGATAACATCCTACTTTCATTTAACCGGATGTTATTGAGTCCGGCGTGACAATATAAGGGGCGCCAAAGGGTATAAATCGAATGACGTGCGGTTTCAATTCATGAAGTTAGAACATACTAATAACAATTATTGTGTTCATAAATCTAGCTTAATGTTTTTACATTTAGTTTAACGTTCTTGCTTAAGGGAAACATACTACATGTACGTTTAACTATAGTGTAGCATTTTTCCAATGATGTTCTCTAGAGAGGTTTATATATATATAGTTCTACTTGGTGTAATATTTAATGATACACATATTGTTAAAATTCACTTTTTATACATTTAATTAACAAATTCATTTACATTTCTTTTAATATACCTCGCAAACAACAAACCAATAGTTATTTGTTTACCACTAATTTCCATCCCCTTTAGTCAGTCTTTCTTCCTTTGTAATCACGCATTACACATGCAAGAGGAGATGAAATGCAACAGCCAGACCGGGATTCGAACCCGGGACCCTCCGAACTCTATGCGGGCACTTTATCGACCCAGTCCAGTTGCTGTTCCACTACATACATATTACGGCGTAGCATCAACAGAACGAAAAGTTTGACAATTACACAAAAATAGCCCCATGCATTTAATTTGTTACCACATCTAAATAGCTAAGAAAGTAGAAGAAAAAAACACAAACATAGTTTTTGTATGACCATTTCCTGAATACCATTTTCCTTTTGAAAAAAAACAAATCTTGAACATTTGGAGTAGAATCTTTCCGGGGTGCGTCTTAACGTTTAATGAAACAAACATCTGCTTTTTTAATCATATTATTAGTGATAAGTGCTCGCCATTTGTTTTGTCGGAGAGGGAAAACATTGAATTTGAGTTTGAACGTAAGGAAACACTTTCATCTCCCAGTCAAAGTTCAACTATGTCATTTACTGGTTTAAAGGTAACATCATTGCATTCAATACTCCATCGCAACACACAAGTTTGGTCAATCATTTCTATGTTCCTTCCACATTTTTCCAAGACATTCTAGGAAATATCTTTTTGAGACACTAATGTCTCTGCAACAAATGCTTAAAACGTGTTTCTAGTCCCAGAAATAAAAAAAAAAAAATTAACAGACATATTTCGTTATCTTGGTGTGAAAGCGTTTGGAGACATTACGTAAAACTGAATAAGTAACGAGTAAATTAGAATTGATGATTTCAAACATGTCTATCCTTCATGAATAATATATATATAGGATCTTACATTCGTTTTAATTTCATTAAAATTTATGAAACAGGTCTAAGAATTGATCAATTTAGCAAGCCTCTGGCGAGCTAGAATGAAAAATTCGTGACGAGTTTCATAAATTTCCCCTATGAAATGAAAACGAGTGTAAGATCCTTTTTATCACATAATCAAGATTTGTGGCGTTTATTCGTGAAAAACGACAATTTTCATGCAACCTTGAAATGTAAAAAGCCGCCATTTTGACTCAAGTGCGTACATTTGTGACGTCATGTACTTGTTCTAGGCGTGACCTAACAATTGAAGCAAATAAAACGTACAACCAATCACAGGGCTGTTAGGTCATATTACATGGGTTAATACGCAAAAAAAAATTTGACATAGATATATTCACTGGATAACAGAGTACATTATGTGATACAGTTGTACATGTAAAAAAATTTAGTAGAAGCTGATGCAGGGTTAATAATACAAAATCCCTCTCCTACTGTACTGTGTTTTTAATTCTCTCCTACACAAGCTCCCCTTAACTTCCAGTTGGATAGAAATCAAGCATTGCTGGGCCAGAACACTTCCGTTGACCAGATCGCTCAATATGTTAGAGCGCTACTGCAACATTATGAAAGACTCGGGGTTCGAATCATGGTCTAACCCTGCTGAAAGTTTTCACCCTGAACACTATTGTTGATTATATATTTTGTTTGAGTCCTGCAAAGTATGGTTTTCTTTTCTTAAATGGTTTATCAAAGCTATAGTCATGTCGGGGAAATCGATTTCCAGTACTTCGTTACAGTTGTACATGTAACAATGATTTCGTGTCACACTTAAAGTGTTGCGATATTACTGTACACATACATTCTATCTGAAACAGGAAAGATAATAGTGGGCTTCCACCTGGGATCGAACCCTCGATCTCCAGGTTCCTAGTCGGACGCCCTACCACTGAGCTAAAGGGAAATTCCCTCTAGCTCGAATCTAGAAGGCGATCTTAATCCTTTGTACAAGTAAAACCTGCCACATATCTATTCGTTTTCAAAAGTATGGGTTTTTTTTTAAAGTAAATGCATTATTGTTTTTACAGAAGATGGCTTTCTATGAAATTGTCCACGACTCTCTGGCACGAGTAGATATCCATGTAAACGGATTACCGAGCCAGTTCTTCGACAGGACAAGTGAGTAATTATTGATATAAACGGGGCGGATAAGCGCACGACAGGGCGAAGGATAGTTGAATCGCACAATTGTAGGCATCATGTGCGGACGATGTGGACATGGTGTGTTAACGTTATTTTAGTGCATTGTGCGGTCACAAAACTGTAATTGTAATGCAATGTTGTGATACATGTACTATAGAAATGAAAATATTGATTCATATGGATAACCTGTATATTTTTAATGAAGATTGGGCTAACATAAATATTCAACTTACTTCTTGGCCTTGTGCATTACTTGAAATCCTATTTAAGGCTGCATATACAAAACTGTTTAAAAGTGAGAATCAATTTGTATTACTTTGTAGGTCAGATTTTGAAAAAGTTTAGCTTGTTTAAAGGAAAGTATCATGCATAAATCTTTGAACATCCTCAAAGAACCTATGTTCAACTGAAAATACATTATGTACACCCAGTGTGCATTGTCGTAGTAGGGGTATATCGGCATTGTCATGAACAGGCATTGGGAAAACTCTCCAGCGGCGGATTCAGGATTTCTAAAGGGAGAGGGGCGTCTACAAAATACCGTATTCTTTTCTGGTTTTAATAATGTGGTTGCGGAATTTGCCTCATTTCCTGATCCTCGAAATTCCCTAAGTTACCCTCACTTACGTTCTCTGCAGCCCTTGGAAATATAATGGCGAAATCGACGGCTTTGTATGTGCCACCTTGTTGATAGTTTGAACCTGTGAGGTACATCAAAAGAAATCTGCGGCTGCGTAACAAGAAGATTAACCGGCTATGAGGACGGGTGTCGCCCCGCTGTATTCTTTATTGTGATTTAAATTGTAATAAGATTTACTTGCTTTGTCAAAAATGCGAATGTTCAGTGTAAGTAATTATATAAGCAGTATATGGTTAAAACGGAGTAACATTAGAAAAAAATATTAACAACAATGCACAATTGCATCAAAAATGCTATTGTTATTATTTTCTGTTTGATATAAATTTCCGTCACAGTTACTTGTGTGTGGCATGAAGTATGCTTGTAATGTAGCCTCTAGTAATTATCAGTACACGGAGGACAAGTGCCTAATTAGGGGGGCCACTGTCCTTCGAAAGGCAGTGATCACCTCAGCGTTTAGGCACTTGTTTTAACCTTGAACAAAATGAAATAGCTTACCGCCTGTCTTCGATTTTGTCATGGGGTAATACAAAGGGCAGGGGAGGTTAGTGAGCGTAACCTCTAAAGCTTGAGTATGTACTTCCTGGATCTGTCACTGCTCTGATGAATTTTCTTTGTGTCATTTTTATCGTCTTTAATGCATAATCACTTAAATTATTGTTGCAGATAATTTATCGGTTTGGAGTATCGTCGAGCTTTTTTTGAATGCTGGAAGCCCTCCTAATGTTAAAGAGTTTACCAGAAGACAGGATCTGTATAGGACGCGCCAGATAATGCAATTTGTTGTACAAATATCCTGTTCTGTAACACCGGAAATCCATTTGATTTCAAAATACAATAAATCAACCAACAGATTAGTCATGTCAACTGATATTCATGAATTTGGCACGAGTTCTTTCAGTTTGAAAAGCTCAATGTCTAATCGCGAGACAAAAGAGAAACTTGGTGATTTCTTTATTAAACTCGTCACAGTGAACATGAAAACCAGGAAATCATGTCCTTTGCCTAAATGGTATGTGGAAAAATTCAGAGATGTACCGGGTTTCAATACCAATCCTCCGTATCCAAAGCCAAAGATACCGGAAATGCCCGAAGTTATATATCACGTGACCGTTACGGCACGATTCAGTGATATGGATGGGAATAACCACGTGACCACACATCGTTATATGCAGTTTTTCACTGACTGCGCAACAGAAGCAGCCAATTGTGGATTTTACAAACATTTCACTAACGACATGTGCTGGTATCCTGTTGAAACGTTTGATGTCACTTTACTAGGCGAAAGTAAAGTTGGTGACAAGTTACGTGTATGTACGTGGCAAGACGGTGCTGATATTCAAAGAGTATATTTCAACTGCTTCAATGACGGTAAATGTGTGATGAAAGCATCGTTTGTCTATGGGCTGAACACAATTACTCCAAAAATTCCCCCACACTATTTATAATGAGTCAACCTAAACCTATGCCGTTCTACTTTCGGAATACGAAACAAAACAAAACTGAGAAATGCTAAAGAGAGCCATTGTGTGTCAATACATCCGTTGCTAGGAGACTGTCTCTAGGCCCTCAACACGTACAGTTTAGACAGATAAAACAACCAAGAAACCCCATTGACCAAATGTACATATTTATAATTCAATCGGTTTTCAGTGGACAATGTTCCCGGTGGTAATGTTATTAAAGACATTAGTTAGTTCACTAATGTATTTTTTGTTTTTCTTTATGTTTCCATCCCCAGCTTTTCGGGGAAAATGGGGGATATTAATTTGGCTCCGTCCCTCTGTCTTGTTTTAGTGCGCTAATATGATCCGATTTCAACAAAATGTGGTGTGTATATACAAATTTACATGGTTGGGGTGTAGTTTGATCGTAAAAATCTACACTGTAAGTGAGATTTTTGCATAGTTATGCATACTGAATGAGATTATAAACTTGTGATTGGCTAATTGGTTTCCGTGCAATAACGTTCCTACTAATGGGTAGATTTCGACGGAATAGGTTTTGCACATACATGTTGACATGTCTCGGGTTAAGTTCGATCGCGAATATGATCCATGCATGTTTACGCCTAATTTATGACACCTATACATGAACTAATGAGGTTATAAATTACAATAGACTACATCTTGAACATGTCCTGCAGTAAGCGAATTGGCTTGTTTTTTCCTTATTCAAATATAAACGATGGCGGACAATTTTTGTATTATTGATATAATATTACTTCCCTTGAGCTATAGGTAATGAACTCAATTTCATCCACAGCATTACGACAACACTTGCTGAAGATGTATTAAGCTCTGCAATAAACCTCTACATATATACTGTATAGCACTTTAATTCGCGGGGTCAATATTTTGTAGTTTCGTATGCAGTACATATTCGCGGGGTTAAATTTCCCTGTGCACCCGAATTCCATGTGTCGTGCAAAGTATTTTGAGTGTCATCAACATACTGTTCCCGAGCGTCGTCATCTGTCAGTGACATCACTTGTTTTTACATGGACTGCGAAGTTGTATGGTGATAATCTGATTTGAGTTCATTAAAGCTTGCATAACAGCGTGATCACGTGATGGCCGAAGAGAGCTGACCAGGTGTGTGATGCGGGTGATTAAAATCGGAATATTCTTCTGAACAAGGACACTGGGAAATGTCTTTTAAAGACAAGTAAGTTGCCATTACATCATGGAATCATCTTAATCAGAAATTTGAAGTTTGGGTCCTATATAAAAGACATAATTGAGACTTTCTGTGGATTCTTTGTCACATACTGTTGCTATATTTAGACCGTGTTACCTTGACAGCTATATAATACACTGTGAGCACGGTTCATGCACGTACCTGTCAAACGTTTTGCTATTTGTACCCATCGAACTTGCTACATCAGTATACATTATGTCTAGTTCTAAATCCAATATTCTAGTTACTTGTGAGACACGACGATAACCCGAGACCAGGCTGAAATGTTCTGTTCAGGGGTTACGAACAATACCAACATTACCGATCTCAAACGTAATGGGTTGTGTAGCCCTCTTTCCCCCGATGAACATTTGTCATTACCCAAAAGGTCTACTAGTGAGAATACGCCGACTTCTAAAACGGATGACCTATCTGATGCCCCGATCCCCAGTCCCGGGCTGAGTCAAATTTTAGACACATTGTACTGTACAGAATTCCTCAATAAACTTGTTGACATGTTAGCACCTGCCGTTGCTTCTATTGTAACATTATCGATCGAAAATATTCTAGTGGAACGCGCAAAGCCTCAGATTGAAGCAACCGTTAACGAACTCGTGTCCGAGCACCTAAACGACGTTGTCGAACGTAAAATTGACGCGGCTATTTCCCCCCTACACACTGAGATCCAACGACAGGCCGATGAACTACAGCTCGTTAAAAGCAGACTCCATACGACGGAATGTGACCTTGAGGAACTACAACAGTACTCCCGTAGGACGGCATCGAAATTTCATAACGTGCCCATCCCCCCGGGTGGGGTCCAAGAGCTCGATCCATACCGAGCAGTTGTAGCAATATCCAACGACATCGGGGTTCGCCTCGACGCTAATGACATCTCGAGAGCCCACGTGATAGGCACTCCGAGGAACCAGAGGATCACTGTTATCGCTCGGTTTATCCGATAAACGGACAGACAACGCGTCTACGACAACCGGTTTCAGCTAAAGAACCATAGACATCACATACTAATTACAGAGAGCCTCACCAGACCCAGACAGAAACTAGTATCGAGACTGAACATTCTTCGAAAAGACGGCAAAATCAATTCATTTAGAACAGCAGATGGCCGTATTTATTGCAAGAAAACACAATCCGCGCGGAAAATCGAAATCTTTTCTCCCCAGTGCGTTGACAAACTTGCAAATCCTGTGGTTGGACCAGATCCAGCATCTCTAAACCATCAGCCACAAAGTCCATCGGTAACCCATAGGTAATTGACACAATCACTTGTAAATATGTACATGTACATATTTGGACAAATCACCCAGTGAATACATTATGTATACATAAATACACAAAGATCAACTGTTTAATATATATTAGTGTGTATCCATGTCGTACGCTGACTTGATACAGGTACCTGGCGCTCGGCCGGGAACTTTTAGTGGAGACTGGTTACACTTACCATATGTATAACGAACATGCGGGTATGTGCGTGTACGCGTACCCAATACATGCATATGAGCATCCGGTAAGATGCATATACATGTACTACACGTATTGGGTGTGTTCGAACATACTTATCTCCAGTCTCCTCATCAGTCTCCTGGTTCGTCGGGGCCCCCTTTTCAAAGAAAGTCGTGGTAATACTTGCCTGTATGTATTGACTTACCTGTGTGTTTGTGAACCATATGTGTGTACCTTTACGCGTAGCAACATAATGTATACTACTATATATACCAAGATCATTGAGAATTCGCAAGACTAGTCCATTCACGTATCCACTTTATACTCCAGACACATTTTTACGGCTACTAATGGCGTTCACCGCCACCCCGGCCTCCCCCCCCNACACATACCCACCTACACATGGAGAAGGTAGCATCCTGGTAGGTGGCCATGGCTTTATTCCAATGTTGCTGAAGTAGAAAAAGAACTAGATGTATATATGTATATGTGTGTGTGTATACGAGTATAGGTGCAAGTGCCCTAGTGGTTAGGTGCACTATGTGTTTGCATGTGTGTGCACATATGTGCTTATGTTATGAATGTATATGGGATTGTTTTGTGCCAGCGTGCGTGCTTATATGTAATTGTATATCTACACGTACATATGAAAACCACGACAAATTGTGTAAACATATGAAATATGTAAATATTTTACCTTCAAATTATGTGTTTACCCCAGCAATCCTTAAACAAGTGTTTTTCCCCCGCCATATGTTAGCATTGCATTCATACTTACATTCGTGTTTACATGGATGTCAATTGATGTGCATTCATGTTTTGATTCATAGCTATATTGTGTCAATTTATGTGTATTTATGTTTTGATTCATGGCTATATTGTGTTTATATTTCATATTTCAAATAACTATGTTTCCACTCGATCTTACCATAACGCCTATTCGTGTTGATTCATGTTTTCACTCACGCTCATTGATGTACTTTTATGTGTATTTATGTTTCGATTCAAGGCTATATTGTATATATATTTCATATTTCATAGGCTGATTCACTATTGTACATATCATTTACATTAATATCTACATTCCTGTTCATACGTGTTAATTCGTGTTTTACATTCGTTCATCTTCATATTATAGCCGCATGTTGATATACATGTACTTACATTTTCTCAACTTGCTTATTACTACCCCTCCATCAATGAAAATCAGCGGTGAAAGTAATTCCAGTACAGCTCCGTCCATATTAAAAATAGTAATACATGAAAATATATTGTTTAGTAACCTGTGCGAGGGATAACGATAACAGTGTATTCGTGTCTGTATTATTTTGAAATGCCTTTTTACCTGATTAGCCTCCAATAACGATTAGTAAGTTTCTCCCAGTGTTAAATTTGTATGTATTTAACGTTACCCGCAAGAACATTGTCTCAACGACAAACAGTGTTTGTTTATGTTGTGTTATTTTGTGTATATCGTTCTAAATCATATCGTTTCCTCTCCCAATACCCCGCCTCTGTCCTTACCGTCTTTAGCTCTAAATCATCCTTCTCTCCCTTTTCCTCCATTCTCTCTCTTTACTCCTATCTCTCCCTTTTCTTCCCTTCTCTACCTTTTCCTACCTTTATATGTATGCACCTATGACCCCACTGTTCCCGTCAATTCTGAGTACGTAGCCGTACACGTGTGTACATGTGTGGATTACAGACCCGATCGCCGTCCTGTAACAGTGTTAATTTTTGATGATTGTGGGTAACGATATAGTGTCCTACAGAGCGGCGATCGGCTGTATCTACCTTCGTACACACAGTGGCCTATCTAAAAAACAGTATATTTTCTACATAAATCTCCGTAAATTACTAGGTGGATGCATGCTCGGTATAATATATGTTCTTACAAAACTGGTATATGCTATACATTTGATCTTATCTAGCGTTATTGATAATTCGAACGTTCTGTTTATTCTCCAACTCCTTCTCTTATCTAGTAATGATGTACATCCAAATCCAGGACCTGATGATCTCCACAAAGACTATTCTATTTTCCACCTTAATATTCGCAGTCTTAGAAATAAGTTATCTTACCTAGAACATGTAGCGTCGGACTTTGATGTTGTCAGTATTACTGAGACCCATCTTGAAATATCCATAGCAGATGATGACGTACTCCTAGATGGTTATGATATGTACCGTAAAGACCGTGGAACACCGGGTGGGGGGATAAATGTTTACACTTCCAGCCTCATGTGCACACGTCGTCGAACTGACCTGGAATTCCAGGTAGGTGAAGTTGTATGGGTAGAGATCCAGTTTCCAAACAAGAAATTTCTTTTATGCACAGTATATAGACCTCCAAACTGTGTACAAGCTTTCTTGGATTTCTTCCGACTTTCTGTAGAAACAGCCATGAATGAGACACCGTATGTTGTTATAGTTGGTGATATTAATGTTGACCTTCTTACAGTAGATAATAATCACTCACTCGTTGATATAATGAACTTTTTTCACCTGACGAACGTTATCGACAGACCGACACGAATTGGACGCACGCGCTGCACACTTCTTGACCCCATTCTTCTATCAGACACTTGTACTTTTACAATAGCCGACATAATAGAGATAGACCGTGAAATTTCGGACCATGAAGCGACATCTGTAGAACTAAATATAGGGACTAAAATTGTTAGAAAATATGAAAGAAAAATATTATGCTATAAAGACGCAGATTACGAACGTTTTAACAGCTTACTTGTAGCAACGGACTGGACTGATCTATTTTTGAGAACCCATTCCCCGGACGACATGTGTGACACTTTACATCTAGATATTTAGAAATAGCTGATGAGTGTATTCCTTCTAAAGTAGTCACAATCAGACCTAATGACAAACCTTGGTTTAACTCTGACATGAGACGTGAAATTAGGAAAAGAGACAGACTTCTCCATAAATATAAATCCAATCGCACTCCACATAATTTGAACAACTTTAGGAAACAGCGAAATAGCGTTAACAATCTTAAAAAAGGACAAAAGAATTATTTTACGCGGACATTAACGGTCTTTTAGACACTTTTAGTGATACAAATCCCAGAAATGCTTGGAAACTTGTCCGCAGATTAATAAAATCATCTCAAACGTCTGGTAGTATACCGCCATTACGGAGTGCGACTGGAAACATAGAAATGGATGACGACATAAAGACTAACATACTTAATGACTACTTTGCTTCTATTTCTACTATCGACGATACTGACACAGACGTACCTGTTATAGAATCCAGAACAGACTCGACTATCTCAGACATACCCTTTAATATTAATGACATTATTGACATACTCAAAACTTTAAAAATTGGTAAAGCTGTAGGAAATGATACAATTAGTCATAATATGTTAAAGAACACTGCTAATTCAGTTGCTTATCCGCTATCTTTAATCTTTCGTTCTTTTTTAGAGACTGGATCTTTCCCCAGACAATGGAAGCTTGCTCTAGTGATGCCAATTTTTAAAAAAGGAGATAAACAAGACCCCTCAAATTATAGACCTATTGCATTGCTAAGTACTGTTGGTAAGGTTTTTGAAAGATTAGTTGCTAAACATTTACATAGCTATCTTTTAGAGAATTATCTTATATATAAGTATCAGTCAGGTTTTCAACCAGGTCATTCTACCGTACACCAGCTTATAGAAATATACCACAACGTGTGCGACAATCTTGAAAAAAGCAACCCACCTGTTAAGTCTTTTGTGATATTTCTAAGGCATTCGATCGAGTGTGGCACAGGGGGCTGGGGGTGAAAATAGCTAGCTATGGAATATCGGGTAAGTTATTGGAATGGTTAATTGATTAAATTACAAATAGATCTCGACAAGTATTTTTTGGAAACAGTAAATCCTCTGTTAAGACAACTTATGCAGGAGTACCTCAGGGTTCAGTCTTAGGTCCGTTGTTGTTCATACTTTATATTAATGATATAACAGATAATTTAGAAAGCTTATCAAAACTTTTTGCAGATGATACTTCTCTATTATGTTCAGATAAATCCCCACAAATATTAGAACAAAAAATTAATAACGATCTAAGAAATATTCAATTGTGGGCTGATAAATGGTTAGTTAGTTTTAATCCTGCAAAAACAGAGGCTTTACTTATTTCTAATATAGAACTAGATCACCTGATTGAAATAGATTTTAATAATATCAGTATAGACTTTGTTGATAACCATAAACATCTGGGAGTATTCATCGATGCTAACTGTAAGTGGAGCTATCATATTGACAATATTTGTAAAAAAGTAGTCAAGCAGTTAGGTGTTCTCCGTAAATTGAAATATAATCTAAACCGCCGTACATTAAATAAGATATATAGATCGTTTATACTTCCTATTCTAGAATATTGCTGTGAAGTTTGGGATGGTTGTACTCTTACTGATACAGACAAGTTAGAAAAGTTACAATTAGAGGCAGGACGTATTGTCACCGGTTTACCTTCCTATGCTAGTAGACAATCTATATATACTGAAACGGGATGGGAATCCCTAGCCCACCGGAGGTCCCGTCGGAAACTGCAATTATTTTATAAAATTCATCATAATATTACTCCTAACTATCTAAACACTCTACTACCTCCTCTTGTCGAAAATGCTCGATATAATCTTAGAAACGCCGAAAACTACAACCTGCCTAACAACAGACTAGAGTTATCTAACATGTCTTACTTTCCTTCTACTATTAGACTCTGGAATCAGTTAACTTTAAGTATTAGGCATAGCTCATCTTTTTCATCGTTTAAAAATGCCATTAGAGACAAACATTTGCCCCATGTACCCAATTACTTTTTCTACGGTGATAGAAAAAATAACATCCTACATACAAAACTAAGAAACCGTTCTAGCACTTTGAAAAACGATCTATTCCGAGTTAACCTGGTTGATGACCAACGTTGTATGTGTGGTTACCCTATTGAAGACACCTTCCATTTCTTTTTTAACTGTGATAATTATGTTGAACAGAGAATTAAACTTTATCGTGAACTGAATGCATACATCCCCCTTACATTGAATCTACTTCTTTTTGGAGATATAACAATTTCGGAACAAGAAAACAAAATTATATTCATGAATACTCAGCAATATATACAAGACTCGAACAGATTTTAACACCCTTCANGGAGAAGGAACAACCACGTGGTCTGATATATATTTTCTTAAATTTACAGTCTTGTTGCAGTACTTATCTAGTAATCTCAAAACATCGGACCCTCTAACCCCTTCCTCCCTCTCCTCCCCTCTCACCATCCCCCTATCTCTCTCTCTTCCTTTATCTACATGTGCATGTTTATACTTGTGCGCATGTGTGTGGTTCGGTGCGTGAATGTGTGGGTGTATGTATGTCACTGATTAATTAATTTATAATACATAGCTTATTTACGTAGTTCTGCCATCATGAAATTTTGTTAAAAAAATATTATTGTACAGGGAAAGAGCTTGATATAAGTTGTAAAACTTGTGCCCTATTCCATTGCTATGTAAAAAAGGCAATAAAATATGTTTAAAACAAAACAAATATAACAGCGTTGGTTAAGGTCCGTAAAAGTGGTTCACATTTTCGATAAATTCGCTGGTGTTTAGAAGTCGCGGATTTTAGTCAAAGTGCATAACATGACCGCTATACAGTACATTAACTTACAAATTGATATGAGACTAATCAAATGAGTCAGAAATGATTTATTCTATCGAGGCTCCCAAGATGAGGTATGAAATTATCACATTGTGATACGAATTCAAGAATCTTTATATTTTTAACACGTAACCCAACTTTACACAAAAAAATGATAAGAGTATTCTTACTATAATTATTTTGATATAATTAGCGTCTTTATCTAGATCTTCTTGATATTGCCTTCAGTACGACGTTATAATGTTTGATACAAAGATTCGGTGACAATGTTGGAAATTAACATGTTAGTTATACTGATGAGCCGCACAACTTAAAGCGAGTTAATGTAAAAAATAGTGTCAAATACTTCCTTAGTTGCTTCAAAATCAGTTCAAACGAATTTAGATGCCATTCAATGATCGTTTACGACAATAAATATGGGAGAATATTTTTTTGAATAGTTTAAAGGTTCATTGTATTCCTCCGCGCAAAGCTTCTTTTTGTTTACGTTTATCACAGACCGAGGATTTGCGATCGTTTCTCATTGAGCTTAAGGTTTTTGGAAAACATGGTGTTAAGTTGACTTTTTTAAATGAAGAAATATATACGGTAGTACGTGGGGTGGCCTCTCGATCTTATCCATGTGCTCACGATGAGAAAATTGTTCTCCCGACAAACCATGAAAATACGGTGTGATAACTATAAGTCTGTACTATGTAGCAGTTTTTCTACAATGACAATAAACGGTGTAGCGTTTGGTGAAAAAACACTTACAGAGAAACTGGTTCTGATGTCTTTCCTATTGGATGTGTTGATGTCTTCTCCGTTCCACTTGTTTTAATGTTTTGAAAGAAACATGCCTTATGGGTGTTTTTTTTTCCTTTTGCTTTTTTTCATATATTCCACATATTGTACAATCATAGATTGTCATTTATTTGAACTTAAGTATCCATGTTCAATTACTGTTTTTCCTATATATTCTGTAACCTCCTCGTCATTTTGTTTTAGATATAAACGTCAGTACAGTTGTGCAAGTACACTTCCGTTGCCCCTGTAGCTCAGTAGGTATGACCGATACTAGTAGTTCGAATCACGGTCTCGGCCGGCTTAAATTTTAAACTCTGAACACTGATGTTGATTGTATTCTGTTTATTTCATTTTTTTATTATAATTATTATTATTATTATTCATACACGTTCCGCAAAGTATGGTTTTCTTTTCAGAAATGATCTACCTAAGCTATAGTCATGCTGGTAAACATAGTTTCGGTACGTAGTTGCAGTTTTTGGCAGTGGTACGAGTATCCTTAAATTCATTCCTACGTCACAAAAGGACGAAATATCCATGTGATAGCAGTAAATAGTTAATGACTTATTTTATATTTCAATGGACTGACATATTTATTTCGATTGTTATATTTACTATGGTTCATAAATAATTTCTTATTATGTGTTTGTTGTTACCTGTAATTCACATTCCGATGACGAAAAACATAACAAGAAATGTACACGATATCCATGAACTAAAGTTTTATTGGGTCTTATATTGCAGTACATAATCTGTATCGTGTTCATTAAGGATCCCCGTAAATAATTATTTGCCGTCTAGCCCGCCGTGTAAATAGCGGTCGGCGTTTAATGTCAAACATGAAAAAACAGTGAATTTACAAGTGATATACGGACTAACAATGTCACTGCTACCAAATGATTCTCAACCCAACGACAAAGGGGTAAAAAAAACTTTCACAGAGATCAACCTGCTCGCTCAGGAAAAACCGGATAAGTTTCCGGAATTCTGCTTCCAATGGCAAGGGAGAGTTAAGATTAACTACTTCCCACTGCAAGTTATCCTCAGGGGTAACACTGGAACCTATGCTAAATACTCGTGTACAATACGGACAATGACCGTAACTAAACTACAATAGAGAGAAACATTCGTATGACCACTCTGTACGGGACGACGGCTAGAAATGACCACCAACTCGCATTCACTGCGCAACGTCATAGCACACCCAGCACGTGCTACACTAGCTGAACGTGTCGAACAAGACAAATTATTCCTGCTATACTAGCGAAACGCGGGAATATTTAAATATGAACAACAGTGTTACGATTGTAAAGATTCCGCATGGCTAGACCTTGATTTCGAACCCTGCTTTGCAACCGGATTTATCATGGAAAATCATCCTAAGGTCACCTTCGAAAAACAGGTTTATAGAAATTGGGACTAAGAAGGAGCATTGTTATTGAGGAGGAAATTAAGGCCGATTTTAAAGCTTGATAACTCACCTGACATAATCGAGAAATATGTTCATTATATAATCATGATCATCATTCATTGATTAACTAGCAATAACAACTCCATTTTCTTTACCTCCAGTTGCAATTTAGACGACTCGGTAAAAACAAACTTATGATGCAGACTGTGGTAACTTTTATCTAACATAGAGAACGACCTGGAATTTGCTCCCTCCTTAAACCGACCATTAACGAGAATGATGGTAATCGTGAAATTGTACATTGTCACCGAGTAAATTCGATACAAATTCGTGATTTATTTCACTTCCTTTTCTTCATTTCCGATTGTTACAATGGAGACATCTCTGTGCATACAGGACTAAACGGATGACATCAGGGACGACAACCACCACTGTCATTATGGCTAAGATGGCCGCCGCGACGTAACCCATTGTCATACTACTTGGCCGAGAGTCATACTCGCTGTTAAATTTTCGTTTATACGTTGACGTGGATTTTTTTGAGACTGTAAGCTGAGCTTGTAATTCAGACAGTATTTCCTGTTGTTGTGCCGTCGTCAGATTCGTTGAAAAGATCCAGCTGGTTTTATTACAATGACAGATACAGGAATTATTCACAATTTCAACCGACTGTGTTGTGGCCAAGACCGTGCTTTCCGTAGTAGTCTGATAATCTGAAGTAAAAAACAAATGTTTCAAACCGTGACTCGATTTGTTTATGCATAGATGTAGATAAGCACAACATACCAATTCACAGCAACGTATTAATGCATCGAGCACTAATTAGTAATTAATCAATTCTCAAACGGATCGTCGTTCTCATGTGCCATGATTTTAATATCTGTCTAGGATTTTTGCGCCAATATGTAGTACACATAGTTGAAAATATACGATTTTTGCTCAAACTGTTTGTTGGCTTAACCTTGAATATAATCACTTTTTTTGCTTATTAAATAAACCGGAAAATAAGGTGCTTTTTTATAAAACTCTTTAAATTTTTAATTAAAAAAATAAAAAATAAAATCATTTTATCTGAGCGTGAAAGGAACATCTGATTCTTGCTGCTCGTTTCCAACAATTGCTCTATCGAGTGTTCTTTTTGTGTTTTCTATACAATCTAGAAAACAGTTTGTTTTATGGGTGAAATTTGTAAAAAGAATTGAAGAAAATGTTATTTTCAATTTAGTTAAGATAAATACTGATGATTAAAAAAAAAACATACAGTATGTAATATTTGACAGCCTTGTTGCAGTTCAATAATAAAACCTTTTTTTTTTTTTTTTGTAAAATATTAAGATGCCGCCAAACATCATAACACACAATACCGCTATTTAACATGGAAAAGAGGACATTAGAGAGGCCTATATTTTGTAAATCTGCCCTTGCAAAACATTATTTTTCCAAATCAAAAGCTTACCTGTGCTGTAAACAGACATCTTCCAAGTTCCTCCACAAGTCTCGCTCTGGTTCCCACCACAGGCCCGGCTGCATGCGTCTTCTGTGGTTAACTGATTCATATCAATGTCATTTCCACAAAAGCATTGCGTACTGTACTGCAACGAATAGAATATTCATAAACATTAAAAGAGTCGCAAGATTTTTTTATTTTTTTAATTCAATTTGTTCTTATCATATATATTCCTAACTCTTGATTAAATATACTGACAATTTACATACTTCAGTAAAATTAACTCCAAAGTTATCGATTGCTCCTATCAGTCATTTTGAAGTGGATGGGCTGGGGGTCATTTAAAAGTGAATCTCATTAACGAAAGTTCCTGAAAACATATGAAAGTTCATTGGAACCTCGCTGTTAAACCCACAAAACAAATTAAAATTGATCGGTATTGTTTTCAATTGCGTATGTCTGTAAATAAAAGATATAAAAAAAATAGCAGGTTTCTTCAAGAATGATACCTAGTTGTGGCATTTTCACAATAGATGGTATAACACTCACAGGGGTCCTAATGTGGGACGAAACTGTAGTATCCCTAGGAAAACCCAGTTAGTCTGAAAAGTGACGCCATACCTTAATGGCTTTCGTATGAGTGCCATTAATATTTCACAAGTATGGCAGAATACTGAGTATTGGTATAATTTGTCATACGATAGGATTTGTATGGTGTTCAAAGGAAAACCCTTAGAACGATTGGACTATTTTTTTTTATAATTTTGCAATGCATTATGCACGGACGACAAAATGACTGCATCGAAAAAGAGGAATAAATAGTAGCGTTATCTTTGGGACTATATTCTAACAACATCTAGCTTGACAATAAGGCTGTGCAATATTTCAATTGGTTGCTGAACGCAATCCTACATATACTTCTACCTAGACTACAGACTCAGAAGTTCAGCTAGAACAGGTCAGTGTTACAGTTAGATACAAACCTATGCTTTAGCGGTATACACACCATCTCCTACCAGATAAAACATATGATTCTAATAAAAGATTTACTTTAAAAACCATTCGTTACCCTATAAACGGAAAGAAGTCGTTATTAATTTTTCAAGAAACTATAACATGCTTACCTGTGTGCCGGCTAAAGTGTTGCCGTGCTGGAAACAATACTGAATGCACTTGTCTGTAGTAAGTTGAGAATCACTGTATTGGTTTTCTTTTAAAAGCCGTTCGGCAATGTCATTGAAGCAACCGATGTATGCTGAAAAAATGGCAGGAGAATCTCAATATACGTAATATATCGTAATATAAAATTACAACAGCAGACACATCTAAATCCTTGTATAAAAGAAATGAACAGTCTACAACTTCTTCTACACTGTGCATTGGATAATAACCATTTATTTTTTTCAAACAGGCTGTACACGCATAAAGCTGTTTCAAAATCTCTTCCGAAAATGAAATGTAAACAACCGAGCCAGGGACTTTTCGAGGGTACACGCATTTAATTGTGTTGGTATTTGAAGACTTGCTAGCAGTGTAACAAAAAAGTTGATCATTTATCTATAGATTTCCTTAAAGCAGTTACGTTCACGGTCAGAATGTTCCGCGGAATTTACTACGAAGGTGACTTGTATAAGTGTTTTTTAAAACTGTCAAGTTCTGATTTCATGTGTTGACGAGCGATGTGAATAGATTGGCGGTTTAAATTGAAATAGACATCGGGTATAAAGCGTGACGCCGGTGTTTAATTGTTTAATGTCTGAATGTCGAATAATGACGACCGAAGAAGTCTTTTCCAAATATATCCCGCTTGAATTAACAACATATAACAATTGCCGAAATAAAGACATATAGGCATCCGTGACAAATTTGGCACGCGCAGACGTGCAGTTAAATTAAATAATAACATTATCAAGGTCACCTTGCTTATTATAAGAGTGTGGACACTGAGGTAAACGCGAAAAAGACTTTCGGTTTACCAGGTAGAATAGATATAATCAACATAAATATGTGTTTTTCCATTATGTGATCACCCTCGTTATATATTCCACCATAAAACTCGCACAAAAATGTTGATTTTTATGTTAGAAATTACGATTACTCGTGTGTCATATACACAATTTTTAAGGATTCAAACGCATATTTTAAACTTCATTGAGGTATGCATCTAAGTTGATTATAAGCGCATGTTATAACACCTCACACGAGCGTGCCTTGATAAATATCTCTGCAGGGAAAATTAATGAATTTCTCCATTAAAGTTCCAAATATGCGCTTCAATACCCATATTTACATGTCACTAATAAATAAAAAGAAGAAAACTGGGAAATAAAAATTATCGTACATTTAGTATCTATTAAAAAAACGCACTGCAAAATCAACATTATGGAGCAAAAATTGAATGAAATTAATATAAAATACCGTTAATTACATAAATTGAATGAAATTAATATAAAATACCATTGATTACAAAAATTAAATGAAATTAATATAAAATACCGTTAATTACAAAATTTGAATGAATTTAATATGAAAATACCGTTAATTACAAATATTGATTAAATTTCAGAAACACTCCTGCTAACTTCAATGCTTACTGAATAAAACAAATAATTAATAAACTTTCAAAAAGTATGAATGCATACATGAAATAGCTCAATATCTGGTCATAAAGGTCTATATAGTACGATGATTTATCTCTAGAAATCATTATGCTATTTAAACAAACGTCAAACATGAACATTTCAAGGGATGCGTTTCCAATAAAGCGAAATCAATAATAGGTACTGTATTAATAATTAAAATTCCATAGATATCAACCTGTTCCAAAAGTGGACCATTCTGGCTGAAATGAATGTAAATATTTTATAACACATTGATCATGAGCAGACAATTAACTGTAACAGGTTTACAGAGACGTATTTGTTAAAAACAGGAGAAACTGTCACCAGGCCACAGTAGGATCTCTAATTATAGAATTTAGTAAAACTTTCTCGGTAGAACATAGAGTAAAATTATGCTGGTCTGAGGCCGGCCTGAACAGAACACACATTTTTGAGTTGGGTATTCCTTCAGAGATCTCAAAATAGAAATAACCTAGAAATATTTACACGTAAATATAATTTACCTGTGTGTAATTGACTTTCAAGCAAGCGTAATGATTTTGCTAAAATTGGTGACACGCAACTCTTTCCTGGCCCACTGGACATGTTTTTGAACAGAATTATTGATTTTCGTGTTTGTTTCCTTTTCCTAACATACACGATAAAGGTTAATTCAGGCTCCTGTTTGTGGCTTTGTGCTATTGTTGAAGATAAGAAAATGTGCTCCGTAGTAAGATATCTTATTTTATTGTACAATTATCAAGTGTATACCCTATTTCTGCACATTAAAATAATAAATAGGTGCTGTAATCATCATAGTACATTTTGACGTATAGCATAAAATAACTGATTATGAAGCAGGTGAGGATATGGTTTGAGACAATTCGTCCCTCAATACTAATAGACTAATGACATAGCATTTCTTTCTGGTTGTCGATTCTTGGCGAAATTTCAGAAACACTCCTGCTAACTACAATGCTTACTGAAATAAACAAAAAATTAATCAACTTTCAAAAAGTATGAATGCATACATGAAATAGCTCAATATCTGGTCATAAAGGTCTATATAGTAAGATGATTTATCTCTAGAAATCATTATGCTATTTAAACAAACGTCACACATGAACATTTCAATTGTAATGCTTTATGACTGAGCATGTAAACAATCAAACCTGAAGGAAATCATTTGCATGCACAAAATCACAAGGGACGCGTTTCCAATAAAGCGAAATTAATAATAGGTATTAATAATTAAAATTCGATAGATGTCAAAAAACCTGTTCCGAAAGTGAACCATCCTGGCTGAAATGAATGTAAATAATTTATAACACATTGATCATGAGCAGACAATTAACTGTAACAGGTTTACAGAGAGGTATTTATTAAAAACAGGAGAAACTGTCACCAGGCCACAGTCGGATCTCGAATTATAGAATTTAGTAAAACTTTCTCGGTAGAACATAGAGTAAAATTATGCTGGTCTGAGGCCGGCCTGAACAGAACACACATTTTTGAGTTGGGTATTCCTTCAGAGATCTCAAAATAGAAATAACCTAGAAATATTTACACGTAAATATAATTTACCTGTGTGTAATTGACTTTCAAGCAAGCGTAATGATTTTGCTAAAATTGGTGACACGCAACTCTGTCCTGGCCCACTAGACATGTTTTTGAACAGAATTATTGATTTTCGTGTTTGTTTCCTTTTCCCAACATATACGATAAAGGTTAATTCAGGCTCCTGTTTGTGGCTTTGTGCTATTGTTGAAGATAAGAAAATGTGCTCCGTAGTAAGATATCTTATTTTATGATACAATTATCAAGTGTATACCCTATTTCTGCACATTAAAATAATAAATAGGTGCTGTAATCATCATAGTACATTTTGACGTATAGCATAAAATAACTGATTATGAAGCAGGTGAGGATATGGTTTGAGACAATTCGTCCGTCAATACTAATAGACTAATGACATAGCATTTCTTTCTGGTTGTCGATTCTTGGCGAAATTTCAGAAACACTCCTGCTAACTACAATGCTTACTGAAATAAACAAATAATTAATCAACTTTCAAAAAGTATGAATGCATACATGAAATAGCTCAATATTTGGTCATAAAGGTCTATATAGTAAGATGATTTATCTCTAGAAATCATTATACTATTTAAACAAACGTCACACATGAACATTTCAATTGTAATGCTTTATGACTGAGCATGTAAACAATCAAACCTGAAGGAAATCATTTGCATGCACAAAATCACAACGGACGTGTTTCCAATAAAGCGAAATTAATAATAGGTATTAATAATTAAAATTCGATAGATGTCAACCTGTTCCGAAAGTGAACCATCCAGGCTGAAATGAATGTAAATAATTTATAACACATTGATCATGAGCAGACAATTAATTGTAACAGGTTTACAGAGACGTATTTATTAAAAACAGGAGAAACTGTCACCAGTCCACAGTAGGATCTCTAATTATAGAATTTAGTAAAACTTTCTCGGTAGAACATAGAGTAAAATTATGCTGGTCTGAGGCCGGCCTGAACAGAACTCACATTTTTGAGTTAGGTATTCCTTCAGAGATCTCAAAATAGAAATAACCTAGAAATATTTACACGTAAATATAATTTACCTGTGTGTAATTGACTTTCAAGCAAGCGTAATGATTTTGCTAAAATTGGTGACACGCAACTCTTTCCTGGCCCACTGGACATGTTTTTGAACAGATTTATTGATTTTCGTGTTTGTTTCCTTTTCCTAAGATACACGATAAAAGTTAATTCAGGCTCCTGTTTGTGGCTTTGTGCTTTTGTTGAAGATAAGAAAATGTGCTCCTTAGTAAGATATCTTATTTTATGGTATAATTATCAAGTGTATACCCTATTTCTGCACATTAAAATAATAAATAGGTGCTGTAATCATCATAGTACATTTTGACGTTAGCATAAAATAACTGATTATAAAGCAGGTGAGAACATGGTTTAAGACAATTCGTCCCTCAATACTAATAGACTAAGGACATAGCATTTCTCTCTGGTTGTCGATTCTTGGCGAAAGTGAGACATGTCTTAACATATAAAATTGAACATCCTTGACATATATAAATTTCAATATTTTACAATTAATTATTGGAGTATATATTGTTACTTCATATTTATGAATTATTAGCTATTAAAACTATTTAAATGTATTTTTACGCAATAGGACATCACGTATAGTTGTTTAATTTTGCATAGCTCATATTTAACGCGGTTTCGATTAGAACTATTTCAAAGGAATGAAATTTCGCGCTATCTTTTATGACCGCGAATATAGCGAAATTAAATCAACTGCAAATATTACCATCTACACTTTAACATTTTATTTGAGATAAATTGAAATTTCCCTGATAATTACTAAATATGAATGAAAAGGTGAAGGAAGTGAATCATTATAATATTTACTGGGTCCGAGGGTGGTCAGATGGTACAGTGGATATCGCACTCGCTTTTCATCAAGGCGAACGGAGTTCGATTCCCCGATAGGACGTTAAAAGGTTTATGGTCACCTGCCCGACCACGTGGGTTTTCACCAACAAGAGTGATTAATTTAAGTTGAAATAACTTGTTTTATAATTGTTGTAAAATAAATAAAGTTTATAAAAAATAAAAAATAAATCTATTTCAACAATTCTATCAATTAAGTTAATCACCTTTGTAGCGAGCAGGGATCTACATGTGGGAGGGAAAAACACGTGGTGATCACATATCTTTTCACGTTCAATCGGGGAATCGAGCCCCGGTTGTCTTGGTGAAAGGCGGATTAGCTATCCTATATAATATATATAAACTTTATTGATTTTACAACAATTATAAAACAGGTTATTTCATCTTATAATAATCACTCCTGTTGGCCCAGATGCTAGCGGGGGGTCTTAGTGTTGTAGGAAACCGGAGTACTCGGAGAAAACCCAAGTGCTCGAGCAGGTGACCCCATACCTGTTCACGTCCGATCGGGGAATCGAACCCCGGCCGTCTCGGTGAAAGGCAAGTGTGCTTTCCACTGCGTCAACCGACCACCCAACTGAAATCATGTATGAGTAGAAACTATGTAAACCAAGTTATTGTTGCATATACCAGTACCGATTGTGCCTCGTTTAATCCTTTTAGGTTAATCTCCGCTAAAAAGTACCTTTAAAGACGAGCGTTTCAAAATGCAAAAAACAATTATCAGACAAGGCGATATCAAATAAAAAAAAATGGTCTGCTTAATGCAAATGTTTGTTATCAAGAAAAATATTCTTAATCAATTTTAATGCTCACAGAACTACATATAAATAGCTATCATAATGAAATTATTTAAATCAATACTTAGTTTAAATGTAAGAATTTAGTAAACAATAAAACTACGGAGCACGTTTTCTAGTCCATACTAGAATCAAATTAATGGTTCCGGGTCGGTGTACACAAATGTAGTGCATTAAGGCTAGTTGTGAAACAAGTTTTCCTTTCTTTCATGTGAAAGAAATGAAACTATATGTTATACCGAAATGAAGCATGATCTTCTCTCCTTGAATTGAAGTGTTTGATTGTTTGTGGTGGATGTATTTTGGCGAAAAGAAAATGTATGCTGTTGGACCCTTAAACATAAATGTATCATAGGGTCGTATCATAGTTCAAACGGATTCTGTTTGCCGAATTAAATTATCTTGTGAAAATACCAATCAACAATAGTTATCGAATTCGCCACAAATGTGTTTGTATCTCCTATTCTATCACATCAGATCCGGAAATAGATGTATCCCCTTTCGTAGTGTATCGAGAATATTTCAATGGCCGCCCCTGCAGGACGGGGATTGAGGAAGGAGTAGAACTGTTGTTACCCACTGCATGATGTAAGAGAAAACTAAAGCAGAAACTCCAATTCAGGATTGGGAATTTCCATTTGCTCACTGTACTTTGGGGCACAAAATAGCCAAAATAAGTCAGTGGCACTGCAGACATTTTGAATGTTCTCTCTACTTCCTACTAAACTTTTGTTTAGCACCGCCTGTCTTAGCAACGTCTCAATGTTGGCATTAGAGATTTATCCTTTTAATGTTACATAAGGGATATAAATCAGGTGTTAAGATTACTTTGCCTCTGAGGAGCTAATCTAAGGGAGGCTGGTGCGGGTTTTTCGATGCTGACAGTTAAATTAATATCTCGGGCAGGTAAATATTCACTATTTTCGAGGAAAAGGTGACAAATTCGCAACACGGCTCTCACGAGTAACAACAAAACAGAACATCCTTGGTTGCTATGATCACAGGAACCGGTCACAATTCGTGGTTTTACCAATGTAATATATAAGATTATATAGCAATCAATAGGGAAAATAATAATTATGTTGTTGACCATACCACAATGAACTTTTACGCATTTTACCTGTCTGTAAGTCACGAATATAGCAAACGCCTAGAAAGCCATTTCCGCCCAATGCGAATCCGTGTCCCAAGACTCGCTATGGAGATCAATACAAAATACTGCCAAGCGTGCTTATATGTGGCCTGCTTAGCTGCCAGTATTACAATTATTTTTCTATTTTCTTGAAAATGTACTCAAATTTAATTAGTACTCTTGTATTTAACTAAAATGTGAATTTTGACTTGCTAAAGTTAGCACACACGCCAATTCACAGCGTGTGTAACATAGCTCGTAGAACCCACTACACTGTGTGGGTCCAGAGAGGTAGAGATACGGCCAAACAGCGAGCGGGGCATCGGTGTTTTACAGACACATTTCTTCAGTTTTGAAAAATATTGTTAAATTGTATAACAGTTTTGATGCAATGTCGCTTGTTTCCGAGACCAGACAACAGGATTCAGCAGTTTCCAGCACTTCAGTCATATGCCCAGAGAACTACGTGGCCATTGGCCTCTTGTTATAGATCCCTGAGGTATACGAGTGTATGTTCACGATATCGGTTCGACAAATTGACCCAGACATTTGGTACAAAAAAAGAACATTGCATGTATTGTTCTGCATTGAAAGTAGTGATATTCCCTGATTGTTATTTCTGTGTGTAAACGGTAGCGTAGCCGTATTTGCAAAACATTTGAAATAGGATAGATCTTTTTACTGTAAAATATGTTCAAGTACTCAAACTTTAAATGAATAAATAAGATAAAATAAATAGATACTCATTACATTTTGGTTTACCATACAATTTCATCTCAATCCCAGGTCGACTTTATTTATCTACTATACATAGTTGTGTATTCATTCTTAGCTCTGGAGTATTTGAGGAATTTCGGATAAACGGTCAATTTTACATAAAAACACATAGAAAAAACATACGCAAATGGAATACATTGTGCACAGCTACATGTATGATCAATCTTCAGGAAATTGGAGCTGGAAGTATTTATTAATGGGATAAAGATATATTAGTTGGTTATGCTTAATTACATAAAATATATATTGTTTAGTGATCCGATTTAAAAACGCATATTGTAGTGAGGATAAACCTTCAAATGCGGTCGCCCCCTTTTAAAATTATTTTTTTTACGCTTGGTATAAATATCATAATTGTGTGATATTATGAGATAGGTGTTGGTCTAGTTTTGACGACTAGATTGGTGGACGAATTTCATATACTTATCAAATACCATTAATACAATCATTTTAAAAACAGTTACATGATGTAATATTTTTGTTTTCAAAATGCTTTTTGCGCGCAACCAAGTAATACGAAACAAGCGCATATGTGTTAAAACAAGGCTTTTTTTGTTTTTTGTTTTATATATTTGCACATGCATTTGAGTGGTTGAGGTATATCATTGAGTAACAAAACGATTTGATACAACTTTATACATCGACCGTCCTCTTAGCAGTGACTTAATACGTCATTTGCACTTCGTCCGTATTACCTATACCGCATTTGTGTTATTTTTAGTTCTGTTGTTTTCTCTCGACAAACAAAATTAATATTTAGTCTGACCATACGGAGATCAATACATCATTTACATATAGATCTGCCTCTTTATCATAAGTGTGATTGCCACATATTTACCGGTGGGTCATCTGTCTGAAAAGGCTACCAGATAATACTGGTGCAGTAAGCAGAACACAAATACTGTACAAAAACAGTTTGCCAGTGGAAACGAAACATACGGGCAATATGAACAAAAATTACATTTAAACGTATACAACTTCGATTGGTAACGCCAACAGGAGGTGTTGATCTGAAAGAATTTGCAAACGTCATTTGGGAAGTCGATTTGGTAAGTTCTCTTGTCCACAGCATATCACTCGTGAGGTTTTTATTCCAATGCATATACACTATATAGTTTTATGAGCAAAAGCAATCTACTTTCGAACGAAAACATTTTTCATCCAATAATCGTACGAATTTTTTTAAATCATGCATCAAAATGTCTCTAGATTATTCGACTCCCTTTTAATTATTTACTGTAAAATATCAATTATAAGTCAAATAGAACAAGTAACTGGAACGTTTATTACTGACAAAAACGTATGACCGTTCCTACCCCATACGTGATGTACATTGATCTAAACTTGTTCTCCGTATTTCAACGTATTTATTACAGAAACAAGGAGTACCGATTAAGACAATAAATAATTTGTAATTTTATCAATAAAATAAACTCACCTCCTTCTACAAAATCCACAAGCACAAGTAAAACGAGTGGAGCATGTAATATCGCCATTTCACACAGACCGAACAGCACCGGATAGCTTACATTTGTACCACGTGGTGTTGGACATCTCATCTCTGTTATATGCCTGGAATCGATTAAAACTATCTGTTGTTGTTCTTTTCTTTCCGTTTAATATATTGTATATGTCTCACTAGCAGCACTATGACTATGCCAGTTATTATACTGTCTGCATGCAAAACCAGATTGGTGACTTTAATCGATAATCAGATGTTAAGGACCACCAACAAGCTTTCCCAAAATAAAAATAAAATACACAGAGATACAACCTGGAAGATGGATCGTTGCCATATTTCTCCGTTTACAACTGTAAAGCCTATAACATTGATATTAGTAATTGTGCACAAGCTTGAATGATAAATTTAAACGATAATCACATGTTAAGGTCCATCAGCAAACTTTCTTAGAATGAAAAAAAACACAAAGATATCACCTGGTAAACAGGAAGAGGATCTCGCCGTATTTCTCCGTTTACAACTGTAAAGCCTATGATAATAATGATTTACTGATATGGCTTTGTATACAAGCTTGAATTATTTATTTTATCGATAATCATATGTTACGGACCACCAGAAGGCTTTTCAAGAGAAACAAGACATGTTTTCTACACAATGATATCCCAGATTAACAGGAAATGGATCGTCGCCATATCTGTCTGTTATCTAAAGAGTTGCCAACCATCTGATTAAAAGTAATTGTTTGTCAGCACACTAAATGGTGTAATATTGTAAAAATATCTTACACTAGCACTTAGTATGATACCTTGTTTAAATGACTGTGCGTTTAATGGTATTTGAATTAAACTTCCCTCCGGAATGCATTTGTTTTAGTTTACGCTTTGAACATGTTAATGGCATGTAAATAATTAAGTTCTCTAATGGAATTTGTTCCATCCGAGTTAACATATTTAAGCGTTATATGGGATTTGAAGTAAATTTTCCTCCAGAATACATTTGTTTTAGCCTGCGCTTTGTATATCTTGAATGCTTGTAAATAATTAAGTTTTCTAATGGAATTTGTTTCATTAGAGCTTAACTATTCGAGCGTTTTAATGGATACTAGCCCTCCGCTACTGGACCGCGGGTTCGATACCTACGTAGACCAGTCGCCAGGTACTTGCCGGAGGTCGGTGTTTTTTCTCTCCGGTAACTCTGCTATCATCCACCACCAAAACGTGACACGTCCTTAAATGACCATAGCTGTTAATAGGACGTTAAACACAAACAAACCAAACTTTATTGATAGAACATGCTTTCCTGTTTCTACTATGTAAATGACAAACATTATTTCAAATTAAATTTGGAGACAATAAAAGACATTTATTAACCAGGTACATATAGATTAATATATGCTCTACATTAAGTAAAAAAGCCATTCTTTAATATAAAGTGCACTTCGAGAAGCCCACGTTGACTTTGCCATTGTAATCATCACTATTTCAAAGATGTTACTGAAACATGTATATTCTAAATATACAAAGGATCCTTTTGTCGCCCCAGAAACAATGTACGAATTAGTTCTTTTGCATGTAACACAATAAAAAAACATTGTGTTCAACTGCATTGAAAAGAGAAAATCTGGAAATCAAGAGGCCCAAAAAACGGCCTTAAAAGCATCAATACATCTCCAGCACATAAGCAGGCATAGACACAAAGGCAGATATTAGCCAGGTTGCATAGGACTAGTAGTTAGCGCCTGATAAGGCAGCTCCTGCGAATTCATTAAAATTCGTATTGATTAATGTATATGCTAATTGTTTTAATTGTATAGCTATGTACTGTAAATGTATCATAGGGTCGTATCATAGTTCAAATGAATTCTGTTTGACGAATTAAATTATCTTGTGAAAATACCAATCAACAATAGTTATCGAATTCGCCACAAATGTGTTTTATCTCCTATTCTACCACATCGGATCCGGAAAAAGATGTATCCCCTTTCGTAGTGTATCGAGAATATTTCAATGGCCGCCCCTGCAGGACGGGGATTGAGGAAGTAGTAGATCTGTTAGTACCCACTGCATGCTGTAAGATAAAACTAAAGCAGAAACTCCAATTCTAAATTGGGAATTTCCATTTGCTCACTGTACTTGGGGGCACAAAACAGCCAAAATAAGTCAGTGGCACCCACTGCAGACATTTTGTATGTTCTCTCTACTTCCTACTAAACTTTTGTTTAGCAACGCTTGTCGTAGCAACGCATCAAGTTTGGCCTAAGTGTTGAACGTTCGACCAAGTGGGGAAGACAATGGGTTCTGTCCAAAGGTCTGGACAGATCAAGGCACAGTCCTTAAATGTTAGTTGTTATTCCAAGTATACTATGCCTGGATGGAGAACTGTGCTATGTGCCTTTACATTGGTATTTCAGTGAAGACGTACTCTAAAGACGGTATCAGATCCGGGTCACCGGAAGGAGGTAAATAGACCAACACACGACCTCCAGCACCCATACACACAATCATGCATACATTAAACACATGAAAGCACATTCTTGAATGACCTGAGCTGTTAATAGAACGCTTAACACAAAACAAAAACAAAATGTATACTTTACACACATAAAGGCACGTCCTTACATTACCTTAGCTGATAAGAGGAAGCTTAACTCATTAACGCAACAGGAAATCAATTACCAACGGTAACTTCTGTTCCTAGAGGGAATCTTTTAACACAGGTAAATCTTCGATGGTCAAATTTGTCTTTGATGAAACGATCATGGTTAATATAGTCTATGTTGTGATAAGGATGATACAATGTATAAGCAACATATGGACCAACGTTTATCACAGATAGGGCTTTATCGAGTATGTGTTTTATGACTTATTAATAAGGTAATCGCTATTAATTCTGATATCTGAGATAATGACTGTCATAAATAGCGACTGGCAATATAGATGATTAAAGTTCATTATCCTATACACCAAGCTACATTTTTCTACCTTGCCAACTTCAAATCGGTTTGATGATTGTTGTTCTTTAAAATCATTATCTTTATTTATCACTTTCATTACTTCATTACTTGTCTACTCACCTGTCAATTAGTAAGTGGTTGGACAGTGCGAGAATTGTTGAATGCTAGCTGTTAGCGCCGAAATGGCAGCTCCGGCTGTATGTTCCCCAGGGAGTTGAGAAAGGTATTGACTGATTGCAAAGGCTCTATAACTACGGATAATAATTTGTGAACCGCTTTGAGACGACCTACGAACTAGGTTGTGATAAAGCGGTATATAAGGACCTCGAATTATTTGTATTATTATTATTACAAATGTATAAAGCAATAGATTAAGTACTATCATAGACTCACATGGAAGCACGTTATGTCGGCCAATCATTACTACGTTATGCTTTCCAAAAAAGCAAATGAATACCCTAAGCTACATTTTCAATGCTAATTCATTTGAAAACATTTTCATTACTTTTATTAATTCATATGTTTTGTCATCGTATATACGAATCCGATCATATATTTGAAAGAAATATGTATTTATCTGAAAAGGGTGATGACTTCATATGAAAAGTCAGGACAGCCTCTAAATCAGGTCATCAAAATGCATTTAAGGTGGCTCCACACTTTCGCAATTAACCAGCAAAATTCGTTGAAACTTTCATATAATGGTTATGCATCTATGTAGAGTTGAATTTATGAAAATCTAATCATTCCGATAGTTTGGGGACTTTTTTGGAAAAAATACCAAAATTTGAATTTTCGTCAATTTTAATATTTTCCGGGGTTTTTTGTGTGTGCCATTGTTCGGAACAATAACAACAATAATAAAATGAAAAGAAGCATTTCTAATTAACCCTACAAATATTTTATTCATCGCAAATATGTAACACATATGTTTTTTATTGAATTTGTACGGATAAAAATGACTATCTACAAGCTAAAAGCAAACAGGACACAAAGATCTATAATAATTAATTTATTTTACATTTTATTTTTTGGAAAAAAATCGGAGAGGGGTGATATTTACACAATGACAGTTGTCTCTGTTTACATATAACAAAAATGATGGAAATAAATAAAAAATATAAAATTATCAATTTATTGTTCTTTAATGGAACCAAATTACCCTCAGTCATGTACACTTTGGACATCATTCCACAGTCCGCTAACTCACGGTATATTTATAATTACATGTCAGGTACATATGTGACCAGAGGCTATTGCATGGTATGCCGTTCTCACATGCTCTCACACATGCATTTCATAGGTATCTTGCTATTTTACAAAACATTATTTTCACAGAGTAAGTAGACTACATTTGTAAACACGATTTAATCGACAGAGCGAAACTCCCTCAACAGCGAAAATCGTAACGACCTCGAGCTTATGAACTCGTGTAAGCACGTGATATGCACATGTGAGGTTGGTACGTCCGCATTCCATGCGTTTACTATATGACCTTCTTGAGGTCGTTTGGTCTCATGTCACTGTCTTCCCGTGAGTCTGTTTATGTCTATGCATTGGAAAGCTTTATTCCTGAAGTGCGTGTGATTATACATTTCCCGGTAAAATGTCGATATCGGGTGTTGACATATCATCGGCACGCACGTGTACTATTGTTTACCAAGGGCCTGTTCGTTTATGCGGAGCAACCGGTTTGACCGTTTATAAATGTAACAATTTCGGGTATAAATCCTGGCGGACCTGCAAATATGTATGCAGGCCTTGCAAGGCTTTCTCAAGGCTCGCCTGAAAGCAGCATCAGATTACTAGATCCGACCCTATTTAATAAACGAACAACAGTGGTCCGATCGGTTTGACCGTTTAAACAAAAACGGCCCTATAATTTGCACTACGATATTGAATGCCCGATACGCAATACGGAAATGACGACACGGTGTACATGCACATTTCGATCAAGATAATTGAGTCCGAGCTGTACTTTTTCCGAAAGTACGTCACGAAAATGGACGCTGATGACGATGTGTGGAGCCACCTTAAGCACACTACCTTTTTTCAAGCTAACAATTTCATGACAGTTTTATTACGTTTATTTAACATATTAAGAAGATTCATTAATGACTTAAAATCAATTCTTTATTTGAAAAGATTGGGTAGGACGACATAAACGAACAAACTATTACTTTTAATTAAAGTTGATGTTGATTCTATGTTGTAGCTAGATTCTTATCTATTAGATATTTATCCTTTAATGTTACATAAGGGATATAAATCAGGTGTTAAGATAACTTTGCCTCTGAGGAGCTAATCTAAGGGAGGCTGGTGCGGGTTTTTCGATGCTGACAGTTAAATTGTAATATCTCGGGCAGGTAAATATTCACTATTTTCGAGGAAAAGGTGACAAATTCGCAACACGGCTCTCACGAGTAACAACTAACCAGAACATCCTTGGTTGCTTTGATCACAGGAACCGGTCACAATTCGTGGTTTTACCAATGTAATATATAAGATTATATAGCAATCAATAGGGAAAATAATAATTATGTTGTTGACCATACCACAATGAACTTTTACGCATTTTACCTGTCTGTAAGTCACGAATATAGCAAACGCCTAGAAAGCCATTCCCGCCCAATGCGAATCCGTGTCCGAAGACTCGCTATGGAGATCAATACAAAATACTGCCAAGTGTGCTTATATGTGGCCTGCTTAGCTGCCGGTATTACAATTATTTTTCTATTTTCTTGAAAATGTACTCAAATTTAATTAGTAGTCTTGTATTTAACTTAAATGTGAATTTTGACATGCTAGAGTTAGCACACACGCCAATTCACAGCGTGTGTAATATAGCTCGTAGAACCCACTACACTGTGTGGGTCCAGAGAGGTAGAGATACGGCCAAACAGCGAGCGGGGCATCGGTGTTTTACAGACACATTTCTTCAGTTTTGAAAAATATTGTTAAATTGTATAACAGTTTTGATGCAATGTCGCTTGTTTCCGAGACCAGACAACAGGATTCAGCAGTTTCCAGCACTTCAGTCATATGCCCAGAGAACTACGTGGCCATTGGCCTCTTGTTATAGATCCCTGAGGTATACGAGTGTATGTTCACGATATCGGTTCGACAAATTGACCCAGACATTTGGTACAAAAAAAGAACATTGCATGTATTGTTCTGCATTGAAAGTAGTGATATTCCCTGATTGTTATTTCTGTGTGTAAACGGTAGCGTAGCCGTATTTGCAAAACATTTGAAATAGGATAGATCTTTTTATTGTAAAATATGTTCAAGTACTCAAACTTTAAATGAATAAATAAGATAAAATAAATAGATACTCATTACATTTTGGTTTACCTTACAATTTCATCTCAATCCCAGGTCGACTTTATTTATCTACTATACATAGTTGTGTATTCATTCTTAGCTCTGGAGTATTTGAGGAATTTCGGATAAACGGTCAATTTTACATAAAAACACATAGAAAAAACATACGCAAATGGAATACATTGTGCACAGCTACATGTATGATCAATCTTCAGGAAATTGAAGCTGGAAGTATTTATTAATGGGATAAAGATATATTAGTTGGTTATGCTTAATTACATAAAATATATATTGTTTAGTGATCCGATTTAAAAACGCATATTGTAGTGAGAATAAACCTTCAAATGCGGTCGCCCCCTTTTAAAAATTTTTTTTTTACGCTTGGTATAAATATCATAATTGTGTGATATTATGAGATAGGTGTTGGTCTAGTTTTGACGACTAGATTGTTGGACGAATTTCATATACTTATCAAATACCATTAATACAATCATTTTAAAAACAGTTACATGATGTAATATTTTTGTTTTCAAAATGCTTTTTGCGCGCAACCAAGTAATATGAAACAAGCGCATCTGTGTTAAAACAAGGCTTTTTTTGTTTTTTGTTTTATATATTTGCACATGCATTTGAGTGGTTGAGGTATATCATTGAGTAACAAAACGATTTGATACAACTTTATACATCGACCGTCCTCTTAGCAGTGACTTAATAGGTCATTTGCACTTCGTCCGTATTACCTATACCGCATTTGTGTTATTTTTAGGTCTGTTGTTTTCTCTCGACAAACAAAATTAATATTTAGTCTGACCATACGGAGATCAATACATCATTTACATATAGATCTGCCTCTTTATCATAAGTGTGATTGCCACATATTTACCGGTGGGTCATCTGTCTGAAAAGGCTACCAGATAATACTGGTGCAGTAAGCAGAACACAAATACTGTACAAAAACAGTTTGCCAGTGGAAACGAAACATACGGGCAATATGAACAAAAATTACATTTAAACGTATACAACTTCGATTGGTAACGCCAACAGGAGGTGTTGATCTGAAAGAATTTGCAAACGTCATTTGGGAAGTCGATTTGGTAAGTTCTCTTGTCCAAAGCATATCACTCGTGAGGTTTTTATTCCAATGCAAATACACTATATAGTTTTATGAGCAAAAGCAATCTACTTTCGAACGAAAACATTTTTCATCCAATAATCGTACGAATTTTTTTTATATCATGCATCAAAATATGTCTCTAGATTATTCGACTCCCTTTTAATTATTTACTGTAAAATATCAATTATAAGTCAAATAGAACAAGTAACTGGAACGTTTATTACTGACAAAAACGTATGACCGTTCCTACCCCATACGTGATGTACATTGATCTAAACTTGTTCTCCGTATTTCAACGTATTTATTACAGAAACAAGGAGTACCGATTAAGACAAATAAATAATTTGTAATTTTATCAATAAAATAAACTCACCTCCTTCTACAAAATCCACAAGCACAAGTAAAACGAGTGGAGTATGTAATATCGCCATTTCACACAGACCGAACAGCACCGGATAGCTTACATTTGTACCACGTGGTGTTGGACATCTCATCTCTGTTATATGCCTGGAATCGATTAAAACTATCTGTTGTTGTTCTTTTCTTTCCGTTTAATATATTGTATATGTCTCACTAGCAGCACTATGACTATGCCAGTTATTATACTGTCTGCATGCAAAACCAGATTGGTGACTTTAATCAATAATCAGATGTTAAGGACCACCAACAAGCTTTCCCAAAATAAAAATAAAATACACAGAGATACAACCTGGAAGATGGATCGTTGCCATATTTCTCCGTTTACAACTGTAAAGCCTATAACATCGATATTAGTAATTGTACACAAGCTTGAATGATAAATTTAAACGATAATCACATTAAGGTCCATCAGCAAACTTTCTTAGAATGAAAAAACCCACAAAGATATCACCTGGTAAACAGGAAGAGGATCTCGCCGTATTTCTCCGTTTACAACTGTAAAGCCTATGATAATAATGATTTACTGATATGGCTTTGTATACAAGCTTGAATTATTTATTTTATCGATAATCATATGTTACGGACCACCAGAAGGCTTTTCAAGAGAAACAAAACATGTTTTCTACACAATGATATCCCAGATTAACAGGAAATGGATCGTCGCCATATCTGTCTGTTAACTAAAGAGTTGCCAACCATCTGATTAAAAGTAATTGTTTGTCAGCACACTAAATGGTGTAATATTGTGAAAATATCTTACACTAGCACTTAGTATGATACCTTGTTTAAATGACTGTGCGTTTTATGGGATTTGAATTAAACTTCCCTCCGGAATGCATTTGTTTTAGTTTACGCTTTGAACATGTTAATGGCATGTAAATAATTAACTTCTCTAATGGAATTTGTTCGTTCCGAGTTAACATATTTAAGCGTTTTATGGGATTTGAAGTAAATTTTCCTCCAGAATACATCTGTTTTAGCCTGCGCTTTGTATATCTTGAATGCTTGTAAATAATTAAGTTTTCTAATGGAATTTGTTTTATTAGAGCTAAACTATTCGAGCGTTTTATTGGATACTAGCCCTCCGCCACTGGACCGCGGGTTCGATACCTACGTAGAGCAGTCGCCAGGTACTTGCCGGAGGTCGGTGTTTTTTCTCTCCGGTAACTCTGCTATCCTCCACCACCAAAACGTGACACGTCCTTAAATGACCATAGCTGTTAATAGGTTTTATGGGATTTACATGTTATATTAACCCTAAATCTAATTCACTAGGTTATCTTTCTGATGCCAAACAGTTTTCTGTTCTTTATCGAGCGAAGTAATACAGAAAAATAAATTAAATCCGGGTAAAAGATTTAATTTGTTAACATATTAAACTAATTTACAATATCCTCAATACAAATTAAGACATGAGTCGTTTACTTACAAAAGTCAGTTTTAGTTTTGCCCATTTTAATGGCCGCGGTGACCAAGTGGTTAAGGCGTCTGACATTCTGCTACTGCTAGCCCTCCGCCACTGGGTCGCTTGTTCGATACCTACGTGGGGCAGTCGCCAGGTACTGGTCGTAGGTCGGTGGTTTTTCTCTCTGGGAACTCCAGCTTTTCTCCACCACCAAAACGTAACACGTCCTTAAATGAACGTAGCTGTTAATAGGACGTTAAACACAAACAAACCAAACTTTATTGTTAAAACATGCATTCCTGTTTCTTCTATGTAAATGACAAATATTCATTGAACTATCTAGAGAGATAGGGGTTAAATACGCCATTATTCTGACATTTTGTTTTTTTTATGGTTTGTAATCAGGCTAGCTGCAACGGATGAGCAACTCAAAACAGGCGTCCTTTGGTAAGAACAACATGCTAATTTCATTGTAGAAACGCCGGAGAAAAATAATCAATAACTCTTATGTGACAGAGTGTATTTGCCTTGCTTTTTTATTTTTTCGATATCATCGTGCTTGTATATTATTGAGTATGCATTGTACGTAGAAAGTACATGGATGTCAAGATAGAGTGTTGTATTCCTACCAAAACACGTCTAATAATAGCCCACTAGCATACTCTCATAGGTTGACACTTACGCCTATGGAACGGAGCATTTATTATAGTAACCTCTTTTACTGTTTTATTTCAAATTACATTTGGAGACGTTAACGCACATTTATTAACCAGGTACATATAGATTAATATATGCTCTACATTAAGTAAAAAAGCCATTCTTTAATATAAAGTGCACTTCGAGAAGCCCACGTTGGCTTTGCCATTGTAATCATCACTATTTCAAAGACGTTTCTGAAACATGTATATTCTAAATATACAAAGGATCCTATCATTATTATTATTCTTTAAAGAAAAGACATGTTTTTACCTTGATCTACAAATTATCTTAAAATTATCTCTCATTCACTGTCTAAAAAATGTTCAAATAGTTATGAGTTGTTTTAGATTTGACTTATTTATTCTGCATTAATCCCATATATCTAAATTGTTGAATCGAAACGTCAAGGTTGATTTTGATTTTGGGAGGAAGTCTGTATCTGTGCTGCTATTATTGATGTAATAATCAGAGCCTAGATAAATAAGCACAATAAAACAGATAATGCAATGGCAGTTTGAGCACCTTTTCACCGTAGCTAGGCGTCATCCTCCTAAAGGTTTTGGCGCCATCGTTATGTTCTTTAAATTCCTGATTTCCTAAATGTTTTAATGCATGTTTATATGTTTATAATCGTCATGATAATGATGATTGAATATGATAATAATAATACTGTAAGGAACTTATATACCGCTTTATCACAACCTAGGTCGTCTCAAATCGATTCACAAATTATTATTAGTGGTTGTTGGGCTTGGCAAGTAGCCAATTTATTTCTCAACTCCCAGGGGAGGATACAGCCGGTGCTGCGATTTAGGCGCTCTCAGCTAGCATTAGACAATTCCTGCACTGCCCATCCACTTACTCATTTACAGCTGAGTAGACTTGACCAAGCGGAGTAAAGTATCTTGCTCGAAGATACAACACAGTGTCATGACGGGATTCGAACCTGTGAACTTTTGGTCACGAGCCCGGCGTCCTACTACTATAGACTAACGTACCTAAATATGTTTCTACTGGTGGTTCTGATATCGGAATGTTGGCTTTCAATCAGCAATAATTCTTTTCTTTTCGAATTACATAAATATCAATACGGTATCAATTATCTGACAAATAAGCCCGAGTCTGTCAATAAACATGAATAATTGTGTTATAATTATAATTTATAAAAAATGTTTACATATGCGTATCAGTAAAATGTAATAGAATGATTAATGAGCTATAAATATTAATGAGATGACCCGTAACGACTGAATAAATACGCTCACTATCAATATAAAAACCACCATCTGTGTTCCTTCATCATTGTAGCGGATATAAACACCTCCACAGAGACGGGTACAGTTTGGTTTATATACGTAATGAATAGAACGTTGTAATAAAATGTATAACCTGTAACTGAGCGAGATCGGGTTATCTCAGTCTCGGGCTAAGATTTTGTTACAGAATCTCAGCCCGAGACTGTGCTCAGTTACAGGTAATTGATTTTTTTCTCTTACCTTTTAGCTAAAAACTTCAAGTATCCCGTCTGGGGCCTCAAATGATAATTACCTCTTCACTACTTCAGCTACATTTGAATGCTTCCGCGTAAAAATGCTGTCCGTTTTCCCATAGATGACAACGTATGTCACAGTGTAGATTATATTTTATCTACAACATCAGATATCTAACAACATCAAAGTATACATATAACAACGAAACAGAACATTTATAATGCAGATTGTCAATTTCAAGCAGTTAACGCACGGATGAATGCATCACAGTGTAAACATTCCGCGAAATGTCACGTAAAGGTGCAAGACAGATCGGATAAGATCGAAAAATCTAGCATGGGTATGACGTGGGATATCTCTGTCTGAGGTGCGAGAAAAATGAATCCAATTTCAAGACACATATCATTAATTAGAATCTGATCGAACATCTGTCATTATTCTGACATATAAGAAATTTTTTTTTTTTTTTTTTGTTGTTGTTGTTTTTTTTACATTTATACATCATTGACAGAACTGGGAAATTAAATATCGATGTAAGTGGAGTAATGAGTCTTCATGAATATCACTAAGGACGATCAGAGGACTATAAACAGGTTAGTCATTTCAATAACAAGATAAGCCTATACAATTTCTTCATAAACAGGCAAGCTCTTGTATAAATTCTTTCCATAAGTATGCACGTCTATATGATTTATCTCCATTTATAAGAAAACCTTTATTAATTATCTCATTAAACATGTAAGCCTATCAAAGTTATCTCCATGTACAGGTAAGCCTATATTAATTCTCTCATTAAACATGTAAGCCTATCAAAGTTATCTCCATCTATAGGTAAGCCTATATTAATTCTCTCATTAATCAGGAAAGCCTATCAAAGTTATCTCCATCTATAGGTAAGCCTATATTAATTCTCTCATTAAACATGTAAGCCTATCAAAGTTATCTCCATTTATAGGTAAGCCTATATTAATTCTCTTAAAAAACAGACAAGCTAATAAGAATTATATCCATAAACAGGTAAGCCTATTTAAATTCTATACATTTCTTACATATTTCTCTTTTGAACAGTTATTGATTGTTACGTCATTTGTTTGTGAGAATAACGTCATCAATTTTTGAGAAAACGACGTAATTTTCGCACACAAACCAATGACGTAACAATCAATACCTGCTCACAAGAGAAGATAACTCTGCAATACGCAAAGACGGATTACATAGTGGCAACGTCATCTTCGTCGAATGTATTGCCTTAGTTTTATTATCATCCGATAAGTTGCTAAAAGGTTGTGAAAAGAAAGATGCACATGGTTACTCCGAAACAACTAAAATTGAAGAAGTTCGATCTAATTTTTATAAGCACTTGAATCGATTAAAAACTTTCTGATAG